AAAAAAAAAAAAAAAGAAAGAAAGAAAGAAAGAAAGAAATGAAGCACCTTAAGGCTGAGCCAATACTTCTACAATGTCTAAATGACATGGTGAATATTCTTAAGATATGAAAATTATAAGTTTTGCTTCATGTAGATCATCTATTGTGATTACACATCCATAGCATTGCTGATTTCGGATGCTCTGTTTGCTCTACTTGGGTAATCAAGTATTGTTTTCAGTAAATTAAGAATCATTTTGAAAAACTTCAGTTGGTTTGACACTTATTGGGATAAAGAAAAAGATATTATGCCTGAGCTGTGCTTTCAAAAGGAAAGCTAAAGGATAACTTGTTTAAATCAATTCTTAAATGATGTAAATCTTTTTGATTTTAACATTTGTTACTTGAAGCTAAATTGTAGGGAGAGAAATGGATCACAATTCAGATTCCGAACTACAGATCAGACAGAAATATAAAAGAATGCAGAAATCTCGCGTTCTCTTCTATGATTCATACGCTCCTTTCCTTCGTTCTTTTCAAAATGTTCTCTAATTGCTTTAATACAGTATTTATTCTTATTATCATTGCTCAATTCATTCAATGTCATGAGATACACTCTAGTAGTTATCACCAAGGTAAAGTCAGGCTTGAGGGAATATGTAAACAATCATCTCATTGATATTCATAGGACACCAATCCCCTAAAACGATATCACCAAGTGATATAGACACTTCAGATTCTTTTGCTGGTCAGTTTTTCGATAGCTTAAAGGCGCTCAAATCAAGCACTCAGCTCAAGAAAGAAAGAGACTCAAAAAATAGGGTATGGGACAAGCTTGATAGGGGTAATCGACGCAACAGCAAATTACCTACAGGTGTTTCACTGCTCCCTTTATTGGATTTCCCAGGAGGCTTATTTGGTGATAAACAACAAAGCACTGGACCACACGTGCCTTCATGTTACAGGAATGGTAAAGTGACTCTCTCTCAGTATTGGATACCCAAGGAAAACGAATGGGATGAGACACCAAATGGGAAGCGTATCTTCTTGGGAGGTAATATCAAAAGACCTTTGCTCGACAAAAAGAACGACACTATTGCCCTGGTTCCAGCAGCCATGTATGATAAGTGCAACCTTGAAGGATTCGTAAGTGTATATGTGATATCGGAATGGCATATTTACTCCTTCTTTATTAGTGCTTATTAGAAAACGGAGACCTCATCAACTTACATAACCAAACAGATCGATTTGTGAGAGTGGGAGGCTATGGGCGTGCTCATAATGTATTTGGTCTAGGATCTGGAGAACAAAATTTGGTTCCGTATGTGAGCGTAGCAGCAAATGACCTTCCCTATGGACAAACGCTTTACATACCTCAGCTAGACGGTTTAAAATTGGGTGATGGTCAGAGACATAATGGATGCGTAAGAGTAGACGATGATAGCTGGTCTTTTGACTGTAAGATACTATTATACAGTTATACATTGATACTCATTTTTTATCTATAGCATGTCAAATTGACTTTTTTGTGCCAACTTATGTGGACTATCTATGGTTAGATATCAAGAGCCGTGCCTCAGTCAAAATCGTAGATTGTGAAGTAAAGAATTACATAACAACAGCACATCTACAGTCTATAATGGCATCCACTGATGTGAATATTATTCCTTCTTTACTGAATGCAAAATATAGAAAAGAATAAGGCCGTTGATTGTACCTTATAGCTTTTATCCTAAATTAAAAATAAAGTTCAAAAAGTTTAACATATAGACGCCTTAGCTTGAAAAAACTTATGCTTCCGCAAAGGCAAACCGTTTTTGTTAGAGTTAAATATCTTTACGTTCTTTGAAAGATTGATGCCCTTTATTTGTTTCATCAAATATAGACGGCAAAAAAAAATTGATCAACACTATCTTGGAAGAGATACTTCTCTTCCTTATTTCACGGAGACGTGTATAATCGGTTGGCGTTTGATACCTACCTTAGCTGAAGATGGTGATGCTCGGGAAACTAAGTTAACAGAACAAGTGCGTAATTCTAGAATGATTTGTCGTCACTCACTCGATGGTCTGAGAACAAACTATGAGATAATCGAGAGACTGACTCTATTAGGCGCGTATGGAACAAGCCAGCTAGAAAAAGACAACTGTTCAAAAGTGGAGCTAAATACTTTATGTATGCATCATTCATACAAGGCCTTGAATATCCTTCATGGGCTTTCTTAACTATCTTTTTTTATTAGCTTCACTGTAACAAATATCACTTCCTCCCTTTTCTTTTTTTCATTTTTCATACGCACTTTTTGTTGTATTGTATATTTTATAAATATTTAAATAAAAAATAACCTCTTTATGTACTTATGTGTATTCACTACTTGGTACTACTTTAAGAAAAGAAAAGCCTTACTACCATGGGTGAAGTACTTTTTTATTTTTCAAGAGCCACATCCATCTGACTGTGTCACACTCAAGTTCTCCTTATTTTGAGCATTTAAATAAACTTTTTTTTCTCTTCTTTTTCTTTTTCTTTCTTCCTTATTACGCCTACTCAACCAAAACAACGCTCGCTTATATGTTCGGCCGCAAGTCATTTCACGATATCCGGAAGGCGCACTACACACTTTGTCCCACATTGTAACCTAGCACTTCCTTGTTGGTGATTCAAGGGGAAGCAGAATACTGGAGGTTTGCCACGGAAGGGATGCCATGGATCTCCTAGTGATTAAAAAGCACGCTCTGTATTTTGTGGGGATCGTGCCCTCTAAGTGTGGCTACTTGAAAAAATGCTTATGCTGTTGCTAGGCGGTATCGAACCAAAAGCTATTTTGGGTAGTTTAATGCGTGCTGAAGCGCGAGTCGCGCGGCGGTTGTTTAGGGGTAAGGCTTAGGGAGACGGGATGACCTTTTCTTTCTAGACTGGTTTGATCAGTTGCTTGGCCTGGATCACAGACGCTGCGAAACTGTCTCTCTTTGTAGATCAAATGAATATAAACGAAAAATGAAACGAAAATAATAACTTTTAAGTGTTGCTTGTTAATAAATTTAGTGTTTCCTCCCCTCCCTTTTTTTTTTTTTTCTCATGACGTTCTTTATTCACTCTTTTGAAAATGTATTAAAGCTCATTTTATACTAGAAAGCTGTTTATCGTTCGTGATGTGTTTCAGATTGAGTGCTTGTTTCAAGAATGATAAAGACTGGCTTTATCATCAATATCCTTATTATTTCTCTATTGCAAAAAAAGGCACCACATAGTCACTTCAGTTATTAACAACTCAGTGGGGTGAGTGCATAACCAGTATTATTCTTATAAAGTAGCCCATAGTTATGTACAAAAGAACTAGAGCTCAATAGCTTTTACAAATAACTATTTATGGATGATATCAAACTTAAACACACTTGTATATTTATTAAATAAAATAATATAATCACTCCAGTATATATCACTCTAATATCACTCTATATATAACACTGTATATGTACTGGAATCAGAAGAGAACCAAAGGCGCCCAAGGATTTTGCTGATATCGTTGACGATGCAGAAATTTGGGTTATTGATCCTGGTATATCAGCTATCTTTACTGCAATTGACTCTACAGAACATGAACGTAGTCGAACTTCAAGCTTGGAAAAATACTATCATTTGTGTGGTTACAATCTTGCTACAATAAGACGAAAAGAACACCAAGAGTGTCATTTAGACGAATTTAAGTATATTAGTGAATTACCTACTTCAAAAACTGCAAACTTGACCTCATTTTTACTAGCTGCCTCTACGCATCTACAAAGTTATTAAAGAATCCATGATTACTACTCTCAAGATAAATGATAGGTTGTTCTCACATGGTGTATATTCTAATAACGCTGCGTATGACATAGATCTCAAAAGTTAAAGTTCAAGACTTATATCAACAAGCAGAAAGGAACTCAAGAAATTGTTAAAAGACTCTTTGACAGCAGCAAGAAATATGGCACATCAAGCACAGCTGGCGCTAAAAATCAAAACCCAAACAAAAGCAAACTGTACCTCTACCTCCTGTTGACCCCTTCCTCCTCTTAACGGAAGCGAATCATTGCGTTAGGAAATGGTTCTTTTTGTTCAAGCATGAAATGAAAACGAGCTGCACCTACTAGACGTATCATTGAAGAAATCAAACGAAAATGCAAACAATCCAACGAGGGGACCGAATTTATTTCGGTTGACGAGTATTTAACAAGTCAGATCTGTAATAAGTGCAAATCCAAACAATTAAATAATATCTCAATTACTGGGTCAAAGTGAAGAGTACACTCTGTTCTCAAGTGTGAATCTTGTGGTGCGGCTTGGAATCGCGATATGAACAGTGCATTAAATATATATGGCATCTTTATTTACAAATCAAAACACGACAATGAAAGTCCTCCCCCCTCCCTTCACAAGGCCTTCAAAAGACTAACGGTGCTCCTTGGATTTAATACGCTGCCTATAACGGTAGTGGATTCCTTAATGCCTCGGTAAGTATAAAATGAACATTACATTATTTTTTATTCATTAGTCTTCTAGTTAAATAATATAAAAGTAACTAAGAAATAAAGGATGAATCCATTGCTTCATGTTTTGGTAATGGTGGTGGTGGCGATGATGGCGGCTTTTCATGTTTCTCTTTTGGAGAAATGAGTGGTTGTGAACTTGACACAATTGTATTGTCTTCTCTGTAGTTTGTCTTGATACCAGGTGTACTTCTTTTTGGCACTGCTTTTCCTTTTTGGCACTGATCTATGGCTGGATTTGGTTGTGAGGAGGAAGACGCCTCGGGCTGAGCAGAACTTGCTGCGTTTCTATATTCTGCGACCAGAGATGTATAAGGCCTGAGAATTCTGTTGATTTCTTCTTGGTTGATAAGTTCGCTTGACTCTGTTTCTTGAACTTCGTCAGGCTTCATAACTGTCGTTACATTACTGCTGCTGTTATTGTTGGTACTGTCTTGACCAACACTATGATATTGTGTAAGCAGATCTACGGTTCGTGAGCTAGAGAAGGGGCCTTGGCTTGAACTTCTGGCTTGTAATGTACCAGGCAAATACAGACTGCCACTCTGTGGTCCGCTGCTCGTAGACATGAGCGTGGCTGCACTGTGTCCATAAACATATCCGTACTTTCGCTTTCGCCATATTACCATTCTTGCCGGAGGACGTCCTGATTCGTCCAGCTCATCTTCACCCAAGCCAGTCAGTATGACCACTACATTCTTAACTTGAAGAATAAAAAAGAGAAAGAATGCGAGGCAATGAATCGCCAATTGTATATAACCCACGTACTGCTTGATCTGCGTAGTCGCTTTGACTTCTGGAAGATACGGAATGTTGAGAATAAGAACAAGTAAGCGAATAAATCCAAAAACGATGTGGATTATGTTTACAGTCTTGTCGGCATAAGGGAATGCGAATATAATGAGTAATAGCACGACAGTTTCTGCGATTATGACAAGCACTAGCTGCGCAGTGCCGCTTGTTTGAAATAGACCAATCATGGCTGCAATGATTGATTTGTAGGCGATGAGTATAATAAAGAAGTGTGATTGATCATCAGTGAAGGTATTGTAGAGTGCGCCATAACGCAGTAGTAGCTTTAGTTCAGTAAAGATGAACGAACGTGGTCGAATTTGAAGAAGCCGTATCGCAACGAATCCATAAAAAAGAAAGGGGCCGACAAGCATTATTGCAGCCAAAGCGGTAATGAACCAGTAGGTGGGTATCATCAACTGATAATAGGCCATTGTAATTAAAGGAAGATAAAGTAACGTGAGGATACGAACGAGTACACCTAGAGTCATAACGTAATTAGTTGCGCATCTTTAAGGTGTGTATATGATGTTTTACCTATGGTAAAATCCCACATCTTTAAGGACCTTTCTACAAACTTTTTATGCTTAGTAAATGTTCCAATTAGGTAAAATGTGAGCCAGGTCAAAGAGCAGAGAACAAGGCAAGAAGCTATGATAATCAAGAAGTAAACAAGAACAGTAAAGAAAAGCGCGTTGATGTCAATATCTACTGCTGTTGCAAAATCTGACATTCCTGTTCCTGCGACCTGAACAGAGTTGCCCTCAATACGGATGAGGTTTTTAACATCAGAATCTAATTGTCGTTTATATATGCTCAATCCAGGTACTGATCGACCAGCTGTCTCTTGCGGTTCAAACAGCCGACTGATGGTTGAATTTAACCATTCCGATTTGAATAGTAAGAAACTCCATGAAAAATTTGACGTGAATAGGGCGTGGAAGCGAGGATAGTCGATATTGAATTGTCCTGCGATAACAATAAATTGAGCATAATACATCAAATCAAAGAAACCAGGCGTTTTTAATCGCAATACACCAGGCAACATGGCATAATTGGAACTGAATAAGAATATGTCATGTTCTACATCCACAATCCTTGTGAGTGATGCTATGAGTGAAATAGCTGCAGCTGATATGGTGAAGCCTATAGGAAAGTATAGGAATACGTTTTTCCATACCGGATGCTGATAACCAATGGGCGCTAATCGGATGCATAAAAGTGGCGTTGAATCTGGGTTGACAGCTGAATATTGTGCTGTGATATCGGCCAATGGATAGAGAGGTACACGAGAAAGGTTAACAGACTATAAATAGATATTGTATAGAATGAGCTTGTGTTTTCTTCTTCTTCTCGTAAGATTTACTCTCTTTCTTTCTTTTTTTTTTTTTACCCTTTGTATTGTCAAATTGCTTTTTGCCGATAAAGGACATCCAGAAAGTATGTCAGGACAGAGTTGCTGTGGTGGCATGTATATAGTTTCAAATCCGAATTGTATTTCGAAAAAAGAAGCAGACGATACTAAACAAGTTGTCTGATGATGATCTAGCATAGAGAGAAGGGGGAGAAATGCTTCATACCTGAACCTTGGTCATTTAAGTTAGTAATATTTATATCAGTCGATCCCGTCAAGCTGAATTCGTAGGTATCTGTCAGAATATCAAAATATCTAGTTATGGATGTGACATTAACTCTGCCTCGGCTATTGCAGTATGTGTAATTGTTGGATGGAAACCAGACAGCGTCTATACTTTGAGCCCATATCCTTGACAATATTGAAAGAATAAAAATAAAATGGATGTAAGCCATATAATATAAAATGATGCTAAGAGAGAAATAAAAAGAGAAGAAAAAAAAGAAAGGCTGATGTGTAGCCATTGGCAAAGAATATCCCCTTCATAGTAAAAGGGACAGTTTGTATCACAGGTCTTTTTTCAAACAGCGAACAAACATTAGCTCTTGTTTCTTTTAAGTTCTCTTTGAAACATTAGCATTAGACAGTTTATACTAGTGACTAATACTTGAATAATGAGGCAGACATAAAGAGTGTATTATTCATAGAACATATTGGTGGCTTAGAGAAGATGAAGAAAGAAAGGGCTGAATAAAACAAAGAAATCTAGAATCATTTCTTTCTTTCAGCCCTATGAACAATAAATGAGTTAATGAAAGGGGAATAAAAGGGCATAGCTGTGGCGTATTATCCCTTTTATATCAACATCGCTGGCACTCAGTTTTCTTTGATAGCCTACAGAGCTAATGCCATTTCCAAAAGGTGACCTTGAGCTCCTATGGCATCCACTTTTGATCTCTTCTCTCTTTTTATAAACTGCTTGTCTTTTCAATATTGATATAGTTATCAACAATCTTTTGTATAAATTCCAGGTTTTATCATAGCTGCTGGAAAAGCCAACAAGCATGATCTATGCTTTATGTATATCAGGAATTGGCAAACAAAAAGAGTACAGCAACTGTACCAGGTGTAGCATTACATAAGCAAACCATACATAAATTCATAGAGCCATAAAGACAGGTGAAAAAAAGATATTCTTAATAATGGAAACGCTTTTAATATTTTAAGAAATTGGATGTATTCACGGATACAAGGAAAATAAACAAAGGTTTGAGAGCAATAATACATATCAACAATACTTTAGGTAACTACAAGCGGCTATCGTTATAAACCATGATATGTCCTAAGGTCGGATTGATATCTCTATCTCTTTCAAAACGCCTTGCACACAATGAGCTTGATAAGTCGTGTCTTTTTCTAAGCGAATGTACAATAACAACGCGTCATTTATTCATCAACTTTCTTTCTTTTTTTTTTTTATTTACATTTATTTATAATAAGTGTACTCCTTTTAGTTCAAGACAATAAAGCCTTGATTAACAGGATCAGTCACGGGAAGATAAGGGTACATATGGCCTCAGAGAAAGAAAGGTGTACACTGAATGCCAATGGTGTATATACCTTATAAAAAGGAGTGATGTATCAAGGCTGAACTTATACATCTGAAAAACCTAGAAAGTACAGGCTGAACAGTCCCAGGCAAGCCTGAATTGACAGACTGCCAACAGGTAGCTATCGATAGGCCCCAACCTCGTCTACCGGTCGTCCCGCAAGCTCAGAAGATGACCTTGACTCAGCAGACTACCCAAAATAGCTTTTGGTTCGATACCGCCTAGTAATAGCATAAGCATTTATTTGAGTAGCCACACTTAGAGAGCATTTCTCTGTTCACAGATAACGGGCAAAGTGGTTAATCACACAAGTACAGCCAGCTCAGAAATCTGCAGGCCACTTGAATCGCCAACAGGACCGTATCAGGATTACAGTGTAAATAAAGAGCATGTCCAGTCCTATAAAGGATGAAATAAAGCCAAGACCAAAGCATCCTCACAGGAAGGAAAAAAAGCAAGGAGTGTCTGTAAAGAGGTAGGTCAGAAATACTCTAAAGTGTTGACCGTCGATTATTGGAATAATGACTTTTTATTGGCTATTACGTTCCAATAACAACCAAGGCGATTTTCTATTGGCTCACAAGTTTTAATAGCGCGCCTTTGCATATGATTGTCAACAAAGGTCTTTTAGAAAAGGAAGCGTAGTTCTCTTTATTGTCTCTGATAGATCTTTTGCATTGCGGTTATTAATATATAGCATACAGTAAATTCGGAGTAAAAGTACATGCATGGCAGTCAAGCACTAATGATAGCCTCAATCACTGATGTTTTGAATACTTCTGCAGCAGAATTCTACATGAAAAACATTCACTAACTTATTAAGAGTAAATTCATATTAAACAGATATTTAGGTAGTGATGCAGCTTGTTGAGAGTAAACAAAAGTTGTATACATATTTACAAAGAGGCCTTTTATTTAATATCATACCGACTACGGTACTCTTCGTTTGTAATCCTTTCATGAAAGTTGTTTTGGAGTATAATCCTATCCATACGCCTTAAAGCAGTTTCAATACTGGCAGGTAGCGACTCGCCTGTGATCAAGCTGGCCAATTTGATAAGGTCAGAGTAATCACTTACTCTGATACGTTTTGCTTTTTGGTAATAAAAACTACCTAGCTTCAGAAGCTCTTTCTCCTCAGTATCATTACTTGGATAAAAGTGCTTCAAAGGATCCATGAACGGATCTGTCTTTTTAGAGTCCCAATCAAAATAATGATGCCCATGATTTTTTAAAAGACCCAATATCATAGCTACGGAATAAAATATAGTGTGAGACAGCTGAATTGGATGAATCAAGAAGTAATTTACCTGGCTTGCCTGAATCTCTAACGGATAAAGAATATGCTCGAGATCTTTCTTTTAGTTTTTCAATAATAAGATTCATGGTGTCTAATTTGTCTAGCCTTGCTTGCCATAATTTGATATTGTTGCGTATTTTCTTTAGCCATGCTTGTTTGGAGGTATATATATCAAATTCGCTCGCTTTATCCAGATCCCTAGTCATTGCATTAGATACAGTATGGTGGTTGAAAGATGGCAGTACTTACTTTTTGCTACCATCTATAGAATACATTAATTTTGCAGTGGCAATGACAGAGGCAACCAATAGAGTAGTAAAGTCAATCTTATTGTGACATGATCGACGACTGATGGATAATGTCTGCAAATGTTTCTCTCTATATTTTTGGAATAGAAACAAGGCATGGTAATAGCCTTCCACTATTAAAAGTATCATTTAGTAACAGTATTCAAGTGAGCCATAAAAACAAATTACCTGGTAAGAAGTAATACGAACAAAATCTGTCAAGGTATAAGGGTATATTTACATCTGGTAGTTCTAAATTACAATGAATAAAAAAGCATCTTGCATATCTATACACTCTCCTTCTGAGTCTGTCTAAGGTAGGTACATAAGTCATTTTTTCAGTAACATGCAGCGATAGCGAAGATAGTAGATCGTCTGGTACTAGTTTCTGCATATGGAGGTAAGGTAAACGCCCTGTCTTGCACATGAGGATAAGGTCATTTAGCAGAATGGGATATCGAAGATAAATGCACGCTAAATAGATAAACACAATGATGTCCGTGTATCTTGCCTTGGGCCATGGTCGTGGTTGACGGAAAATTGGGTTAACACTTGGATCATTTCCATCCTTTGTTTCATAGTGATCATCACCACTGTCATCTGTATCATCAAAAATGTCTAATGCTTCCAAGGTGTGTGCTTCTTCTGTGCTGAGACCAAAATCGGACAAGTTACTTTTGCTCTTCTCTTTTTCCCTCCTTTCATTGTCCTCTATTTCATATGCGCCTTCCATTTCAAATTGACTTTTTGATATGTATAATAACCAAAATTCTCTAACAGTGGCTTCAATTTCCGGTGAAAAGTCAAGATCTTCCACCATGCTGCGAGTGATGACTTGTAAGGCAAATTGAATGATCAGATACTCATAACTTGCGACTTGAGTTGCTGTCAAATGCTTGGTTTCCTCGACAGTCCTTATCCTTTTTCTTGTTCTTCCTCCACCACCATAGAAATCATCCTCAGCTTCTTCTCGTTGAACACCGAGAACTTTATGACCGTATTTACAGACAAGGCCAGTATCTCCCGAGCGTCTGAATTTAGTAGTTTGACAGATTGGACAGACACGCTTCATTACTTTTTAAATAATTTCTTTAATGAAATTAACAAGAGATATATATAAACAAGGAATAGGTTTAGTTTTTCTTTGAATCCCTTTCGTCAACTGAAATGGTGTAAGAGTTTTCGTCCAAGATTTTGTCTAATTCGTATTTTAATTGGTCAACCCAAGAAGCTTCAATGAATAAATGGGTGTCGTCCAAGTCTTCAATTACGAAATTTCCTCTTTTATTCAAGTTGAGTACGATTTGCTTTACTGTACTATCACACTCTAGTAAGACACCTTTGACGGCTTTTACCATGGAAACACAGAAAAAAATCTTTTTTTCTTTTGCAAAAAAGAAGAAAGTCAAGATAATTAATCTCCGATAGTTTCCTTTTTTGGAATTTAATTCAATCCAGTCATTGAGTATCTCTTTTAGACTTAACTAAAGAGTATAAAAGCATTGATGACTTTTTGAGCTTTTTTTTTTTTTTTTTTTGTAAAAAAAGATCAGTTGACATTATCTATAACCAAGACATTTGATTGGTGAATGTCTGACATGTAGCTGATGTGATGCTTTGGACTAAGAATAGCGAAAGTCATGAGCAGCTGTACTATAAAGTCATTTCTTTTTATTTATTTATTTTTCACGCCTTGAGACAGAATGAGTAAAATAAGCATACAACACTTTATTGTTACGCCAGCAGCCAGGCTGATCGGGCATAGAAATAAAAAGGAAATAAATGGGCATAGGCATATAGTCAAAAGGAAAGGAAACAAATAAATAAGGGAGTAGCAGTATACAGAAATAACATAAAAAAGATGTACATAAAAATTCAAATAGTAAAGATTAAAAAAAAAAAAAAAAAGAAAGGCATTAAAGAAGGTAAATATATCCAGAAAAAGGAATAAAGAGAAGCAGAAAAGATTAATTTTGTTGTTGACCAAATTCAATAGACTTCCAAGGTCGTTTGAAATAACGCATGTGATTTGGATCTACCAAATTTTTACTTTGTAAGGTCTTGAAACGTCCCCAACAGCATCCCCTAGATCGATGAGGAAGATAGGTAGAAGATATCATTGCCCAAGATAGGCCTTGGTTGTAACCACGTCGGAGAAGTTCATCCTCGAATGGGGTCCAAGGAGTTCTTGTTTGTTGTGTTGATCCAGTTGATTCAGATCGTGTTCGACGATTGACAGTGTTGTAAACAAACATATGATGTCTTATGTGGCCAATATCGCTTGTCGTACGTCGACGGTGAGACTGAGGCAGAGGATGATGAGGTAAAGGAGTCCAACTATAGCTTCGACTAGGTGTCAAAGGACCATCCATATAAAAACTACTGGCACTGCTAGAGGAACTGATGTTGCTATAAATGCTCTCTGGACTGCCACTACTATTATTACTGCTGTGGCCCAATTCATTCGCTATGTTTAGGGAGTGATTATTAGTTGGCCAAGAGTTGGCTATATCGACTTTTGGTTGACTTTCTTTGATTGTAAGCGTTGATACAGGATCGCATAAAAGGTACTTGATATCCATGACTTTATATAATGGAGATACAACTATATGTAAACAATAAGCCAAAGCTCCTTCTTTATATAGTCATGTCTAATATTTTTACCAGAGATATATGAAAGTATATAAAGATTACACAATACAAAAAAGAAAAAAAAAGAGGTTTATATACAAATCATATGTAAACAGATAAAGAAGGTGTATTTAAATACTACTATTATTATAGGGGAAGAAAGGAGAATTTGCATTCAGGGACACATATACAAAAAAAACAAAGAGAGTTAAAAAGTACTGACAGAGAGGCAATTAAAATCCAAATATGGTATATTCAAAATGCTGCATATACACACACATTTATACACACTAATGCCGTCAAAATTTCAAGTGCAGTTGATTACCCCCTTTTTTTTTACCTGATATGTATAATTTTTGACAGTCCATATTTGGATATTTTATTTGAAGCAAGGGGATACACACACATTTGTATCCTATACTTTTCTTTCTCTCTTTTTTTCTTTCTCTATCTCTCTCTCTCTTTATTTTCTACAAGACGCTTTTCCATTGTTTATAAATAAAAGAAGAAAAAGAGAGATGAATGGACCATAGATCAGGTCCATCACAAGATGAAGACTATACATAACATAATGCAAATAGACGACTTCATTCTATGATCATTCTACTTACCCATCAAAATGTAATGTCATGTACTTTATCATGGATAGAACCAGGGAGCAGTATGATAAAATCATTCTCGGAGTGTTGGAATTGTAAAGGTATACTTTTTGATAAATGACTAAACTTGGTAAATTTTTCTTTTTTATTTTAAATCGAATTAAATTCTTTTTTTTTTCTTTTTTTTTTGTGCATTTATCTGCTTCTGCGACCGCGCATCCAAATAAAGTTTATACATCGTATTTAATAAATACAAAAAAGACATACACTCCCCTTCTTTTGAAAAAGGGGTCTATAGACTTATTTTGTAACACGATGGCCCAACTTTCTAAAAATACAGTTCTGTCATTAAGAACACAAAAGAGTATCCTTTTGATGCGTGAATTTAAAGGCCTGCATGTAACTCTTGCATCTCTATTTATATTTATTCCTTAAACATCTACGCCGCACAATAACTGTCTTATCTTTTAAAGAAGAGAGAAGATAGATTGTTTGTCAAGGGAACTGTCAGTCCGGATAGACTTCTTTACGAATTTGATTGAATTTTAGTCTAATGCACACTTATCTCCTCTTAGCAATCAATTATATTCTTCGAGCCTTTGATCATTTGAAATCTTGCAGATAGGGTTTATGTTTATTAAAGGAAAAAATATAAAGCAGATTTAGTTAGTCTAGAGTAACTATCCCCCTTCCCCCCTTTAATCTGTTTGGCGTTTATGCCTCTGTTTTTACCCTAACAAAAAAAAGTTGCTGAAAATCATTTTATTGACAGTGTAACGTTGCTTCCAGAAAGTAAGGTCGTACCTAGTACACTCTTACACAGTGTCATCCCGCTAATAAATCAGATGCTATCGTATAAGCCTTGATGCTTGAATTATGTAAAGTATACTACGCTTTTATATTTGGACCTTTTCCCTTTCTTTCTCTTATTTTCACTATCATATCACAAGTAACTAGCCATGAATTTTCAATTTTCATGTGATTATTGTTGAAAAATATCGTTCCGAGTATTTGTCTATAGCGCCTCAACAAGAAATAAGGAGATTCTGGCGACACATACTTGTATGCTCTACACAGATCATAACAAATGGAGTATTACTAAAGCCTGGGCTGTTGGCCACTGGCCGATCATCATATCTGTGTTTCTCCCTTTTTCTGAACTTTATTATTATTATTATTTTTAAGAAAGGGGACGTCAAATTAGATATGAATATGAAATGCCATCTATGTAGAGTGGCTTATAAGAATGTACTGGATGATGTTGATTTACTATCTACTAGTAGCATTGCGTCACTTGCAAACCCTCGAGGCATACACTTCACTGGAAAGCTTTGAAGAACCGCAATATTGGTTGGAATTTTTTCACCTTTACCAAAATGAGAGTATTGTGACAATCAGCTACTGATCTATCTGTATAATCAGAAGAAGAGGCTCGGCTGTTATATCTATCTATAGCGTTCTCATCCTTATAACAGAAAAGGCTCACTACCGGCTGATTAATAGACCAGTCTAAGAATAAGGTAGTCTGTAGAGTCTGCTTGTTAATCCAGCCTTGAGTATGGAGATATCCAGCCGCAGCAAATTTAATCAGGATTCGTATGAACTTCACTGCGCGCTCCATGCGGGCGATTAAGTTAGTTTTACAATTGGGGTCGTTGTGGCGCGTACATGTTCGATTTCAAATCTGGCGACTGCATGCTCTTGAGTAAGATACTGGACCACGTTCAAAAGAGGGGCATATAGTCTCCTGTGCGAAAACAAAATGATACCAGTTGAACAGTTGGAAACTTATGAGGATTTTGGGAATCTCGGCACTTTGTGTGGACAATATTTGTGAAGAAAAGGAAATGCGAGATTGTAAAATGGACTTCGTACTTGCGGCTCTAAAGGTACTACAACTACTACAGTTAGTGCATCAAAAAATAGTTTATGAAGGTTCGGGTTTCATACTGTCGTTTTGGTCTAAGAGTCTCTCTGCTTTCTACAATGAGGACGGATTAGGATCTTAAAATCAAGTTTGAACTATGTAAACGTGCCTTGAGGTGTGCTTACATCATCTATTTTAAGTGGCAAAAAACCTACATTAGCCATGACGTTGCTTATTGACCTAGTCTACGAATATTTTGCTTTGATTGACGTGTACGACATATCTCGTTCTAAGGAAGGCTAGCTTCAGGTTTACGTTAGGCTGTAAACACACCGCACAAGCTTAGTTATATATCATTAGCAGGTTGAAGCAAGATCGTTTTACCATAACAACATTCTTGTAAATAGAACCATCTTTTAATAGCACTTGAGCTCAAGCGTTTGATATTGTGAAGAGAATGCTAGTGGAAGTAGCCCTTCTTAATTAACTGCTCCTTACTACCTTCTGAGCACTTTTTACTGTTGTGCGAAAAAAAAGTAGAAATGTTGAAGTATTGATATATTCCTTTATCTCATATCATTTGCAGAATGATAAGCTCGTAGATTGATGCATATATATATATATATGTATATATCTTTATCTTTGAGCTATGATATAGTTGAAGCATCACAACTCCAGGTGATAATGAAGTCAAAACATGTCATCAAGTCGCTTTAATCCGTGTCCCTAAAATGGAAATACTGATAGGAATAAATGCTTCATGATGTCAACTTGAGAGATATTAAACGCATTCTGTAAATGTGAGGTTGTAGGCAGATATTATGCACATCGCCAACAGGCATAACACCGAAATGCCCATAACCAGAGTATTTATAAAGGAGGTGCTGCTTATTGACGATCATAACAAGACCCTGGACGAAAGAAAACACTGGAAATCTAAATGACAGGCATATATCTACCTAATCAAGGTTACGCCACCTCTCAAAAATCCGAGATATCCGACTTTTTTTCCTTGCTCCCCCCTTGTTTTGAAATAGAGTTATTTTTCTTAAAAAAAAAAAGGAGTCAACATGTAAATATGAGAAAAGTGATAACAGGAGAAGAGTCAAATGTTTACAAAAAGACTTAAGTGATATGGTTAAAGGCTTTCCTTCTCATTCTTATTGAAAACGTAGTTACAATATCATAAAACTGATGCTTTTACTACTGAAGCAAATCTTACTTTAATAATGTACGTAAGATTTAGCTGTAATTTATATACAGAAAGCTTTATAAAGCACATGAAGGATTGTGAATTAGAATAGTTTGCTCAAATCATAACCTTTGATGGGTCGAGCGAAGGCGATAAGCACTTTAGAGTGAAATTAAGGCCTATACTAACAAGCTTACGACTGTCTGTTTAATATGAAAAGTATGCAAGGAATTTCTCCTAAATCCTTTGAACTATATCCTCTTAAAGCTGTTACAAAGCGCTATTGAAAGCCTTGAAAAAACCTCCCTCGCCCTATGATAAATTCATGAGAAACTACCTTTTATTCCCCTCTTTACCATACGACCGCTTTGAACTGTCATTTCTCCCTCGCCTGTGTTAATTTGCATCCAACTTCTTATTGTACCTTACGAGTATATGAAATAATTTGTTGGTTATCGGAATTCAGCAAGATGCTATACTTGACTGTCGAATGCCAGAAGGATACTACAAGATTACTGAGCTTTGCTTGGAGTCAACAGCTTCAGGTATGGATCCATTATCTAAAAAGAGGTCGTATGCTCCAGGGTTACCTATAGAAAATGAATTGTTACCATAGTATAACCATATGTTCATAGAACATAGATAATCTCTTGTGATATAAAGAAGCCCTTTTGTCTTAACAGAGCTATTTGAATCAATACAATGCGCTTCCTGGGTTTGATTCGAGAATATCTAATGATTACTGTCCTTTACACAATGAATGCTTATAATTAATGTACTAAAGATACAATTCTCTTGCTGTCATACCAAAGTCATTTGTTTGAAAAGATCGGCACTACGCCACTTTGTACTGCATATCAAATACTCTTACTCTTTCTGTTGCTACCGTCAATATGACCCTTTACCAAGGATTTATATGAGATTTTGCTTTCTGACATTGATAATTTTAACCAAGGACTGCGAAATAGACTGTAGCTTTTTGTCCGACTATATTCTCCATCCTTACTATGCCTGGTTTCATTGTTATGAGAGTAACTGCTGTTAAGGAGCAATATCTTTTCTTCAGAATAAAAAACCTTTCATAGGTTCACGCCCATAAAAGGAAAAAAGATTCAGGCACTAAGGCCTCCGGATGTTAACCATGTTATGGAAAAAAAATTCTCTTGGGGGTCAAGTCATCTTGGAGTCTAGGACCTCTTAAAAAAGGCGACTATGGTTATTTTTAGTCATGCCTGTGCACACAAAGCTTCGACCTTGTTGGAACCCAATGACCTGTTGAAGACTAATTCAGACCCCTTTTGGTAGTACAAATGACCAAAAATGTGATCTATTTGATGGCAGTTGCCATGTGACACTGAATTTGATTTAAATTGCGGGGAAGAGTAAGTTTGTAGCCTTTCTCTCTCTCTCTCTCTTTATCTTTTTTAAATGCTTAATTGGATAACAGCCATTCTATTGACGCCCTTTCTTGTGATGATTATTAGCTTTTTAACAATATTAGCAGTCATTACAAGCACAATTACATCTTCATTCATATTCATTCGCCTGGCGTTTTTAACCGTAGAGATGATATCAGGCCTTACTATAGAATCAACTAATTGGCTACTGTCAGCTTGCCTAGAATATGTTCATTCATACTTGACACAACACCAAAAGGTACGCCGTTCAGCTACAGCCAGCCCTAGACCAACACTAAGGAAGCAGAAATTACCACCTTCTTCACTCTATCTCAACTCACTTTCACATAAACCTATTGTCAAGTCAGCCTATTCCGTGTCTGTACCGGGTACACCAGATCCAGAATCATTCCATCACCAAATGGCCATATAATAATTTATTGCTGTAATATATAATAATAATACCCTTTTTAAGCTATTTCTCCTTATTTATTTCCCATGGCTTTGGTCTCGCTTTCATTTGTGATTGACTTGGTGTACCGTCATTTAACGTGTTTGGTATTTGTTTGATGCCTATTTATATATTCACTTTCTACATTCTGATAATCTTTTTTATCATTTACTAACCTGGTATTTCAATTCCCTTTTCAATCATATCCACTATTTCTTGAAACGTAAATCGAATTGGTTTATCTAACGTCATCATTGTATTTTAAATATTCTCCTTAACCCCACTCTTTTTTTTTTAATGCATACCCGTGTTTTCAGTATTAAGGTTTAATCCCTTCTTATTCTCATCTTTCCATTTTATGTATTCATCATATTGAATAGGAGTAAAGAACCTTTGTTTTGATCAATCATACATGCATTTATGATTATCGCGCTGCTTACTTTGAATAATAGAATAGTTTGGCTTTTAATATTAACTGATCTTTGTTGTCTTGGTTACTGGCTAAAAGTGACGCAATGCCCAGCTAATGTTTAAAACCTTTTAAAATTCATAGAAAATATGAAATGAAGAAATTCTTTTACTTGAAACTGTTCGTCATTGTCAAAATCATAATTTTCAAATGCTTTATAAGAATCTTGTTGCACTTGTTCGTCCTTGACTGACATTTTAAATAAAGTAATAAAAAGGGCAAAAAAAAAAGCAATGACGTTACGGTTAAACTTTTAAGTTTATTAATTTCATTGGTTCCATCTCTCATTCAGCATTCTTGAGTACCGTGACACCAATGTATTATATGATCATAAGCAAATGTCGCTTTAAAGAGAACCTGAGAATGAAGAGTAAGACGACACCAGCAAGATAGCAGATGCCTGTAAAATATTTGTAGCTTTCATAGGGCTCGAGCCCATGTATCGAGGTTTCGATTGTGCCTGCTAGATTGGGTCCAAACATTGAGACGACTGTAATGACGAGAAATACGGAAATTCCTGTTTCAAACTTTTCTTGTCCTGTTACAAGCAGCATAATTGCTGGTGCTACAATTATGTGTTAGGGGACCTGCCTTGTTTATAAATACAAAAAGATACCCACTTAGTGTAACGAATGCTCCTCCAAAGAACCCATAAAAAATAGAAAAGGCAAGTAGTGTCCCAAATGTCTTTGCAAACGTCCAAAGCAGCAAACAGGAAAGACCCGATATGGTACAGTAAATGATAACTACATTAATATGTCCTATCCAATCAGCTAAAAAACTAGAAAAAAAGGAGACATATGTATATAGGTTCATCTATTATATCTACATCTTTATTTACCCTGAGATGATTCTTCCAATCGCATTCATGCCTGAACCTACTGATAGGATAAGTGCACCTTGAGAGGACGATAGGCCGAGATAGGTAGCATATGCTTCTCACATAAATTAGAGATGAAGTAAAATGAAAGGGTTAGACTCACATGGAAGAAAGTAAGCAGGAGTATTATAGGCCGCTTCAAACAAGATATCAATGATACACCACAAAATATATCTCCAATCATTTGCCACACTAAAGTCAAATGTTTCCTTTATGTTCAAAGACGTCTTTGCTTGCTTCTTGCCCTTATCTTTCACACCTAAAAGCCAACAAGCTGACAGTCCGATGACAAAACAGATCAAACTCATGATTCGATAGCACCTATGATTTATTTGTTGAAATGAATGAAGCAACATGTGACTGTTCATGTGAAGCCTCTTACCAACTTGCTCCAAACCTTGTATTGATAGCATCCATAACAAATGGGAACACAAGACCGCCAATACTGATTCCACTGGATGTTAATCCTAATGCTATACCTCTATGTTTAGTAAAGTATTGAGGTACAATACTAAGTGCAATCTATAATAAATTATAGTAAGACCTTGATTAAATTACCATAGTTTACTCATTACATAAAACATGATGGATATGCCTATGCCATAGATTACACCATGAGTCAAATAAAGATGCCAGGTCTGTAGAGTGCCCAGTGTATATCATTAAGATTATATGAAACGCTTACTTTTTTTTTATTTACCTGTGTGCTAAAACTTGCTAACAATAGACCAAGGCTAGATACCAATACGGAAGCGACCAATGTGTTCTTTGGCCCCAATACATTCAAGAGCAATTGAGATATAGGGCTCAACACATTAATAAGCATATTATATATTGTCTGTGCAAAGCTAAGTCGTAGGGACAAAGTTGTCGGATCGTCGTTGCCCAGATTATGCTGTTCATAGTAATTTTGCATGACACCTAATTCATTTCACTAAATGATTTCAGCTTTACATATTTGTGCATGTCCCTACCCCTAAGTAAATTCAATGTCAGAGAAATCATTATTTATAGAGCAAATCGTTACCATGACTGTCCTGTTGCTAGGCCAACGGTAAGGATAAAAAAGGTACAAAGAACAACTATCCATGGATATGAACCTCCTTCTTCGTACCTTACAGTTTCTGTCTGAGAGAGCTGCTCGATACCCTTTTCACATTGTTCTAATAAATAGCCTATAGTTTTAGATCGGCTGGTGTAGGACACAGATAAGCACTTGCCATTTCTAGATGTGTCTAGTGTTTCACTTGTTACGTATGAGGAATTGCTTTCTTCAGTACACGCTATGCAAGTTAACATGACATGTTGTACGCTAGTGTGAGTACAACTTTTCATTGTAAGAATAAAACAAAGGAAGAAGAGAGAGAGAGAGAAAAAAAAGGGAAATCACTTGTATCTTCCGTTTGTATTCCTAATGAACTAACCGAACGCTAACGACGAACTGTGCATATACTCTAGGCCGAATAAGCTTAAAATATCTTCATAGATTGTTCTAAAAGATTGTCAATTAGATACTGTCGGGAGTCATCGTTTAACACACGTTCTTTCTCTTGTACCACTTTCAATAGTAAAAAGATAAACAGCAAGATGGCTGGCATATAATCGTGTAGAGGAGAGTAATCATACTTCTTACTCTCTTCATCGCTACACAGAGAGTTTAGTCTTGCCGAAGAAAATAAAATGGGTACATTCACGTCGTTCTATCATTTACAGCAATGAACCCGTTCTCACTCTAAGTAATGTTGCCTTTGTATAGGCTCTTTCTCATATTAGACATTCCTGTTTTTTATACAAATATAGTAAACGCAAAAGGAACTGTCCGCCGATGTCATTCGGTGAAGCGGTAAAGCATTGACGTTTTTTTCATATTACACTTAAGGAAATACGTATATGTACACACAAGAAGGATGATAGGGTATAATCTCAGCCAACTGTTCATCAGTGTAAGCAAAAAAATAAAGTGAGATATAAACCTTTTCTAGTCACCTAAGCTAGTGGAATGGTGCTGGCCTTGGATAAGCATTGTACGCTCGTAATGCCTTGAGCACTCTTTAGAAAGTTAATAAAAAGGGAGCTTTTTAAAATGCTATACTTTATACATCCCATTAGAAGACTAAACACCAAATGTCTCTACGTTTTTCTCTACTCCAATTCGTCAAGGACGTCTTGGAAGAAAAATAGCCGCCATAGACACCGACAATTGTTTTGCTAAATATCGAGGTTAATGCTCAAAAGATGAATGAAATAAGCCAATTACTTAGGGATAGCTACCAAAATCGTTCAATTTAATTGATTTAACGGCAGGAATGATTTCAAGCATACTTCAATATAATCTCAATAATGTACTCAGTAGACACAGAGTAAGTATCTATTCCTTTGGATGAAATACTTGACGAGACTATTTTTGAAAAGGTATCCCTCTCTTTCTCTTTCTGTTTAAGAGTTCAATTGATAAATTTGACACCCTTTAAATAAACCTAATCATTGCTGTCCATCTTCCTTTAGCTCTCTTTTCTTATAACTGATCTTTTATGCCCATTGTCATCTCCTCAGAAAAAGACCTAAAAGAAAGATGTCAGTAGTTTATTAACCAAACCTTTGAGTAAGTGCAAGTCAACAGAAGAAGTGCTTTAAAGACTTGAAGGAGAGAAAAATAACCAAGCCAAAATACCAATGCAGTAATTAATATCATGAAAGCTAGATTTTACAAGCTGATTACAAACGACAATCCTTCGCTTGCAAGAGCGATACAAAAAGAGGATGCCTTAAACAGTTCATTCAATGGTTCGACGCAATGTGGAAAGTTAATAATGGACATTTTCTCTGTGTGATGAACGGATCTCGAATATCCTTTTTCGGATTTGGAGTTGTTCCTTTTTCAATTTTCTTATTTTCCTCTACTTCTTTCCCTTCCCTTTTTTAATTACTGCAAACGGTTCTAAAGGCTATTTTATGCAATCGACAAGACAGTTCAAAAAGGCAGCAAGGAAAGAGCCGACGGTTTCATCTGGAATTTCTGTTCATACATCAGAGCCTTTGTATGTCAAAGGCCAAGCCAAAACACGAGCAAATATTCCTGAAGTAAGTTTCGATAAGCTCAGATAAAGCAGACTATTAATATCACTATAGCAAACTACAACTGCTTCAGTTGAATCAGTAACTACTAATGGGCCAGCACATGTTGAACATCGACATGATAACCATTATAAACAAGATCACTCTCAAGATAATCCATATAGTGCTCATAATCAGCCAAACGCTCAGCATCATAATCATGAATATGGTCATCATCAAGAACATGCGCACATACCTCAGCAACATTATGCTCATCATGATCACAGTAAACACCATGACCATTCTCATCATGACCATGCTAATCATGACCATTCTCACCATGACCATGCTCATCATGACCATGCTCACCATGATCATGCTCACCATGACCATGCTCACCATGACCATGCTCATCATGATCATTCCCATCATGACCATGCTCATCATAATCATAAACATGCCTTTTCACCCGTGTATATCCAGCCTCTTCCTCCATGGAGCTACATATTTTCTAATCTTTTGCCCGAGCAAAAGACACTATTCACCTGGTTTTTGATTCACCTTGGTATTGGATTCTGGCTCTACTGTTTAGGTGTCAGTAGAGAAAGTCTATGTAAGTGAAATATACAGCAAACAGAAGAACCTATTTTAATATGTCATAGCCATGGTAGGATTTGCCTATTTAATGATCTTTGATGCCTTGGGTGTATTAAATACCTTTGTATCAAGCGTGCTACGAACCTATCCTGATTTCACTGCCTCTAATACAAAGCGTCCATACGGGTATATTTTGTTTATTTTCTGCTTTAATCTTTATTGATCAAAATGCATAGCACGTATCGATATGAAATTGTTTTTGCGTTAGGAACAACCATCTATCTTTTGTTTGCTACGATGAATAACACCAAGGAATCTTTGGAACACTTTTTATTACAAGATCAGCACCATGGAGGCGAAGCACATCATAAGGAAGGGTAAAGTAAAAAAGAGAAAACAGTCTGGTATATAAACTGAGCCTTCTTCTTGTTAGTCCTGGATCCGTCCTTAGTTTTGGTATGTTCCTTTTGATGGGAGCAGCGATCTCTGCTACGTGTTTATCAAGCATCAGTCTGAGGAACCATGAAAGTTTTGTCAGATGTAAGTTAAAAGAAAACGAAATAATCATTAGATGTTAATAAAGTTGATTTAGATCTTCGAAAACGGCCAACGACAGTACAAGGGTTTACATATAATGTTATCAATAGAGCAAGAGCCAGTCCACTCAGTGCATTATCATCCAACATCTACTCGCTATCGATTGCCCTCTGTGGAGCAATTGTGCTTATTTCCTATATACTTGGCATAGTCACGCCACTCATGGACAAAATATTGGCACTATCTGAATCCGTTGTCACCTTTTATTTAGGATACCCTACTGCCAAGGCATTAGCCAAGGTCTTGCTTCAAACAACACCCAGTTCAATTAGAAATGGTGTAGAGAATCGTCTTCGAGAGGTAAACCGTGTGTATAAATAATTACGAAGTGAATTAAGTGTTTGCAATAGATTCAACGTCAAGAATCGAATATTACTTCTATTGGTCGAACTCATTTTTGGCAAACAACCTACGGTAAATGTGTTGGAACGATTGAAATATACATTAGACCAGAAGCAGATGAGCAAGCAATATTAGAATTAGTTTATCAAAAGTTGGAAGGACTGACGAATAGTACAGCAGACAACAATCAAAGTGAATTAACCGTTTGTATTATCAAACAATAAAATGCCACATCTTTAAAAATCACTTCTTTTTTTTGAACTTCATTTCTCTTTTTTAGACGAGACCCTTTTTGTCTGAAGGCACCACTCTTTATTTCAATCCTTGCTCTTTAAGGACTAATCACTAATTATCAGAACAAACTATGCTGATATGAATAAGAAGATCGCATAAAAAGATCAAAACCTTTGTAGGTGATGCCCTATCTTACGGCTTTACTCCTTCTGCCATCAATAGCTGTTTCTAGCCTTTGTCTACATTGAGCATCCAATAGCAACAATAGAAGTGGAGAGTAACGTGTAAGCTTTAAGAAACATGTTTGATTTAAAAAAAAGAATAAAAAGTTAATCAGCTGTGGCAAAGATACTTTAACTTTAAAAGCTACGTTATGCACTGTCTTTCTATGCTTAGGGATGTTTCAAAGGGTCTTTGCTGACAATCATTTGCAAATAAGCAAAGGCGTGTTATTGAAACTCATGAGCCAATAGAAAATCGCCTTGGTTGTTATTGGAACGTAATAGCCAATAAAAAGTCATTATTCCAATAATCGACGGTCAACACTTTAGAGTATTTCTGACCTACCTCTTTACAGACACTCCTTGCTTTTTTTCCTTCCTGTGAGGATGCTTTGGTCTTGGCTTTATTTCATCCTTTATAGGACTGGACATGCTCTTTATTTACACTGTAATCCTGATACGGTCCTGTTGGCGATTCAAGTGGCCTGCAGATTTCTGAGCTGGCTGTACTTGTGTGATTAACCACTTTGCCCGTTATCTGTGAACAGAGAAATGCTCTCTAAGTGTGGCTACTCAAATAAATGCTTATGCTATTACTAGGCGGTATCGAACCAAAAGCTATTTTGGGTAGTCTGCTGAGTCAAGGTCATCTTCTGAGCTTGCGGGACGACCGGTAGACGAGGTTGGGGCCTATCGATAGCTACCTGTTGGCAGTCTGTCAATTCAGGCTTGTCTGGGACTGTTCAGCCTGTACTTTCTAGGTTTTTCAGATGTATAAGTTCAGCCTTGATACATCACTCCTTTTTATAAGGTATATACACCATTGGCATTCAGTGTACACCTTTCTTTCTCTGAGGCCATATGTACCCTTATCTTCCCGTGACTGATCCTGTTAATCAAGGCTTTATTGTCTTGAACTAAAAGGAGTACACTTATTATAAATAAATGTAAATAAAAAAAAAAAAGAAAGAAAGTTGATGAATAAATGACGCGTTGTTATTGTACATTCGCTTAGAAAAAGACACGACTTATCAAGCTCATTGTGTGCAAGGCGTTTTGAAAGAGATAGAGATATCAATCCGACCTTAGGACATATCATGGTTTATAACGATAGCCGCTTGTAGTTACCTAAAGTATTGTTGATATGTATTATTGCTCTCAAACCTTTGTTTATTTTCCTTGTATCCGTGAATACATCCAATTTCTTAAAATATTAAAAGCGTTTCCATTATTAAGAATATCTTTTTTTCACCTGTCTTTATGGCTCTATGAATTTATGTATGGTTTGCTTATGTAATGCTACACCTGGTACAGTTGCTGTACTCTTTTTGTTTGCCAATTCCTGATATACATAAAGCATAGATCATGCTTGTTGGCTTTTCCAGCAGCTATGATAAAACCTGGAATTTATACAAAAGATTGTTGATAACTATATCAATATTGAAAAGACAAGCAGTTTATAAAAAGAAATAGACCAAAAGTTAGTTACACTGTAAAATAGGTGTTGATCACAGAATAAGAGCCGTAAATAACTCTTTAGTAAAGTATGAACTAATGTATGGTTTGTCTATAGCATACACACTAATATGTATGTATGCAATAGACAGCCAAATGTATGAGCAGGTATAGCATTCAGGCAAGGAAGGAAAAGCAAGTGGATGCTCTATAAAATGAATGAATGACTTTTCATCGGTTGATGTAGCGTTCCAAAAGGCTACACACCATAAGCAATAATTAAGCTCTAATGTAGACTCAAGGAAGCCACTAGCTGCATCTGGTACTTTGCTAAATTGACCATTTTAAAGCAAAAAAGTACTACTAGACGTGTTGCTTGACCAATATTGACTTTGACTCTAAGTAAACACGAGTTTGCTTTCTGGCTACAAGTAGATAAATCTAAACTTTTCTTATAAACATACACAATGTGTTTATAAGTTCAAGTGTTATAATGTATACGCATTATATTTATTTATTGTTCTAAAACGAGTTAAAGGTGCTGTATAAATTATGCTACTTAGGCAAGGAATCTAGGCAAACTTGGGATTAGGCTTGCCAGTGCATCTACCCTTGATACAGCTATCGCGGCAGTCATCACTGTTCTTGCAGCAGTAGTCCTTCCAGCCCTGACCGGAACCTTTCCCTTGGTTTTTAGGAAGAATGCAATGGGTTTTGCCAGTACATTTGCCCTTGACACAGTCTTCACGACAGTCCTCAGAGGTTTCACAGCAGAAATTTCCCCAACCTTCACCTGTGCGAGATCCAATATTACCAGTGTCAATACAGGTACCATCGTTAATAGGGCTAGCGTACTTGGGATCAACACGACCGTTGCACTTTCCTTTAATGCAAGATTCATGGCAGTCATCGTCTGTCTTGCAGCAGAATCCTCTCCAACCTAAACCGGAGCCACTACCGCGATTATTGGGGCGAGTGCAAATAATGTTGCTGTTAGAGGATTTATCAGAAGAGGCAGCTTGAACATTAACAAAGGCAGCAACCAAGAACAAGGCAGAGAGAGACAACTTCATTAGTTTTTAAAAGAGATTGAGTTGGTTTATGCCTAGGATTGAAAAGAATTATCGTCTTTTATATTAGTTTAACATTAATCACAGCTCATGTACGCAAGTAATTGTTTCAGAAATATATTTTTAGTACAGAGAGCAAACTAAAATAGAATACACTCTTCCTTAAGCCAATAAAAAGAGAAGGAAGCAATGCTCAATACTCATGCATCCGAGGATATGTCAAGCTGACATTGATAATAGGCTGATACGGTAATACATGTTATATTGCAACAGCATACCACGACTAACAATTCAAGTATCGAAATAAACTACGCCTGAAAGTGATTTTCGTTAGTATCAAAGAGCCAAAATGAACACTAGAGCCTGCTCTGTAGACAAGAGATTCTTAATACTCTTATATCATATATCATTTTCTTTCTATTCGAGCAGCTTTGCTTTCTTTCTTGTCTTTTTTTTTTTTTTTTTTTTTTTTTTATTCTATACAACTCAAGTTTATTAATTGATTAATAAATTGCCAGCCATTCGCTTGATTTCCTCCAAGATGGCATCAAAGTTAGGAGCAATGAGTTTAGACACTTCATCTTGTCCTTTGGGAATCTTTAAGAATCCATTCTTCTTCATGTCTACAGGGACACTATTGAATCCAGCTGACACCTTCCATTGAATAGGTTCAGCTGCTAAAGGGTTCCATACAATAGCTAATTTATCTCCACCGTATTTATCATGGAATACCATCACTGTTTGGCCATAGATGTGTTCGATTTCTTTTATCAGTTCGGATACGGGATCAAATCCTGCAAACATCCTGTCACCCAACAAGCTGTATCCCGTGCTCTTGAAGTACTTGGGTTCAGGGTTTAGGCTTTGATAGTATCGAGTGCATTTTGATTTATCTAATTGAAGTACAACAGAGTAATCTGACATGGGAGTGATAAATACACGCTTGATGTCCTCTGGTTTATCTTGTTCAACAGCATCATCCAGGACCTTGAGGGAGGCCTTTGCTAATGCACGAATACGCAAAGCTACAGCACGGCATGGCTTTGTTCGGGTCCATCGGTGGCCACTTGTGTCTTTTGCTGTTGCAATAGTCATCACACCACGCGTCATTTGTGGATTTGTGGTTCGATGGTGATTGAACTGCGAAATGATCTCGTCACGCTGCTTATTTGTTAATTCACCTTCGATATCTACAATAAGTGGTGTGTTTTGCCAATCCCAGCCAGCGAGCAAATTCAAAACACGAATAAATCCGCTAAAGGTAGATACAGGTGAAGTCCATGGGTGTGGCTCTAAAAAGACATACGCTGTAATCAATTCAATCATTTCGTCCGTTACATGAGGAGAAAGCATATGAGATGCAAACCAGCGTTTGACTAACCGAACTGTAGATGAATATGCAGTGAATCGTGCACAGAGTGCTTGAACAGAAAATGTATGTGATTGTTGATAGGTAATATTATAGTTGTATTTCTCCAAGGCTTCCTTTGCCATACTCTTTTGAAGTGGTGTCGAGAGTTTGGTATCTATAATCTTTTTCAGCTGTTGAGGTTCTTGTTCAAGTCCAATGTGGCATCGGAAGACAAATCCTTGATAGTAAACGTCAAGATAACCACGGATGGCCATTGGGTTTCTCTCACAAATATCGTCAACAACGACAGTATCGACCTGATAACGGTTTTTAAGCTCCTCTCCCATCTTCAAATAGAATGAATGCTTCACTTTTTGAAGGGCACTCAGATCATCTGGAAACTTGGCAGATCGTTCGATTTGCACAATAATATCGATTGCTTCATAGAAACGAGTTGTATTAGGATAACCGATAGCGTTACTGAAATCGACTGGATGAGGCAAGGTGGCAGTAGTATATCTTAAGCTTGAAGAGGCAGGATAGACGCTACTAACCATAAGTGGTAGCGCATCATCAATCTCACGGATCTGTTTGCTGAGCTGAGTAAAAGCTGTCATGACTGAGTGGAAACCAGTGATTTTCAATTCAGGATTGAACATGTGTTGAGGCAGGCATTTGGCATAATTCAAGTAACTGTAGAATTGATCTGCCCAATATTGGACCTCTTCTGACTTCAATGAAAGGTGCAGTTCAAGCAAGTATTGAACAATCTGCTGTACAATGAGACTACGGTTTTCATAGCCTTGTGTTTGCCAGACAACTGCTTCAACAATGGATCCATCCTTGAATCGACGCAATTCTGATTTATTGCCCCAAAACTTTCTGAATTCAGCAACTTCTTCTTCGCTTTGTGATTGTGGTCCTTGATCAACTAATCGAGGGGCATTATCTGAGTTAAGCAGTAAGCCAATGGTAATGACTGCATCTTGATCTATATCAGTAGGCATTTTGGCATCAACAGACCAAGTGTGAGGGTGATGGTAGGTATGTTGGACAGCAATTAAATCAACACGGTTTGTTAAACCTCTTGTTAAGACATGACTGATTCGTTGGACAAAGAATGGAAGATATGAGTAATAGTCTGCCTTTACATGTTCCGTAAATACTTCAGTAGAGGGCGCTGGAAGCTTGATATGGGCAATATTGTCATATCTGAGCTTTGTATCATTAACTTTCTTGAGAAACATGGGCTCAAATCGGTCCACAGGATCGTTAAGAAGTGACATGGCCAACTTGGTTTCATGTTGTATCTGAGCAAGTCCGGATGAATGGATTGAAGCAGCAAGATTGAGTGTTCCTGAAGGGTCTACAATAACCACATCGTAGTGGTTCAAGAATTCTTGCTTCGAAAACTCTTGTCTTTCGCTTTCACCAATAAATACAGGGTTTTGTTTAAAGTCTCTTGAAGCAATAAAATCAAGAGTACCTCTGAACAATTGATATGAACTGTGAGTTGACGACAGTTTCTTGTCGATACCATCCTTATTGCCTTGCATCAAGTAAGACATGATCATAGCAAACAAAAATGGTGTAAATCCGATATTTGCAAGTCCGCGTTGATAGATCCATGTTCTAGCCAACAAAACAGCATTCTTAAATTCAGGGCATGCTTTACTATGCTGATATAAAAATGCCAAATTTGCTGTGTAAGAAGTATCGACTAAAAGTGAGGCGTTGTAGTGCGGTGTAGCCATAGCGTTGTCTGTAGAAGTTTTCACACTAGATTTACCAGGAGCGAGCCTATGCATGGGGAAAGTATCGAGGTCGACGCTAGGCAAAATACGGATAACACACTTTGCCTTTGAGAAATCCACATCTGATTTATCTCCACTAGGTTTAACTAGCAATATAGGACGACGAGGATCGTTATTCATGGTGCTGTATTCAATATGAAATTTCTTTTTAGATGACTGAATGGCATGTGCCAAAACACCCAAGTAACAAGCACGCTTGTGGAAGTAACGATAATTGGAATAATCCTTTTCCTGGAAAATAGAACCTGGCATCTCCACAGCTACATCTACAGTGAATGGCGTCTTTGTCTTTGCTACAGTCTTTAATGCATATCCACCAACAATATGAATAGATGATGGCTTTTGGAAAGCAAATGAGTGTAAAGCATCAGGTGAAGGCTGAGGATCAGGGAAAGGTATAGCAATTTTGTTCTTCTTGAGCATATTATCTGCAAATTCAACGAGCTATAAAGCTGTAAGTAAGTGGTATAAGCAAGTTGTGTTGCTTTTACCTTCATTGGTTTGCCTTCTGGGATGCTATCAAACGTTGCTTTCAAATTGTGAAGTGCCTTTTCCAGTGCTTTGTGCTTATCATAGTTCATGCTGATTTCAGACATTAATTCTTCAATCTGTAATTAATTGTTTATATAAGCAAAAGTTGACTTTATACATTGTCGCTTTGAGCGTATACCTCTAGTTTAAATATGTTTGATTTAAATAGCTCCACAGTTTCTTTCAAGCCTTCCAATTCACCGGCAATGATATCATCTTCAGTGGGAGCTGTTTTCTTTATTTCAGTACTCTCGAGTTGATAGTCTTCGTCTTCTTCATCCTCATCGTAATCGTCCGATCCAGATTCATCAATGTATTCGTCCTTTACGACAGGTGCTTCCTTCTTAGCTATCTATATAAAGCCTTGAGCAACAATGACACAGTTTGAAGATACCTAAACACTGACCTTAGCAGGAGGCTCAGATTCTGAGCTTTTCTTTTGCTTTCTCTTTGCAGTGACAGCCATGACAACTTGAGAAAAAGTTTATGCGTAAAGAAAGAAAGGAACTTGTTTTTTGGACAAAATGGCTGTGGCTTGAGTTTGAAATTTTGTGACACTTTTTCATTGAGAAGAGGCTTATATTTGCTATATTTAGACAATAGCAGTGACTGCCTTCTTTTTACGCCTTACAGTGACAAGGAAAAAAAAACTTTCCTTAATTTTTTTTATTCTCGTTTTTTCTTTTCTACCAAACAGAAGATGCTCGTTCTTTACGAAACCTCTGCAGGTTACGCCTTGTTTAAGCTTGTCAAGGACAATAAATTAGATAAGCCTGAAGAGCTCTACAAGGAATTTCAAGATGCCGAAAGCGCTAACAATGTGTAAAGAAATATCACAATTATTTATTTATTTTGGCGACTAACGCAACTATCTTTTTTTGACACTTTAGCGTTAAATTAAAGGCATTTGAAAAGTTTGAAAACACTACTGATGCTTTATCTGCAGTAACTGGTATTGTTGAAGGAAAGATGCCCAAGAACTTGAAGAAGTTTTTGCAATCAGAAATCAAAGATATGAACAAGGAACAATTGATTATTAGCGACCCTAAATTAGGTATAAATTAATAAGAAGTGACAAGTTGTATGAATATAAACCGTATTATGAATAGCTTCTTCTGTTAGTAAAAAATTAGGCATTAAGGTATTGTCTGATGGTACTGTCCAAGACCTTTTCAGAGGTATTCGCGAGCAATTCGAATCTTTAGTCACCGGCCTCTCTCATTCTGATCTTGCTGCTATGTCCCTTGGTCTTTCTCACTCACTCTCTCGTTATAAGCTCAAGTTCAGCCCTGATAAGGTTGATACTATGATTGTTCAAGCTATTGCTTTGTTAGATGATCTTGACAAAGAACTCAATACATATGCCATGCGTTGCAAGGAATGGTACGGATGGCACTTTCCTGAAATGAACAAGATTATTGTCGACAACCTTGCTTTTGCCAAAGTTGTAAAGACTATGGGATACCGTACCAACGCTAAAGATGCTGATTTATCCGCCATTCTTCCTGAAGAACTTGAAGCTGAAGTTAAGGAAGCTGCTGAAATTTCTATGGGAACTGAAATTTCTGAAGAAGATTTGCAAAACATCTTTGGCCTCTGTGACCAAGTTATCACCATCACTGAATACAGAAACCAATTGTATGAATACTTGAAGAACCGTATGAATGCTATTGCACCCAACTTGACTGCACTCGTTGGTGAATTAGTTGGTGCTCGTTTGATCTCTCATGCTGGTTCCCTTATGCAACTCTCCAAGCAACCTGCTTCTACTATTCAAATTTTGGGTGCTGAAAAAGCACTTTTCCGTGCCTTGAAGACAAAACACAACACACCCAAGTACGGTTTGATCTACCATGCTTCTTTAGTTGGTCAAGCTGGCCCCAAGCATAAGGCCAAGGTCGCTCGTTTACTCGCTGCCAAGACTGCTTTGGCTCTTAGAGTTGATGCCCTGGGAGAAACAGAATCTAACGAAGTTGGTGCTGATGGTCGTAGCAAGGTTGAAGCTCGTATTGATTTGTTAGAAGGTCGCTTCGCCGCCAAGGCCAACAAGGATACCTCCATTCAAAATCAATCCAAGTTCAAGTTGAATAAGGTGCAAGCATACAATGACAGTGCTGACGTAGCCATGACTGAAGCAGCACCAGAAGCAGAGACAAATGCCAAGAAGAGAAAGGCTGATGAAGTTGAAGAAGATGAAGAGCCAGTTGAAAAGAAGGCAAAGAAGGAGAAGAAAGAAAAGAAGGAGAAGAAGGATAAAAAGGAGAAGAAAGAGAAGAAGGAAAAGAAAGAAAAGAAAAACAAAGATTAGATAACTTTGTGCGTGTGTTTGTGCTTTTTTTATAATTTGTAAATATATATGAAATTTTCATTGAAAACCCACCACATTGTCTTGTTTTTTTTATATTCATAGAGTTCATTTTTCATTGATTTTTTGCTTTCTTAAATAAAACTTACAGTGAAGTTAATTCCAAAAACGGTTGAAACAACTCTCCACTTCAAAAGCAAATCAAAAAAAATAGATAGTCGGTATTTTACTTAGGTCTATTAGATACAAATACTAGGACGTTCATTTTTCGGGGCCAAAATTTCCCATAGCGGGAGTAGTAAAATCGACATTTTGACAGAGAAATGAGGTGATATTGCGTCAAATGTTGTTTATACAAATAGCGTGCTATGAGCTTAGTTTTGTTCCAACTATTAATAACGTTTGTCTGACGATGATAATAAATGTTTATTTGTTACATATATATATTTCTCTGTATCCTTAAATATAAACAGAACTGTGTTTAAGTTAGAAAGTATTGTTCACAATGACCACGCATGGTTTAACTCATTCTTTAAAAGTACGTCTGGAAAAAAAGGTTTCAAAATGCAAGCATCATAGTTTCTTTTTTTAACGTATATGAAGTTGTTTATTATTTATATTATATAGTGATACATACATAGACTAATAGGGGCGTTCGTCTGCTCAACTTTTTGCAAAGGTATTATACCACCTTTCTTTCTCGACGCAGATCTAATCATACTCGTCGACCTGAGTAGGATTAAACACAGGTTCGTTTAGGTATTCCGAAGGTCCTGGAGCAGCTGCATTGTTCTCAACTGATTGAACACCATACAAGTCCTGTGGATGGCCACCCAGATTCGATTCCAATGGTACACAATCATTTTTATGGACAGAGAGGATAAAAGCCAACTTGTTCAAATGTCCAATGAAGTTCAAAAGGTCCGATTTCTTTGTGGGTATCTGAATGCAAGCCAATTCGGTAAATTTATATAACTGGGAACGTGAGAGTGACATGACAAAAAAAGATGATTGTCTTTCCGATAGCCTGAAATGCAAGTGGCTGCTGCAGATGGAAGATGTTCAGAGCATCTTTGGCAGAAATGACCAGGCGATAAAATCATTGACAATCAATGTTGGGGACATTTTGACGGTGTACACTATGCGCACGAGGAAATCCACGAGAAGGCTAATGATACAAACATTACCTGTGATGTCGTCAACAAGCCTTTTCAATGTGTAGCACCAAGCTAAACTTGTTCAGAAACAAGCATCTTTTCATGTTTCTTGATGTAGGATAAGAAGTTATCTTTTAAGCAGAAAGAAATAAAAAAGAATTTTTTATGTTGTCAGTTTGATCAACAAAGAACGAAGGTCAATCACGTGTAATTATGGTATATACGTATTATATATTAAAGGCTCTCCCATAGGGCAGCCTTAGGTTAGGTAGATACTTTGGTAGTGTAAATTTGTACAGTGACACCACATGTATAGGAAAATAAGCGCTCGTATTATTAGCCTTCTCGTGGAGTTGCTTGTGCGCGTAGTGTACACCATGTTGACGGTTGGCTTCATTTCACCATACACGTTTGTGTAATTGTATCCATAGTCTGGTATATAAATATCTACTTTGTAATCCGGACGGCTGTCGTTGCCAGGTCTTTCATCAGGTACAGTATTCGAGCAGTGAGCGATTGTCGTTGGCATTTTACATGATAAGAGACCATGGATAAGTAGATGAATGTTACGAGCTTCCACAAGTGCCTCAAATTCTGAAAAAAAAAAACCTATGGCAACGACATTGTTGGAATTAGCTCTGACCTTGACAATGTAGATCTTCACTGGATTCCGATTCCTTTGGCTTAAAATAATGTTGTCTGGTGTTGTGCAAGTCTCTGAAGACTACGTTATTAATGCCATTTGTCTTGAGATTCTAATAATGAGAGGGGAAAAAATGACTTACGGTGGATGTTTTCAAGTGAATGAACTTTTGATTCAATTTGTAAATAACAAATGGAAAGCTGCACTTCACACCAAAAGCTTTAACAGCCTCTCTAACATTGGATAAGCACCAAATACTTTGTCAGTAGAAAATACTTCTCTGAATTCATTTTCCATATCAGCTGTGTACTGAGTGTTCCAGTTTTAGAGTGGTAAAGCGTTTATATTTATTGCCCAAAGCGAAGTTTAGCAAGCTAAATATAGTTAACAGTGAATATCCATGGCGAGCTTCCTTGGCTCTAAAAAAGTGAATTCCGCACATTGTTTAATCATATTCCGTAAATTAAAGAAATCAAAATCGTTGATTGGAGATTTTTTCTACAAATCACTGTATGCAGTAATAATCATATATTGCGAACAGTAGCGATGCCTTTCTTTTTGTCATTATACAGTGACATTGCGACTAAATTTACAGCAGTGTGCACACTGTTTTGTTAGCAGGCATCCTGCCTCTTCTTCGTCCTTTGCTTTGCCCTTCGATGAATACACTATAAGAAGGACATAGTTCAACTAAACAAGTAGAGGCACTATCATGAATATTTAAGCTGTAAAAAATAGTAGACACTAGGACACTTGCTTCTTGTCATTTTATATTTTAAAAAGATCCTATGTTGAACTGAGAATAAAAATTATGCTTAAATGAAAACCAGATGTCTATGATTGTTAAACTGAATCATCATTTTCTTCTTTTTTCTTTCTCTTTCCCTTGAACATGTCATTGACGGCCTCGGTGACAGGGCCGAGCCCTACTTCTTTTATACCATCAACAACATCATCCATCTATTCGATACCTACCAGTTTATCATCAGTGAATGGGTCATCTATCATTACATCATCTCCTACAGTCTTTACATCTACCAACAACACTATACCAACATCCACAATCACTACTGCAACGTCCACAACGACTCCAGGTTCTATTTTTCCTGGAGGTGAAAAATTTTTTAATACGCAAAATCCAAGTAAACCATCTATACAGTTTGGGATTTGTGCCGTGGCTGGCCTTGTGTTTTTCATTGCCTTTTGTTTCCTAAGAGTAAGGTAAGAAAACAAAATACATCTTTAAAACTGAAGGGAACTTATATAAAAAACAAGACTTCCTGTTATGTTCGCACCACGTAAAAACATGAAGAGGTACCGAAAAAAAAAAGAAAAGGAATGATACAATGATCTGATCACAGTTTGATAGACATAAACCACCAGAGTTATCCAATTCTTTTTTTGGCTGGATTATACCTGTATTAAAAGCCAGCACTGAAGAAATGCTACTCAATGTTGGTTTGGACGCGGTTCTGGTAATTAAACCAAAGATGTATTTTTTACAAAACTTATTAACCATTGTTTATTATTAGATGCTTCATTTTCTTGTAATGGCAATGAAGATATTCGGCTTGTGCTCAATATTTGGTGTCATCGTACTGATTCCGATTAGTGCAACAGCTAAAAATAATGAAAAATCAATGAGTGACATTGAAAAAATATCCATCACTCACACTGAAGACGGAGACTTGCGACTGATTGCTTTTCTGGTATTTACCTATTTTGTTACCATTGTTACTCTCTATTACTTGACACAGAGTTATTACAACTACGTCTATTTGCATGCAAAGTATATGCTCAACCAGTCTAAACAAATGGTCAGTCGATCAGTCATTATCACTGGTATTCCAGAGCGGCTTAGATCGGATCAAGCTTTAGCAGAGTATTACGAAAACTTGGGAATCGGCCCTGTTGAAAGCTGTTATGTTGTACGAACCGTTCACCAATTGGATAAGCTTATCAAACAGCGAGCCTCTGCTTTGACGAAGCTGGAGAAAGCCTATGCCAAATATTGGGGCAACCCTTGTCGGATACCAGGTTACGATCCGGATATAATATTAGATGATGTAGAAATGTATAAAAAGGTCCTTGATTTAGCCGAAAAGAGAAACGATAGTAGTAGTAGCAGTAGTGATAGTGAAGTAGAGGATGAGAACGGGAATAAGCAGAAAAAAAAGCCTTTTGCACTACGTTTAACAAAAAAGAACACTTGGAAACGAGCTGTAAACACCACGTTTTTTAAGGGACTCATCGATCCTTTGGAACAAGAGAAAAGGTCAAAGCGGCCAACAGTGCGTACAGGTTTCTTGGGTTTATTTGGGCAGAAAATAGATGCTATTGAGTATTATACTGTGTTATTTGACAATTTAGATAAAATGGTGGCCGAAAAAAGACGCTCACCTCATTACGAGATGACAAACGTTGCCTTTGTCACGTTTGAGCATATGAGTAGTGCTGTAAGTATGATTGATGTAATATTGCATGACAATGAGTGTTAACTTATATAGGTCATCGCCTCCCAAATTGCCATTCATCCTGAACCCTTTGCATGCCGTACTATCTTGGCTTATGAACCAAGAGATGTTTTATGGTCTAGTGTTGCCATCCGTGGCCGTGAACGGATTATAAGAGAGATTATCGTCTGGGCAATTACTATTGCGCTCGTCATCTTTTGGTTTGTACCTGTCACTATCTTATCATCTCTCTTGAGTCTAGAAACGCTCAAACGTGTTATACCTAAACTGGCTAAGGCGATCGAAGGCAACGAAGCCTTGAAAGGTTTTGTGTCTTCATTCGTGACAACTGTAGCACTTAATATTGTTACTTCTGTGCTGCCCTTAATCTTTGATGGTAGAGTTATCACTAAAACACAAGCGCAACAAACTAACAAGATGATTATCATAGCTCTAGGATATTATCAAGGTTTACGATCGCGTAGTGCCATTGCCGAATCGACCTTTAGCAAGTAAGTACTAGTATAAAATAAGTTAGCAAAAAATAACTCTTCGTACAAGATATTTCTTCTTCTTGGTCTTTTTCACATTGATTACGTTTACTTTAGCTAATGCAAGTATGCAAACGGTTATCGATTTTGCAAACAATCCAACTTCTATTCCAGAAAGACTAGCTGATACACTTCCTAACGTATGTATAAGTTCGACCTATATATTCATATATATATACTCACACATCAAAAGATTGCCCCCTTCTTTATCAATTATGTTATTTTACAAGGATTTTTGCTGTAAGTAAACGCATCATTCCATATAACGTTTGATAAACTTATCACTAATTAACGCAGAATGCCAATGAATCTGTTATTACTGGGAGCACTTATCGTGCGCGGCTTTTATCATGCCTTTATTTGTAAAACTCCAAGAGACCATGCTGAAAACAGAGCTCCCTGGTCATTCAATTATGGCACTGGCTATCCTGTGCCTTTACTTGTATTCATTATTGTTCTTGAATACTCATGTATCTCGCCAATCATCATGGTATTTGGTGCAATTTACTTTTGCTTCACCTACGTCGTATACAAATATCAGTTCCTTTATGGTACTACTCTTCAAAGCTATATATAAATATACCATTAACATCATTACAAAAAGTTTATTTTAGGCCATATGAAGCTGCTGGTAGATTATGGATCATGACCGTCCCTCGTATCATCTTTGGACTTGTATTATTTCAATTAACCATGACTGGCTACTTTGTCTTGAGAAAGTTTATCGCATTAGGTGCAACATGCGCCCCATTGATTGCTATTACTATCCTTTACAAATTTATACTTGATCGAGCGTTTTTGAAGAACGCACGTAATTTGCCTATGCAGTTGCTTCGCGATAATATGCAAAAGTTACCAGATGTTGTGGATCCTTCAGACGATGATGACGATGATGACGACGATGATGATAACTATACTCAACAACAGCAATTGAAGGAAGCAGATCATTCCAAAAATAAAAATAATGATACTACAGGCACAAACAGTACTGAAAAGGTTGACCGCGAAAAACAAATGGTTAGAAACAAATGGAAGACCGCTGCCTTATCTGCAGTGCAGCTCCGAGTAAAGCCAAAGGAAGAAGAACAAACAAGTCCTGAGGCATCCGCTGTATCAATTGTTAGACCAAGGCATCGAAAAGTGGTGTTGGATGAAGACGACTATGAGGCAGTTCCTGATAAATTAACTGATTATCGACAGCCTCCAATGCAGTTAAACCCTGGACTACTAGATACCGGTTTGAAGAGATATGGTAATCCTTGGATCGTTGGTATCCTACCACAGCTATGGTTACCCATGAAAGAACCAGATAAGGCTCACAAAGAAGGAAAAGCACAGTCCAAACGCAAGCGTGCAAGTGACGCATTCAATCGTCGTTCAGAAGGAGGAGGCACCTTGGCTCAACACTTGGCAGAAGTTCTTAGAAGAATGGAAATGGAAGCCAAAAGGAAAGAGAAAAAGCCTGACGAAAAGAATGAAGATGACAATAAAAGTAGTTCAGGACAAGATAATCAGCAACGTACAAAAATTGCTCAGGAAACTGCCCAGATGACTGCAGCATCTTTGGCGGGTCATTCTCCAAATAACAAAACATCTGCATTACGAACCTTATTCAAAATGGGCGCTTTGAAAAAGCAAGGTCCAAAAGCAACGGCGGATGCACAAATAGACGAAGTAGCCATGAGCCCAGTAGAGCCTCAACATCAAGACCCACTTGAAGCACTTGAAAAGGGCTCACCTGTGAGACATGATAGTAGCGAAAGTAAGGCATCTGCAGCTAAATCCGTTCATGCAACATATTATCATCATCCTGAACGACGCAGGCATCATTCAGAAAACACAGCACACGCTACTCCTTCTAGGCCAGAGGCGCATCATTCTGGAGTAAGTTCTCCTGCTGCATTTCATGATGAATCTTTAACAGACGATGAACATGTGGAGGATCATGGAGAAGAACGTTTACCAACCAAGCGACTGAGTAGTGTGCCACTTATTGATAGAAGTAAATAGTATGTGAATAAACAAATTGTCGTGTAAATATATTGCAAATAAACAACAAGATTTTACCATATGAAAAAAAAAAGAAAGAATTTTATTACAACTCTGAGGTGTGCTGATGTTCAACAAGCCTAATTTTAAAGTCTAAAGGTATCTTGATACCTCCCATTTCGCTATAGCTAGCCAGGCTGGGATAGAGCTTGTTCCCTCTATGGGAGAGCGCCGGTTTAATAGTACAACGGACCAACGTTTTGATGATTATGTTGAACATATGCTTTTCCATCTATTTAAAAAAAAAAGAGTATATTGGTATATTTTGATTATTCAATAGTCCTGTAACAAACTTACCAACTCAATCACCGGATTAAAGTGTGTATACCAGCCAAGAGCAGAGTTTTTTCCATTATGTGGACTGCTATTGAAGCGTGTATTTGATTTAAACAAAGCACTAGCAGTAGAGCTAAAGTGCCATCCTAACCCATGTGTTCTTTGTGAGGGATTGTTGCATTCGCCAAAAGCGTGATTCTTGTGAATAGCTGCAATCGTAAAAAGAATGAGTAATCGGCGATGACGCTTTAGCAAACTTACTATCTTTTGAAGACTTTTGTATCGTATTAGTTATGGAAATTGCATGATATCTAAAGCATTGATCTTGGAAAGAAACATAACATGGAAGCCTTGAACGATCTGAAAAAGTAGGTTGGCGTCCATTGAGCATGATGAATCGATTCAATTCTCGTGAAATATTTCTTTGTACGTCCGGATAATAACAAAGTATAGTATATACCCATACTGTCATACTGAGCATGGAATTACAGCTGATCATGAAAAACTCACCTGTATAACGTTTAATAAGAAAAAGCTTCAATATATATATAAAGTGACATACCCATAATAGAACTTATACTATCACTATTAAAGCGATGTAATTGGTTTGTATTATCCATTCGTTTAACCATATTATCTTGTTCAACTTCTCTAGCTAATTGTACCAAGTACTGTATCAAGGGTTGAAAGTATGTATGATAAAACACATCCAAGTTCTTGTCTTTACAAGTTACAATGCTTGAAAATGGCCATTGAGAACTTTGACCATCTAGCACTTTTCCTAACTCGCTGTATTTGAGTAATGTAAGTTCGATTCTTTGGTATAGTTTATTGTCTAGGGAGGCAATGCTTGGGCTACCAAATACAAGGAACAGCATGATATTGACAATGGATAGACGAATATAAGGATTTGGGTTAACGCCATCATCTGCCAGAGTATATCTAATAAGACTGCTGATAGACTTGTTTACCTCTAGACCCAGCAGAAAATCAAGCTTATCCAAAAGGGCAGGATTCGCTAGGTTACAAATTGCTACCCTAATGTAATTCCACGTCTCTCTAGCATAGTTGGGATAAGCGGGTGTTCTAGAAAGGGGGTAATGTTATCGCATTATATTTTGTAAGATGAGTGCCTTCTTTGTTTTTTTTTTACTTGTTACAGCTACAAGTGATTGTGTCTTTCTTCCAGATATTGCATACGCAAGTAGCCTTGGCTTCGCTTTTTCCTAAAGAGGGAATGTACTCTTCATAAATGCATTTCAATTAGCTTTAGACCAACAGCATTGTTGTATAAGCTTTTTTACCAATACAGCGTCTAAAGCGGCTAGGCTTAGAAACATGTGTTGAATCGAAAGATATATTGAACCTCCTAAGGCCAATTATCGCTTTTCTGATGGAGACAATTACAAGAATAGGCATTATGGTTGTGCTCAACACAGTAAGACATCCTTTAGAAAAACTCATTATAAAAAGAAAATGAAAGGAAAAGACAAGAGTGTAACTTGGCAACAAATTTATATTATCATAGTAATAATAATGAGCCCAAATCTGTATGCTCATTATGTTTATTCTATTATGCTAATTATGAACCATTGTGGGTCATTCACATAAGGTAATAAGGAGGGAGGGGGGGTATAAGTTTATATGTACACATCTTTTACATTGCTTTACATGTATTTATATATCGAGACTTGATTTTCGCTCAAGCCAATAAGCAGCTCTTCTGTATCTGCTACACAGTGCTGTACATCATATACTGTGCCATTTAATTTTAAGGTTTGTACTTCTGAAGCCTTGTTTCTACACTTGATTTCATCATTTTCATTAAAGCAAATAAGCAATTCACCATCTCTCTCAAAAAAGCAATTTCTTGTCAACACCATCTGTTTATATCTGTTTGTATGTATCCAATCAATATCTGTATCAAAGCAAAATTCGCTGTCCTCTGAGTTGCTACCAACTATGTACTGTGTCATCTCTTTACTTCTTAGACTTGTCAAAAGTTTTCCGTTTTTGTAATAGGTGTGAAATGGTTTGAAATCTAGAGTCATGTTTTAGTTGAAAAAGGGTGCCACTTTTTTTCTTGTTGTTTTTACCTGCATTTAGCACAATGGGATTAAATCGTACGGAATGATCATTCTCAAATGTCCATACATAAGATTGCTTTAAATTCGAGCATAAAACAGTAGTATGGGAATCATTCAGTCGTCCGATATTTAATGAGTGAATAGGTGCTAATGCCGACAAGTTGGAATCTTTTAGTTTATGCAAAGGTGATTTTGTGTTACGTATGTCATAGACCATCAATGTATTGTTTGCCAATCCACAGTAGAGTAAATTATCATTATATTCATCAAATGCACAAGACCATCCGGGCGCATCCAAAGAATAACTGTAAAAAGTTTCTGTCAGTGCCTTTTTAAACAAGTGTTGTTTTCATATTACGTTTGAACAGTAACGTTATTTGATAGAGAAGTCAGTTTTAGTGTTTTGTCAAGACTAGTCGATAATATGAGGTATCTTTCTGATGATGATTTGATGTCCTTGATCCAATTACTGTGTAAATTAATATATTCCGATATTTCTGTATCAAACAAGTTAATTTTCCTCAATCCATATCCACAGCTTTGTTTTTTCTCGACAGATACAACGATGGTATGATATGAAGGTAAAACGGTCAATACACGGTATTTCTATACAAATAGAACAAATATATCAATATCATGCAGCTGGGATACGTCCTTTTTTGGTTACTTCTGATGATTCTAATGAAAACGTTCTGCACAGTTTGAATTCTTTTGGCCCCGTAATAGATGATTCCATAGACGCCATGGTAGACGTAGCCTTTAACTCGAGAGATTCTTCCGCTTTGATTTTCGCCAACTCGTTTCTGCATTGCTGAAGTTGAAACTGAACAATGGATGTCTCTTGAACGCAGTCATCCAAAACTTGTTTGAATGACCTTATTTCTTCCTTTAGCTTCTTGATCATTTTTTCATCTTCTGGTAGTACTTTTGTCGGCCAAATTACACGTGGGTCCCTCTTGTTTACCATTATACTAGTGTAATGGATATAGAATCAGTATATCATAAAGTAAACAGTGATCCTCTCTTACCCGCATAGTGGACAAGAACTAAAGGCTTTTACGTAGGTGTCTATGCAGCTAAAGTAAAAAAAAAAATGAGCTTGTTATGTGCCTAAGGTAGTTTCTTTGTTTACCTCTTCCCAAAGACATCTCCGCAGCTCAATTGAACAATACGATGTGGGCCTTGCGTCGTCCAGGCACATTCACATAAAGTACAATTAAGTTGTTCTTTTATATCCCTTTCTTCTTCCTCTTCCTCTTCTTCTTCTTGTAGAGATCTTTTATTTCTTGAAGGAACTGATACTACTATTGGATTTTGAAAATCAGGATCTTCAAGATCGATGAAATCCATTGATTCACACACAGAAAAAGAAAAGTTATCAGGGTCTAAAAGGTATTTTAGTGGATAGCTGAGTACACTTTTAAATCCAACAGTTCAAAAAGTACATTGAAGGTAAACCTGTTTCTTTTTCTTTTTCTTTCCTTACTTTTGAATCAGCTCGTTGCAAACAAATTATGCCCCCTTTGATGATCCATACGATCTTATGTAGGTTGAATGGTCTATACCAAAAGACAAAAAGAGTCTAATCTCGGAGCAAAGACTTGTTGATTGAGACTACCTAGTTCCGCCTAGTATCTCACTGTCTACAATAGTTTATTTTTTTCCTCTCTTTAAATTGGGCGATATTTTACTTTTCTATGAAGCCGCAAAGTGAAGCCGACATGAGGGATTCTATAATATGTCAATCACACAAGTTTCTTTTGTTCTTAAAGCATAATTTATTATCATTATTATTATTACTATTATTACAATTCAATCATGGCTTTATATATTAACTAAGACTGAATGAGAGATCAAATGGTATAAGGGAATTTTGTTCGAGGATGGAAACTCATGGAACACTCATCCTTCGGATAAGTGGTTGCAAATAACCAGATAGTATTTGACTCTTGAGTAGGATAGTGCTTGAACTCAAGTCTTCTTGTTGCTTGAGCGATTGTAGACATGACATGAAGAATAGCATATTCTTTACCAATGCAGAGATGAGGACCATTACCAAACACCATAAAGTTCTTTGGGTAGCTTTCTGCTATACCCTCCGGTCCCCATCTGTCTGGATCAAATGATTCGGGATTAGGATAGGCGATTGGGTCATGAAGCGCGGGATAAGTAGTGGGAATGATCATTGAGTTGGCGGGAACAGTATAAGTGTCTGTAATAGGAAAATCCTTGTGTGTCTGATAAGGAACCATGAGTACAGGAGGTCGAAGGCGGAGTGCTTCCTTGACGACTTGGCGAAGGTATACAGATTTCTCCATGAGTTCAAGAGTTAGAGGCTGATTGGGGTCATCAGCACGCAACCTATCTTGTTCGTCATAGACTCTCTTTAACACGTCAGGATGATCAGCCAAAAGCTGGAAAGTCCAAGTGAGTGCAGAAGAAGTCGCATCCTGTGAGGCAAATAAGAAGGTTAAGATGGTTAAAGCAATCTCCCGATTTGTGAAGGCATGGGGTGCGGGTTTTCCCTTTTCCAGGCACTCTTTTTCATTTTCTTTCATAGCAATGAGCCAATTATCCAAAAGACATGTAGCTTCACCACCGTTGTCTATACGAATTCGAGCATCTTTAATGGACTCAACAAATGCGTCATAGATGTACTGTCGAGATTTCATAGCTCTATATATTTTGGTACCAGGAAGAGGATAAGGGAAATTGACAAGTTCAAGGGCAGCTGTGATGTTGAAGTATTCTTCAGAGCATCTTTTTGCGACAGACTCTGGCATGAAATCTCCAAGGAAAACACGAAGCGATGACTGCATGTTCAATTCTCTAAAGTCCCATTGATATCTTCTGACTTTGCCCTCATGAGAGAGCCATTCATCAAAGAATGCTTGATAACACTTGTCCATGATGGGTAAATAACCCCCAAGAGCATTTCTTTGAAAGAGAAATTTTAAGCCTTTGCGGTATTCAACATGCTGTTTTCCATCCATAAAGACCCAATTATCATCTGTCAAGATATACCTCATGGAGTCAACCACAGCAGGTTGAACAAAGCTGGGTGAATTTAGTATTTTGCGACTAAATTCGCAGTTTGAAGCGATTACGATAAATCTATAATAGTTAAATTAATGGTTCGATATTTTTTTTATTATTATATTATTGCACCTGTTAAAGACAGAGACACAAGACAGGTTTCCACTTTTCCATTTCGAATTGTACTTGTCAAACGTTGGTTTCATCGAATCCATCAAGGATCCAATAAGGGGTACCTTAAACACTGGTCCAGGCAAGTGCTTCTTCTTTCTCTGATAGTCAACCTGTTCCCAAATCAAAAAGCCCGCGACAGCTGCTGTGGCTAATCCAATTGGAGTTACATATTTAGATTCGGTAAGGCTGTCGCCAACCACTTGTTTTATTTGCTCGGCTGTCTCTTCTACAAATTTGCGAGCCTTATCCACAACAGTACTAAAGATAGATAATAAGCCACAAAAAAAGAAAAAAGATCATTCTTCGTTACCTGTTCATGTCTTTTTAATTGACAGTAAAAAGGTTAAAGAAAAAAAAAAGAGAGAGAAAAAGCACTGTCAAGCTTATTTATATCTTTTGTCTCTATTCTACTATTCATGTAACCATGATTCGCTCTTTTAATTTGATAAAGGACAATCTTGTAATAACATAGCAATGTCTTGATCGCTTTGATAGTGTAAATGTATCTTTATTGATATGATTTCTTTATAGATAAGCATTATAATTGAATGAGAGTCAGACAACAAAATGATCGACGCGTGCATATCCATTAAATAGTAATACACACTTTTTATTATATGAATGGGATGCATAAATAAACATTTTATTGTGCTGAAAAGGTGGTAATATCAATATATCATACCACTTTTTTAATTTCACGTTTTTTTTCTTTCCTCATGCCACCTTCTCCGCGCCTCTTTATCATAGAGCCATTTTTGCAACCAGTTTACCTTGGGATAAGAGACAATTTCGAAATTGATTGGTTCAGAGCATTCAGGATCTACAGCAAACGCAATAGCTTCTTGAAATATGATTCGAACAGTGACCGTTCCATCAAAGATATTTCTGTCCTGAATATCAATGCTATCCGTCGCATTTGAATTCACAAACATATTGTATTGCTTTGTCAGCTTTCGTTCATTCACTGGCTCAAAACGTGTCCAATATGTGTCTTGTGCGGATAAACTGTGTAGAACAGACGGTGACACGAGCGCTCTTCGAAAGCACCAAACAAGTCTTTTCTCACTACGTTTTGTTCTCTTCAGCCAGCGCCAGGGCCACATCATTGAGGAAACACCATCTTGACTTTTTTGGTTTTGTCGTATCTGACAAGAGAAACAACAAAAAGCTTGGGCGAAGTAACCTGAGAATCCCTTCAATGGTCGTTTGATATTCTCTTTCCATCTCTTTGATCGAGTACTGGATGTACCATGTATCCTATGATTATCATTTGTATGAATGCTATCATGAGTCTCAGGTGTAGGATATAGAATGATATTTTGTCGTTGTTGTTGCATGATGATGATATGTATATATATATATCCACTAGGAGAGCAAAAGAGAAAAAAAACTATGGTGATCGGATTTAGATTTCAGTCTCTTTTTGGGGCGAAGTGGAACACAATGATGCCCAAATATGGAAACTATGTAATAAAAACTATGCTCCAGGAACAGAATGTTTACAGCAATCATTATAAAGCATTTGACAAATTAGGTTGATGTATTGAATTACTGTTGGTATCACCATTCAATATTATACATCGTTATTAAGAACGAATTCAATGGGTAGGTATATTCATTTATAAATCATTGTCTTTAGAGATATTTATGCATACATGAAAATGTCCTCTCTGTCTTTCTTTTTTAATGTCATAAATAGAAAATGGTTTGATGTATATGTATATACAAGGTTTATTCATCAAGTAATTCATCCAGCCAAGCCTCATCATCCTTATTGTCTTCAACAATCGCAGCTGCTGGCTTTTTCTTTATTGAACCAGGTTTAGGTAAGCTTGGTTTGTTCATAGGAGCATCATTGACTTGTGTATGAGCCAGTAGTTCGTCCAGGTCATCTGTGAGCTCATCTGTCTTTGTATCTTTCTCCTTTTCATTATTTACAGCATGCGATGGTCGTTCTGTTTCTACTACAACCGGTCTGTTGACAGAAGGCGCCACGCGATGATTAGACCCATCATTTCTAAGGTATATACCTTCTGTCTTGTTTTGTAATGATTGTTGTTGTTGTTGTTGTTGTTTATTAAACAATACATAACCTTTTGCGTTTTTTGTAAATGCTGGAACGAATGGTTTATCAAGAACAATAGGTTGATATGTAAGAGCATCATGCACCTATTCATGGGAGGAAGGGAGTATTATTGATTATGTATTATTGACTTTTTTGTTTAACTCACGAGATCATTATCAGATTCTGATAGGTCAAGTAGTTGCTGTATATCTATGCTTCCAAATGCAGCTGTAAGTGATTTAAAGTCAATCTCTAATAACTACATTTTCATACACAAGTTGTCAGTTTGGGATGCATGCATTCTCTCTCTCTCTCTCTTACATTTTGTTTTTGTTGCATGATATCTTTTTCAAACAATTGCTCTTCTTTAAATTTGAAAAACGTTGAACTCCCTTCCTCTATTTATGCGTTGGGTAAATATAAGCAAATGTCTATCAGGAAAAGGACTTGGTTTACCTGTATTTTCCAGCATGGACACTAGATCAGTAGTTTCACGATCTATTCCTAATTCAGCATCTTTCTCCAAACGATCTAAAGAAAAAAAAAAGTAAGCTTTTATACAAGTGTTATCTTTATATATAATACCTTGTTCTGTTTCTTCTTCATACCGATCATAATTTGATACAAGCTTTCTTCGAGAGTACTTTGCTTGCATCTTTTTCCTTTCCTCTCTTTCCTCTTCTGTTTCCTCGTTGAAGTCTCCATTTCGTCTACGAATGGCAGTAATACCAACACCACGATCTTTGGCTTTAGCTGCCTTTCTACGTGCTTCAGCTATTTCTGCTGCAGCATGATCTCCTTGTTGTTTTTTGCGTACTTGATATTTACGCGATTCTTTTGCTTTATGCTCGTCCGGTCTCATAAAAGAAAATATAATTTAAAAAAAGATGGGCAGTCTAAACCTATGGCGTTTTCTCAAAAGTAAAAATGGCTGATACATTTTTTACCTTAATTGGAAAGTGTATCCAACTATGACAAGCAGAATTTTCTACTGCCCAAGGTTAAAATAGCAACAAAAGGGTGTCTTTTGATCTCTTTATTACAGCTATACACTCTTTCCGGAAAGTAAATTCGCCTGTGATCGAAAATAAATGCATCCAATGGTGAGAACAAAATCGCTTGTCCCGCCCTCTTTGCTCTCTGGCGTGTACCTGGAACGTTCCCTAATAGTCTCTTCTGACGCCCTTTTTTTTTGTTTTAACTTTCCTAGGTAGTTATCGCTACCCTCCTCAGAATGCACCTTGGCGGTAAGTAAAACTAATATTGGGATATGTACTCTAATACTAACATACTCTTTCTCTCTTTTTCTATATATACTCATTATCTCTCTCTCTTTTGACATGATGTCGTTTTATTCAAACTTATTTTTCTTTGTCGTCTTTTTACGTAAATAATTCTTTTATTTTACGACAATATTTTATAAAATTAACGTCAATAATTAATAAAAATACAGTATTTGAATTGACAGGCATATTTGCTCCAATCATTGTTGTCTCCCCGCTCTGATGACACGCGAATTACACGTGAGCGAAGTAGCCTTTGTTGATCAACTGACAACATAAGGTTAAAATAAAATAAAAAAAAAAAACTCTTTTTATCTCTTCTTCCCCAAAAGAAATAAACCAAGATGGCGACTTTATAAAGTCATGTGTAGCTTGATATTATACATTGACATCATAAATACCGCTTGTAACATAAGCCTATCTTCTGGTGCATGTAGTGCTCACCTCAGTTGTTGACATCGACAACGATATCGTACAGCTTGGCGAGATAACCAAAAAAATGCTTGATAGAATAGTGATGAAGCCGAAATCACCAAAGGAGTTTATGACTTTTGGAGTCATGGTTTATGGTTCAATTACTGAATCTTATAGTCATCAGTATCATCTATCACAACTATCAACAGCAGCAGCACGATCATCATCATACACATTTAAATTGATTCAAAAGATCCACGTTACCAACGTTGTCAAATACATACACCTACATGATGCTGTCCTTGGAATACTTGATTTACTATAAGCAATTGATGGAAGATGAGTGTCAAAGCAAGCAGCTTGACATTTCCCGTCGATGACCTGATGGCTACTTCCGCGTCAACAGAAACGGCTTCATGGGGATAATTGGATTTTTTGAGGCCAAATCAGCCTCACAAAAAAAGTAAAAAGAATACAGTATGATCTGGTCAGATTGGGCGTGTTTGGAAAGAATTTCATCGATGTTCATCAACTTGGAAGCTCCTTGATCCAAGCAGTTGGAAGCAAAACTGTTATTCTACATGTCGAAGGGAAAATCGAACGACATTTATACCATGGTCGAGCTAGACACTTTGACCTTCCCTAGCACTGTGAATGAGATTCCTGCAATTTTTGGTTAAATCAACAGAATAGCTAAAATGTCACAGTTGACGAAAGGAGGACAGAGGATGCGGTGATATAAGCTCTTCGAGCTGCGCTTCTTTATTTGAATATATACAAAACAAACAAAAAACAATAAACTATATCTTTTAACCCTTTTCCAGGCTAAGCAAGTTAAAGATACATAAAAAATCTTTCATACCATTTGGGCTGGGTGACCACATTCTCTATCCTCCTTTCGTCAACTGTAGCATTGCTTGACGTGCCTAACCCAATTCCAGTTAGCTTCAGTCGGACTTCGGATGTGGTATGATTTTCAGGACAAAAAGAAAAAATGGAATCCGTAACCTTCTGGCTGTCAGCGTGCTGGTGAGGTGGTTTGTAGTAGAATCGTTCAAATGTGTTGGCAGACAGGCTCCAATTGACATGCTTCTTTATCTTATCTATCTCGTTGCCTGCTTCTACGACCATCGTGCTGCTTGCTGAACGTATTGAATATGGGCCATATACTTTTGTATTTATCCCTGCAGCTTGCATGTGTTTCTTGACGATGTTTGCTAAGGAAATTGGATTGAGTGGTAGAAGTTTTCTGGGCTCCATCAAGTATGCCAGAAATAATGGATGATTCTCGGGGAGCTTGTAACGAAGAAGTTCAGTCTTGGTTATAAAAAGCCATGTCGTTCTTGCTGGGCACATAGATTCAAGATCTAACCGTCCAAGTCTTGCGGTCTTGGTTTGAGCTTCCTTTGCTTGTCTAATGTATAGTGTCATACCGAGCACGGTTTGGCTCCTGGAACTACTGTTGTTTGCGAAAGTAAATTCTACGTTTCTACGTTGTAGGGTGCCTATATCAGAACATGGACGGAACATTGTTGCAATACAAAGCAGCAGGATCGCCTTGTCTTATAGTTGAGTGAGAGGCAAAGAGTCATTATCTTGAAAATGGCAAACTAAGTATTATAACAATATATCAAGATCCCAAGTTGATGTTTCTTGCTGAGAGGGCAGTTTGACTTCAGGTTTTTTTCTTGGCTGTGAAAAATTTTTGAATAAGTTGTTGATTTGCTAACGGTTGCCTATCCTTGTGTATGACCTTGAAAATAGATGAGATAGATGATCTGAACACGTTTAGGTACTGGCATGAATAATGTTGATGAACTACTAGAAACCGTAACACACTCTTGGGCTCGTATTCCCGAGGGTTAGCGGGAGGGTGTTGTTGTTGGCACCAATTTTGTCCATAAGCTCCATCCTCTGTTGTATAGCTGGTATGCACGTCTTCGGTGGGCATGTTGTAAAAATTAGATGCTTTGTTACCTTGGGTCCACCATTAACAACACCAAGGGAATAAATTGCACCTAGTATGGAAATTGATGGTCTCTTGGTGGTTGCTACTACAGCTTTTGCAGGCTCATCTTTCTTTAATCTGCACTGGCTTCTTATAGTATGAAGATTGAGCCCAAATCCATCAATGAAAATACAGTTTTGCATAAAACTGATGTTAGAGTTTTTAATCCATGCCTCAACAGCTCTAAATCTTCAATAACGTTAGGAGAGCTTCGTTTGGCAGGAATCTTTGTAATTCTCTTTAATGTGTAAGAACAGCTTTCTTTCATGTGCTTATCCACGCCGGATTTAGAAATACTAAAGCCTTCAAGTTTATCATTGAGGGCGTCAGCCATTTGATCTAGCGTGACTCCCGGGTTATTGTCAATAAATTCTTCCAAAAACTTCGTATGCTCTTCCTTCAGCTTACGAAGGTGCTGGTTCGTTTTTGCCTGTTCTTCAATAACATTACCCACTTCAAGGTCTCTTCTTTCTTGCATGCTTCTTTTGCTGCTTTAACCCAAGGCTTCAAGGTAGATATAGGTATGCAATACACTTCTCCAGCTGTGCTGTAACTAAGAGAAGTAAACATATACATCTAGATAGCTCTCTCCTTTTCTTTCTCTGAGTAGTTCTGGTACTGTTGACTATTAGTTTTCTTCTTAGCTATTTTCTCTTCCATTATGTTAAATTGTAGCTCTTGAACTTGGTTCGAGACTTCTGTACTGAACACTTCATACATTTGAAATTTGCTTTGATCATTAAAGTCATAGACTTTGCTAGATTCACTCATCTTTAAGAAAAAATTAAGAAAGGAGCTTTTAGTTGAAACTCATTGCAGCTTGGTCAAACTTATTTTTATTTTTAGTCGACAGAAAGGTACACAGATGGACAAAATAAGCGTTCATTTGGTCGAAATGAGACGTCACTTTTGGTCGAAATTTATTTTTTATTGGCTGAGTTTAGTTGCCGCTCTGGTTGAAGCTGAAGTGGAAATACTGTATATATTAAGGGAAGAAAAAAAAAAAGGAGGGGGCAAGGATTTTTCATCATGAATTTTTTGACAACTGTCAAACTTTCTTCTCCTATAATTCGGCTCGGTAGATATTATTCCTCTTTATATAGACCAGTTGTTACTGGAAAACAGTTTACAGAGTCGTTTCGCGTTTATCTCGGTAACTTTTATAAACACCATTTATAACAGACTTTGAATTCACCCATTATATCATATTATATCAAACAAAAAGAGAAGGATGGCAGAATAATATCACCTTTTCATGACATTCCACTTTATGTTGATCCTTCTGAAAAGAGCATTGTTAATATGGTCGTTGAGATTCCAAGATGGACAAATGCTAAAGTCGAAGTAAAAAAGTTTCTATAGATCGTACTTGATGTTATGCTGATCATAAATATGCATGTGTGTGTTTGTATGTGTGTCAATAATAGGTTGTCAATAATGAGAAATTCAATCCTTTGATGCAAGATATCAAAAAAGGAAAGCCAAGATTTGTCCGTAACTGTTTCCCTCACAAAGGTTATATCTGGAACTATGGCGCATTGCCACAGGTACACACAAGCTACAGAGAAATAGCCTCATGGTTTATCTAAAGTATTAAAGACATGGGAAGACCCCACTTGTCTACATAGCGAGACTGGAGCCAGAGGAGATAATGATCCCATTGACGCTATTGAAATCGGAGAAGGTGTAGCTAAGCGAGGAGAAGTAAAGCAGGTCAAAGTATTGGGTATTATGGCCATGTTGGATCAAGGAGAGACCGACTGGAAGGTTGTGGTCATTGATACAAAGGACCCTATGGCAGCAAAATTAAATGGTAACGACGATGGATAAATAGAAAAAAAAAAAAAGCATCTTAATCTTTAGCTTGTAGACATTGATGACGTGAAAAAACACTATCCGGGATTATTAGATGCTACAAAGCATTGGTTTGAAGTATACAAGATTCCTGATGGAAAAGAAAGAAACGAATTTGCTTTTAATGGCGAATGCAAGGACAAAGTAATGCATAGTCTATTTTCTTATTATTCCTATTAACCCGTTTATTAGGCTTACGCTAACTGCATTATTGCTGAAACTCATGAAGCATGGCAGAAATTGATTCACGCCAAAATTCCACACAAGACAGAGACTTATAATATAAGCGTGTAAGTGATAAAAGAATAGTAAAAAAAAAAATCAGGTTATTTATTTTTCTTAGAGAAAATACGTCTGTTGAAGGATCACCATTTAGAGTAGAAAGTGAACCTCTTAAAGTGACGGTAAGAATAAGGGGAATCATTGATAAAAGAATGAAAGATTAATGGGATCTATATAGGAAATACATGAAGTTGTACGAGAGGAGGATAGCGAAGACTATAATGGCAAGTGGTATTTTGTTTAAAATAAAGCAAAGTATCTTTTTTTTTTATAAATTTTATATGCATTTTACATAAAATCCTCTTCAGCGGCATTAATATCTTCAACTTCTGTTTCTCTCCAATTGCTCTTCATCAAAGATGGATCAAATAAATCATTAATTTCTTTTTCGGCCTTTCTCTTTTCTTCAGCTAATCTTCGAGCTTCTTCTTTCTGAGCAAATTCATCCGCACGAGCCTTTTTTCTATCCATCTTTTCTCTTTGAATCTTTTCCTGCATTAAATCAGGATATCGCTCCACCTTGGTCTTATTCAATCTGTTCACAACCTCATTGATTCTTTTTTCAACATGCACTCGTTTCACCTTTTTATGATTATGGAAGGTGACTTGACCTGTTTCCATGCCAGGTGTCTTTTTCAAGTTATCCCATGGTGTATAGATAACTGTGATGTTGTTCTTTTTATTTCCTTCGATGCTGTTGGCTTTTACCAGTTGAGCACAATCATCAACCACTTCAGGTGGAATATCGAGCCATGTCTGTCCAGGTTGTAAACGGACATAAACGTGTGCGCTAGAGAGTTTGTCAACATGAAACTACCAAATTAGCCAACATTCTCTCTCTCTCTTCCTTTATATGATTACCCTAAAACAATGTAAGAAAAGGTCATTATTGTTATTATTTTGATTCCTCACCAAACATCTTCAGGGAATCCATACTTGATCAAATCTTCATCTGTATTTTTATAGTTAGAAGGGCTGTTTCTCTCTTTTTTTTTTCATATTTTATTATTACTTTCAAACTTGTCTTTTCCCATATAAATGGTAGCAGGTGGGTCAACAACTATAAAACATGTCAGAATGGTATAAATTCCATGACTTCCTTCAAGAGAAGGGGAAAAGAAGTTACCATTGCTAGTGAAATACAAAACCATTTTGAACAAACTGATAGAAAGCAAAAAAAAGGAAAGAAAATTTTCTATGTGCAAGATTAGCGGCTGTCAATTACTTGACCAATCAATTGGTTGGCTGAACAACCTATACTTCACTATGTTCGTAGGAGAAAGAAGAAGGAGAGGTAGGCACTGAATAACTTTAAAGGCTATCTAATAAGTAAAAACTACTCGATGTAAGATCCGGAAAGTAAATACATTTAAGTTTACTGCATTCTCTCGAATTTCATTTCACTCCTGCATGATTAAAATGAGGGTTTTACCGTTGATATTTAGCAGTCAAGCAAGTTCCTAGAATATTGCATAAGGCAAAGTTTAACTTTCTATTTATACTTTTGTTATGCTAGCAATACTTTGACATCTCTTTTCTCTTCCCCTTTTGACATAAAGGGATAAACATTGCAAAATTAAGCTCATACACAATACTAAAAATGGTATGTCATATTGAGTTTATACTTCTCCTTGTTGGAATAGATGTCATAGTTACATTAAAAGCGATCTACGCACATGACATTTATGGAAACAAGCATTGGTAAAATAAAGTTATCTTCAAGTGAAGTCATATTTTTTTTTTTTTTTGTTCGTTGTTGTACATCAAAACCAAATCCTTTGGGCTGTTCAAATGCACATGTTTAGGTGCAAAAGCGACCCTCATGCATAACTATACCCTTTCTTTCACAATACAAAAATAGTTAAGCCCGAATTGGATTCCCTTTTGAACGCTATGTAGCAACTTGGATCAAGTTTTTTTTTTTTTTTTTTTTTTTTTGGAAGGGAGACGAGTTGTTTCCACCTCCTAAAATCGAACTTTTTGACTAATGGAGTATGAAGGCAACTTTTTTTGGAAAAAAGACCTTTTTTTGCAGCAATGGGCCACCACCGTTAGTTCCCGAGAAAGACAAAAGAAAGAAAGAGAGAAGGAGGTGCAAGTTTTTAAGGAGTCAAGTCGTAAAAAAAAAAGGAGATAACTGAACTAGAACTGAATTGCATTAAGGCAAGCATGCCCAAATCCCCTAAAGATTTTTCGATATCTAAAAAGTAAACGAAACCGTGAGCCAGTATACGCTCGGCCCTGGTCCGCGCTTTCTCAATTATCCTATTTATCACCGGTAATCCCCACGTAAAGCAAGCACATTCCTCCTCTCTCACCGTAGGCCTTAAACACTCTACACTGGAGAGCTCCTTAACAGTACTTATCTGATCAAACTGGTCATTGGCCAAAGACAGATATCCCAGGTGTCTGCATGTGTGTGTACATGTTCATGTTCTTCCTTGTAGATTCCTTATTGAGAAAGAAATAAAAGCAAAGCTTAAAGTAGCTCTTATTAAAATAATTAAAAAGAATCCCAATTCATGGATTTTGCTTTTGATCTAATGTAGTACTACCGAACAACTCTATAAACATTAAATAGGAACAATGTCTGTTCGTCAGGAGGTGTGCAAAATAGTTCACCCTGTTCCCTGCAGCCACAATCAAGATATGAAAAATTGCAATGCCTAATGACCTAAAATAGAACTGACCCAGCTTTTTTCTTTTTTCAGGTAATAAGGTTGTGTGCAAATATGCCTTTCATGTTCATTCTATTGAACGCCTCCTTACATTAACAAGAAGGAAACAAGCCTTGTGAGACATTATTAAGATTTTTTTTTTTAGCTTTTATGAACCCAATACAGTGGGAAGAAGAACGAGGAGGAAAAAGAATAGACTGTAAAAAAAAAAAGGACATTTAGACTTTCAAATCGGCAAACCTTATTTATGATAAAGTATCAATAGAGTTTGCCAGCAATAGCTCTCTCTCTCTCTTTTTATATAGTTAAAAATTCTACTTTCTTCTATTTGAACCTAGACTTTTTGAAGAAAGGTATGTCGACTTTTTGCATCAGGAACTTATTGAATATGCATAAAGAATGATTTGGTATCAAAAAGAAAGGGCAAATGTAAGCGTGATTTTGCTCACAAATAAAGATTTTATTTTATTTTCATTTGGGCAAAGTTATAATTGAATAAATAAACAAGATAAAAGCACAAACAAAAGCAATAGCAGGCAAAACAATATTTTAAAAGGCAATGCAGCTTATGTAAAAAAAAAAACTGGATGGAATGAACTAGGTTCTGCATATACAAGAGAGGAGAGAGAGAGAGAGAGAAAAGAGGAGAAGAGGGGAGGAGGAGGGGGCATATGACTATTATGACATAAAATGACAAACAATGAACAACCATAAGAAATCAAGGATATACAAGAATAAAAAATAAACAATAAGAAATGTAATGATAGAAAGGGCATGATGAAATGGGGTTTTGCTATAAGATATCATCTTGTTTGTTGCTTGGTTTTGAGATGCTGATTAGAAATCTTTATAATGGAAGTGATCAACCGAGCCTGGACTGGGGAATGAGATACTGGATGGGCTATGCAATGGCTGATAGCAATGGTTTGAAGGAAGTCTTAAGGGAGGTAAAGAAACCTTTGATTGGTTCTGTAACTGATGGAAAGAGATATCAGATGTGGGCGAAGTAGGTGGAGAGATAGGTGGAAGGTAATAGTATGATGACTCTTGAGCACCTTGACGACCTCGATTGCGGAGAGCTTGACGCTTATTTTGGAACCAAATCTGAACTGTACGAGGATTCATCCCAAGCTGCTTTCCGAGTGCTCTACGAACTTCAGTTGATGGAAAATAAGTTTGACTGAAAACACGATTCAAGACAGCTAATTGATCGGGTGATGCTCTCTTTCTTTTCACTTTCAGGTCAGTGCGTTGTTGATGATCGTCAAACGAGGTTGGTGAGAGTGGAGGAGATGATAAGAGGTTAGCAATATTAATTTTTGATGAAGTAGGTGCTCTGTGATGAGTGTAAACAGTATTGGCTTCCAAGCAAAGCTCTGAAAGAGAAGGTAAGGTGCAGCTAGGATACATGATGAAAGAAATGAAAAAGACAAAGTGAATTTAATAAAAAACAAATTGACAATAAAAAGGATACACTATTTATATACATGTCAACAAGAAATCTGACCCCCCTTCAACTCAGGCTACAGTGAGTTCAAGGTAATAGAGTAAAGAAACAGCAAAATAAAGGGATTTAGCCGTGATTTTTCCTTTTTTGATCAGGTCTGAGTGTTGTCTTTCCCTGTATTACAAATCCAGTTTGGGTATTAACAATTGACAATACAAGTAATAATACTAGCAAGATTTACATACTCCTCTTTCCTTTCGCCCCCTTTTTAAGCTCCTGTTTGAAAGATTAATATATTGAAATGATTAGGAGAATAGTTTATAGAGAGAGATAGAGAGAGAGAGAGACAATCACAGCCAAAGAAAACAAACAAACGAACTTAGACAAAGGAGTTTAATAAAAAAAGGGGGGATTAATGTAATACAGCCATAAAGAATAGTTACATATCTTCTGTAGACCAAGCATGAGCCTCAGCTGCTCGTGATTTAGCTTGATTCTTTTGTAGTAAAAGGTTATCTTCAAATCCTGTGGATCGATCTACTCCATCCCAGCGATATCCTGGAGGTATCATGAAACGGTTTGGTTTCCAAGCACCCTTATAGGTGGGACGTACCAGTCTCTTTCCTTTTGAGGTTGATTTTTTCTATAATGGTTCATTACAATCAGTCTCCCCTTTTATGATCAACCTTTGTCTCCTCAAAAGAACACAACTTACTGTCAAGAATCCGGCAGCTGGGTCATTCCATCTTTCTCTTTCCTTAAGCTCTTGATTAAGCTCTACATCGTCTGCATATCTACACACATACAAAATGAATTAATGTTTCTTTTAAATTAAACTATAATACCTTGCCAAAGGCTTATCTTTTTCTTCCATCAACCGTCTTCTTTCTTCTTCGGCTGCTCTTCTCTGAACTAACCCCTTGCCCCATTCCATTCTTTTTGCTTCTTTCTCTATTTCTTCCCTTCTTCGCCTAGCCTCCTCAGCCTTTTTAACTTTTATATCAACTTTTCTACCCGATACATCTCGATATACAGTTTCAGCTGCTTCCTCCTGATGTTCCCTTTTTATTCGCTCCATAGCTCGTTTCTCAGCCAGTCTTGCTCTTTCTGCCTCGGCTTTGATTTCTTCTTTTGTCAGCACACCAGCCCTTTGTCCGTTTGACATACGAGGTACATCATCACTTTCAACCACAACTGGGGCGTCATCCTCATCCATATCTTCTAAAGGTGTCTCGGCCTCTTGCCGCTTTACTCCTTCTCGTACTGTCTGCCAGTTGTTGACTGCTCCGTGAAAGGGATCTCCTTTTGTAACAAATTCTGCTTCAATCACGTCTAATTCCTTTGCATCCGTATCTTCCTTTTTATCTTCAGTGTTCCAGCCAAACGCATCTTCGTCAATGATGCCAATGTTTCCTAATTTAGGAGCTGCCCCAGATGACTTTTTCTTTTTCTTTTTTTTCCTTGTACTGTCGTCCAGATACTTTGCAGCAATATATGCTTTGGTTGCTGCGTCGCCCGGTCCTCTTGCAAGATATTTCTGTCTTATGATTTCGTCATTATCAAGTTGTTTAATCTTATCCATAGTTTCTATTAATATTTTTTTTTTAAAAAAAGAGACGAATTTCCTGCAGAACAGATAGTTTCCCAATTAGGGTTCCTGTGACGGCTGGGCTGCCCCACAGTAAGCCACTTTTGAAGTTGAAAAAAAAAAAAATAACTTTCTTCAGTATATTTATATAAACATGGGCAAGAAAAAGACACCTGTATTTCGTAAAGCTGTCGCTCAGGAAGATCCATCCAAGAATGACAAGATAAAAGCTATTCGTACCTGGGACGACATTGAACATGACTCTGAGGATGACTGTAAGTCTCTTTTTTATTTTATTTTATAAACAGTTAGAACTGACCTTGTGAATAGTTCATGACGAAAGAGGGAAAATATTGCTGGAGGATCAAGATGAAGATGATCAAGGTAAGATCTTGTTTATAAACATGAGTTGGAAAAGTATTTTTAATCAATTACACAAAAATAGACATTAGTGATCATGAAGTATATGGATTAGAAGGGCTTGAGTCCGAAGAAGAAGAAGAAGAAGAAATAGACGATGATGAAGTTGAAGAAAGCAAAGCAGAGCCAGCTGAAGGTAATATTAAAAAAAATAAAAAGAAAAAGAAGATATTGATAAATGCTTGTAGATAAAACATGGGGTAGCTCTAAAAAGGCTTATTACGACGCTGATGAAGCTAGTGATCTTGATGAAATGAAGGAAGAAGAAGAGGAAGCCTTGAGAATCCAAAAAGAACATCTTGCTCATATGGATGAAGCAGACTTTGTCGATGACACTTTACCAGGATGGGGATTAGGTGCCAATCAAGATGCTGAGGTTGATAAGAAGCTTGTAGAAGACGTGACTAAAGACTTGGAAGATATATCATTTAGGTAAGCCGTCTTTCTTATATGTACTTATGAGTCTAATTCAAACTCTAGCACAAAGCAAGCTGAAAAGCGACGAAAGAATCTTTCTGTTGCCGAAAAGTTAAAGATCATTCAGAATGAATCACCAGAACTCATCGACTTGTTGGATGAATTTAAAGAACGCTCACAGACAGTCGAACAGATGCAGAGCCTTATTGATAAAATACAGAAAAAGGAAGCACAAGAAGCGTATGCTGCTCAGTTCATTTTATTCAAGTATCAGACGCTCATGAATTACATGACCAATATATCCTTTTATTTTGCATTAAAAGCATCACAGACAACAGATATTCGTGAACATCCAGTCATTCAAGCATTATTTCATCTTCGTCAAACTATGGAAAAAGTAGAAAGTGTAGAACAGAAATTAAAGCCCGAGATCAGCAAGTTCATCACAGGCCTCGATAGTGAAGGTGCTTTTGTAAAGCGCAATGGCACAAAGAAGCTGGTTGATGAAGATGATATGTCAGATATTCAAAGTGAACAGGAGTCTGAACACTTTGACGAAGAAGAGTTTGCTGGCTTTGATGAAGAAGAAGAAGAAGAAGAAGAAAAGGCACGTATTGCAGACATAGAAGAAGAATTCAAGAGTCTAAAGAAAGCCAGCAAAAAGCGAAAGAGACAAGCCATGGAAGACTTTGGAGAATTGGATGCATTGGATGAACTTGATATGGAAGATAAGCTGGTGAAGAAGAAGTCCATTAGGGACTACATTGCCAAGATTGAATCTAAGCAAGCAAAGAACACGAACAAATACCAAGGCGATTCAGATCTGCCTTATAGAGAACGTACCAAACAAGAACCAAAGGGTGTTGCTCAACCTACGGATAAATCTGCTGATTTGGATGACGCTGACTGGGATGAGGATGATGCTGCAGCGGCTAATGAAATTCGTAACGGAAAAGCAGACTCAGACGAAGAATATTATGCAGATATCGTTGCTGCAAAGAGAGCAAGTAAGCAAGCTAAACTAGAAGAATATGAAGCTTCGAGACCAGAGATATTAGACAGAGATGTGGGAGTTGATGATGGTCAGAAACGATTAGCAAGCTACAAGATTTTGAAGAATAGAGGATTAACACCACATCGTAAGAAGGAGAATAGAAATGCACGTGTGAAGAATAGAATGAAATACGACAAGAAGATGAAGAAGCTTTCTTCGACAAGAGCAGTCTACAAGGCACCTGCATCTAACTATGGAGGTGAAATGAGTGGTGTAAAGACAAATATTGTCAAATCAGTCAAATTATCAAAATAATAAAGTTAAACCTCTCTTCTCCTTTTTTAATTGATCAACATATTAATTTCATTTTATGTGTCAAATATTTAATAACTGTTGCATATATTGACACTTATCATCCTGCATCAAATATTCTACTCTTTATTGTATTAATTGCTATCCTCTCCCAAGTCTTCAATCACTGTTACTGTCGTCAAGGATGTCTCTGACTTGAACTCTTTTACAACTGGATCTCTCTTTTCTTCCTCTTTTTCTTCATCATCATCATCATCATCAAAATGATCTGGTTCATCAATACCAACTAAAAATAAAAGACCATCAATGAGCTGTTTATATTTGCTATTTGTCTTTTTTTTTTTTTTTTACCTCTCAACATGGCTGCCATTTCCTGTACATTTTTATCTGCAAGTCTTTGTCTTTCTTCTCTTGCTTCTCTACGACTACGTAGTTTTTCTTCTTTGGCCAATTTTGCATATTTTTCTTTTGTTTTATTCTTTCTTTCCAGTTTTCTTTTATGAAATCCAGTCAGATACTCTCTAATATGTTACTGATTAGTTTTTTTTCTGTGTTAATGATCAAAAGGCAAGATCGTACTGTCTTTTCTCTGGATCAAACTCTACATATTCCACTGTTTCTTGTTTTGCCTTTCTTTTTTTTGCATATATTTTACTTCCAGCAGATAAAATATCTGTATTCTTAACCTTTTTGCTCTTTGCTTTCATTACAATCAAAACTATAAATCTATTTGTTCTTTTCTATGCAGAAATAGTGAATAAAATAGCAAGGAAAAAAGCGGTCACACAAAGCCTCCCAGGGCAGCAATCCAAGAGAGAGAAAGAGGACGATGTTTTTGAAGCCCAGTCTGGCGACACACAAATAGTAATATAGTTACCCATCCTCCCCCTTTTTGCCCTCTCTCTCGTACACAACTATCTGGGAATATAGCAAAGGGATCCCACATCCAGATGTCTCTATAGATACATATCAGTGTATGACTTATCGTCCGTATTTCCTTTTGCAGAAATAATCTAGTCGAGATTACATTCAATAAAGTAAACCCTTTCTTTTTCATTCAGGGCCATATATACAAATGACCTTTGCAATGTAGTTTTACCAAAATATAGTTTATATCGGGTCAACGGAACTATAGGACAAATCTTTTTTTTTGGGATCACTATATAAACCATATGACAAGCAACTGCGCTTCTGTGACATTCAGCCCAGTGAAATAGGTACACGGTTGTAGAGATGACAGATATAAAGAATATAGAGCATACATATATTACCAAGCAACGTATTTATAGCCGTTTATGCTAATATGTTGTTACTCTACTATAGTTGTCACTGCTACTTTAGAAAAAGAGTTTCCAAAAATAAAGTTTGTATTGTGAAACGTTTACCTACTTTTTCAAGTCTTGGTGCCTTTTTTTCTTTTCTTTCTTTCTTTTATCTCTTCTTTTTATTACTTTTCTTGCAAAACCTATAAAAAAAGAAACGATGGCAGACTCACTTTCTTCGGGAGTCTCACAGGCTTTGCAAGTCTATACAAAAGGTACCAAGGCTTGGTTTGAAGATGAAGACGAAGCTTGGGTTTCAGCAACTGTCATTTCGAAAGAAGAGACTGATACAGGTGTCAAGATTACATTTGAAGACGATAAAGATTCAGGAAGGGTATGCCTTTCAACCTATTCAAAATAAGCAAGACTAATAAATATTAGCAACATATCTTTGAATCGACCTATGCAGTTTTAGAAAAGCAAAAAGGTGCTAATCTGCCGCCACTAAGGAATCCACCAAGATTAGAAAATATCGAAGACTTGACCAACCTCAGTTACCTTAACGAGCCTTCAGGTACACATACACAAATATTTATTTATTATAGTTTAACTTATTATTTTAGTCTTAAACACTATTCGTACTCGATACTTTCAGCGCAACATCTATACATACTCCGGTATCGTCTTGATTGCTGCCAATCCCTTTGCTAGTGTACCATTATATGAACCTGACATTATCCAACAATACTCGGGCAGAAGACGTGGTGAACTAGAACCTCACTTGTTTGCTATTGCTGAAGATGCTTACAGATGTATGGTCCGAGAAAAGACAAATCAGACAGTAGTCGTATCTGGTGAAAGGTAACTTTTTAGAAAAAGATATATAGCATTTATATTGATCATTATGTATAGTGGTGCAGGTAAAACAGTATCAGCTACACACATCATGAGATACTTTGCCACGGCAGATGATAAAGAATCAGGAAAGGTTAAGGAATCAGGAGGGATGACAGAAGTAGAAGAACAGATTATGGGTAAAATAATTAATAAATAAAAGCTAAGCCCAGTTGGCGATCAAAAAATACTTACACAAAAACATAGCCACCAATCCGATCATGGAAGCGTTCGGTAATGCAAAGACGACGAGAAACAACAACAGTTCAAGATTTGGTAAATACATCGAGGTAAATCATTTTTAGTTCTTAAAAACAATGAACTTATTGTGAATAGATTCAATTTGACAATAGAAATAATATCGTGGGTGCAAAGATCAGAACGTATCTTTTGGAAAGATCTCGTTTGATCTTTCAGCCAGAGACAGAAAGAAATTATCATATTTTTTACCAAGTAAGAAAGTAGCAAAAAATAGAGGCCTTGTATAAACTTTTTTTTTTTTTTTTCATAGCTCTGTCTTGGTGCTCCAATCAATGAACGAAAAAACCTCGAATTGGGTGACTGGACCAAGTTTCATTATCTTAATCAAAGTGGCACTGGTACAATTCCTGGTGTGGACGATGCAGCTGAATTCGAATTAACACAGAAATCACTCTCTCTCGTCGGTATATCTGTCGAGCAACAATGGCAAATCTTTAAGCTCTTGGCTGCTTTACTTCATATCGGTAATATCGAAGTCGGAGGTCGTACTGATGCCTCTATTGATGATAATCAATCTGCCCTTATTACCGCCACAAAACTGCTGGGCATCAAGACGTCCGAGTTCAAGAAATGGTTGACGAAACGACAAATCATTACAAGAAACGAAAAGATTGTAAAAAATCTGAGCATCGTGCAGGCTACGGTCGTTAGGGATTCTGTTGCTAAATATATCTATGCCAGCTTATTTGATTGGCTAGTCAAAGTTGTCAACGATAGTTTGTCTTGTCAGGAAGAAGGCAAGGTTCGCACATTCATCGGTGTCTTGGATATTTACGGTTTTGAGCACTTTAAGAAAAACTCATTTGAACAGTTCTGTATCAACTATGCTAATGAAAAGCTTCAGCAACAGTTCAATCAGCACGTCTTTAAGCTCGAACAGGAAGAATACGTCAAGGAAAAGATTGACTGGAAATTCATCGAGTTTAGTGATAATCAGAAATGTATCGAAGTGATCGAATCCAAGTTGGGTATTCTCTCACTTTTAGATGAAGAGTCAAGAATGCCTTCAGGAACAGATCAAGGCTTTTGTAACAAGTTATATGCTAGTTTCTCGGATCCCAGTTACAAGAATTACTTCAAGAAGCCTAGATTTTCAAACTCTGCGTTTACTGTTGTCCATTACGCTCATGAAGTAGAATATGACTCGGAAGGCTTTATTGATAAGAACAAAGATACTGTGCCTGATGAGCTTTTGTCCTTGCTACAAAATGCCGAATCTCCCTTCTTGGTGGATATGCTTCAGACGGCTACTGCTGCTGCTACAGCCGCTAGCCAAGAAATTAAGGTAAAAAAGAAAAAAAAATCAAATAATGATAATACTAATATGATAATAGCCTGCACCTGTTAAAAAAGCAGGTATGGCAGTAGCAAAGAAGCCCACATTAGGCTCTATTTTCAAAGTAAGCAAGAAACAAAAGAAAACTATGCAATGATTGAAAATTTACCTTGATTATCATTAGCTTTCGCTTATCAGCTTGATGGATACAATCAGCAAGACCAATGTTCATTACATTCGTTGTATCAAGCCAAACGAAGCCAAGGTTGCTTGGGGTTTTGAGCCCAACATGGTCTTATCCCAGTTACGTGCATGTGGTGTATTGGAAACCATCCGTATCAGTTGTGCAGGTTATCCTTCTCGGTGGACCTTTGCAGACTTTGCAGACAGGCAAGTGACTTTTTACTTGCATATTGCAAATAATAACATTTCTGTAGATTCTATGCGTTAGTCAATTCCAAATACTGGGATCCTAACCTTAATCCTGATGTGAATGAACTATGTCGTGTCATTTTAGAAAAGTATATTCCTGACAAGGACAAGTATCAAATCGGTCTTACCAAGATATTCTTCCGTGCAGGACAGGTACGTATATATACAAAAAAGGGAGCCAAAACCTCATACGATATTAGCTTGCTTATCTCGAAAAATGCCGAAGAGAAAGATGGGACGAATGCACGATTCTGTTACAAAAAAACATGCGTCGTTTTATTGTTCGTATCCAATACCTTCGCACGCTTGACCTCATTTCGCGTCTACAACGTGTGGCTCGTCAAAAGATGGGCGTCAGAAACCTAGAGATCGCCCGTCAGACAAAGGCAGCTATCAAGATTCAAGCCGAATGGCGCCGTTACATTCAACGTAAACGCTACTTACAGACCTGTGCCTTTATCGTCAAATTGCAAGCGGCCAGTCGTAGCCATATCACACGTAAACAGTTTGCGAATATTCGACAACACTTTGCAGCCATCAAGATTCAAAGCCTTCTCCGAGGTTGGGTTGTTCGTAAGCAGTACCATGCAAAACGAAACTATGTCATTCAACTTCAGACGTGTATTCGCCGTCGTCTGGCACGTCGACAGTTGCTTACACTTAAGCAGGAGGCTAGATCAGCCAATCACTTTAAGGAAGTGTCTTATAAGCTAGAAAGCAAGGTAGTCGAATTGACACAGAGCATAACACAACATAAAGAAGAAAAGGATCAATTACGTGTCAAAGCAAATGAATTGGAAATGCAAGTCAAGACATGGATTGATAAATATGACAAACTTGACAAGAAGGCCAAGGAGCTTGAAAAGACACTGGAGACACCGTCTGAATTAGAAGCCGAGTTAGAGACCCTGAAGAACGAGCGTATAACACTTCAGACAGACTACAAAAATTCACTGGAACGTATCAAGAAGCAAGAAACCGAAATTGCTCGATTGACTGAAGACTTGAACCGTCAAAAGGAGGAAATCTTCAAACTCAAACAGATGAGCAACCAACAGCAACTCCGATCTCCTGTGAGTCCAGGCGGCGCTTTTTCGTCGCCTGCAGATGAGGCGGATGTTGCGGACTTGAAGGCACAGATTGTGGCGCTCAAAGCACAATTATCGCAGTCGCTCAAGAACCACCCAAAGCGACAAGCATCCATGAATGCTTACCGTACCTTGTCTCCCCAACGTAATGACCGACGTGGTATTTCACCTGACCGTAACCGTTCACCTTCAGTCAATCCACGTGCAAGGTCGCCAAGCACGATGCGTCGTAGCAGCCTTGTGATGGTATCAGAAAGAAACGAAACCAAGGTGATTTATGCTGAGCCTGAACAAATGATACCCAAACAGATTGGTCAGCGTGGTAGCTTGGACGCAGACAAGGTGGGTAACCCAGAAGATGCAATGAACCAGCTTCTTCAGGAACACTGCGAGCTGTTGGAAGACGAAATGATTACAGGCTTGATACACTCTCTCAAGATTGTACCACCTGGAATGCAACAGCTCCCAACACGTGAAGAAGTCTTTTTCCCAGTTCATATCATTGGCAAATGTGTTACACAAATGTGGCGTTTAGGATACTTGGCAGAATCTGAGCAATTATTGTTCAGAGTGATGGACACGATTCAAAATGATTGCAGTGTAAGTTTAGACGAGATGTATAGAACATGGGTTAATGGTATACTAGTCGTTTACAGGAGAAGAGACGATTGTGCCCTGTGCTTACTGGTTATCGAATACACACGAGTTGCTTTCACTGGTTTATTCTGTTGAACAGGACCTTGAAAGAGAGATGCATTATAATTCTATTCATGGAAGACGAGCGGTCGGATGGCACGATTTTGAAAAACTGGTGTCTACAATGAAGTACGAATTACAGTGCTTGGAAGATAATCTTTATCATCACTGGTTGTCTGAATTGAAAAAGAAGTTGAACAAGATGGCCATTCCCGCCGTGATCGAGTCTCAGTCATTACCAGGCTTTATTTCCAGTGACTCTAATCGATTCTTTGGTAAAATACTCTCGGGCAACAATCAACCAGCTTTCTCTATGGACGATTTACTCAACTTTATGAACCGCATCTATCGTACAATGAAGAGTTATTATGTGGAACCTTATGTGATGGAACAAGTATTGACTGAGCTATTAAAGGTGATTGGAATCATTACCTTTAATGACCTTGTCATGAGACGTAATTTCAATTCGTGGAAGCGAGGTAAGTATTTTATTCCAGGTTTTATTCATGAATTAACAAAAAATGTAGCTATGCAAATACAATACAATGTAACTAGATTAGAAGAATGGTGCAAGGCTCACGACGTATCTGAAGCGACGAATAAATTAGAACATTTGACTCAAGCAACAAAACTACTACAATTAAAGAAAGCAACCATTGACGATATAAAGAATATTTATGAAGTTTGCTGGTGTTTGGCGCCGACACAAGTACAAAAATTGATACAAAATTATACTGTCGCAGATTATGAGGTATTAATATATGAAAAAAGAGCTATATTTAGATTTTAACTTTTTTTATAGGACCCAATTAGTAATGAAATCCTGAGGGCAGTGGCATCTCGTGTGAGTAGTAGCAATACCGAAGATATCTTGTTACTCGATAATACTTCACTTGAAGAAAGTGATTATGATCAACCTGAACCTCATCATGTTGATATAAATTCATATATTCCTGACTATGTAAGTTGATACTAAAAAAAAAAAAAGAAAACGTCGCTAATGAACCATAATCTTAGTTAAATATACAACATGTTCAAAGGTTGGTTGCCTTGGCTAACCTATCTGAACAACGTAAACCTCAGCGAATGGACTCTATTTAGTTGTAATATTTGTACAAATGAAACGTGATAAATATTCTTTGACCCAATAAACTTTTTATCGGAATAACTTAAATTATCCATATTGGGAATTAGGCAACCGTAACTATAAATAATAGCTTAATAGGAAATAAGAAACAGAAAAAAAAGGGTTTTTTCTTCTTTTCTTCTTCTTTATACAATCATGTCTGAACCTTTACCTCCTGGATGGGAAGCGCGTCAAGCACCCAATGGTCAATAGTAGGTTTTTCTATTTGGTGGTATCTGGATTCTAAACAATCTCTAGTTACTTTATCGACCACAGCACACAAACAACCACTTGGGAAGACCCTCGTCAACGTAATCGCGGATATCAAGCCCCTCCTCCTCCTCCTGGTCAGTATGGTGCCTATCCTCCACAGCAACCATCTTACGGCGGTTATCCTCCCCAACAAGGAGGTTACCAACAACCCGGATACCCACCTCAACCATCGGGTTACCCACCAGCACCTCAGCAACAACCCGGCTACTCTCCTCCACCTCAACAAGCTTACCCTCCTCCACCTCAACAACAACAAGCTTATCCTCCCCCACCTCAACAACAGGCTTACCCTCCCCCGCCTCAACAGCAGCAAGCCTACCCTCCTCCAGAACAACAAAAAGGTGCTTATCAACCTTATACTACTTCACCTTATACTCCTCCTCCTCCTCAGCAAGGTTACCCCTCTCCTCAGGGCTATGTCTCTCCTTCTCCTCAGCAACCAGCCAAGAAACCTGGCTTGTCTAACGGTATGAAATTAGCAGGCGCTGCTGCTGCCGCAGGTTTGGTTGGTTTTGGAATTTCTGAAGTCATCAATCACGAAGAACAACAGAGTGAACGTATTGAAAGACTCGAACGAGAAGAACGCGAGGATCACTATAGTAAGTTTTGACAAAGAAAAGCGTTAACAAAAGTGTGACACATGTTTTCCTTTTAGGAGAACAGCCAAGTTATAACAGTGGTTATAATGGCGGTGGTGGTGGTTATGGCGGAGGTGAATATGGTGGTGAATATGGTGGCTATAACGGTGGAGGTACAACCACGGTCATTAATGAAGACGGCGGTTGGTTTGGACGAGATAAACAAACCATCATTCAAACAGGTAAACAAAATTAAGAAATAACAAATAACAAAAAACTAATGTTTGAGGGGGGATTATGTGTAGATCAATATGGAGACACTACAGTTATAGAAAAGAAGGATGGTTGGTTCCATGATGAAACAACAGGTAAAATATTAAGATTAGAGTTCTATAGTTAATAACACCTTTGTAGTTACCGAGACGGATGCATATGGTAATACAACCGTGGAAGAAGAATCAAGTTGGTTCTAAGGATACCAATTTTGTGTGTGAAAGGATATGAAGCATATAAAAACTTTAATATATGCGTTACATATTTTTTTCTTTTGACAAATAAAAAAAATGCATGCAGTGTCAATAACTTGTTTTTATTATTATTATTATTATTATTATTTACAAAAGAGAGTAGGATCTTGCCTTGTCTAGAATGCTAAGGGGTTATGCGGCATGAATCCATATTTCTACCGCCAATGGGTATAGACAATTCAGATAGCATACTTTGAATGGAAGGTAAACGTAGCGGTGGCTGTTTCGTCTGGTTATCAATTGGCTGTAGTAAGAAAGGGGTAGGAGAGGATGGAGATATACTTGGTGAAATAGGTAATCCTCTCATTTGTGTTGCTTGACTTGCTAATAAATGTAAATTATGATCTGGTTGCTGCGATGGTAATGGTAATATTCTTTCTTTTTCTTCGAGTAATTTGGATTTTTTAAGGACATGGTTGTAGTGGAAATAAACTCGCTTTCGTTTGTTATTTTCCGTGTAAGGGAATGCTTTCTCTGTTGATGCTTTCTTACTGGACCTTGTGGTTGTAGTTGATGCCTTTATATTCTTGATGGTCTTTGTATTATTATTGTTATTATTATTATTAGTAGAGTGAAAGATGGCTTGGAGTTGACGTGTTTCAATAATTGCTTGCTGTTGTTGCCTTATTTTTTCCACGGATTTTAGAGTTTGAAACATGGCTGAATCTGGTTGATAATCACGGATATCTGTAGATAGCCACTGATGTAAGATGGTAGATAACTGAATGGTTGTTGTCGTAATAGGTCTATATTGCTTACTGGCTTCTGATGACCTATATTTAACTTGTTAACATGAATTCAGAGGCAATCCTTTTAGTTATTTACGTGCGCCAGGTCAGTTTCATGTTCTCTTTCTCCTTTGAATGAGCTGTCTTTGCAGATACAGAAGGCACAAAAAGCCATTCATTCCCTGACAAAGGCTTCAAATCCAAATCGACGTGATTTTTCGTCTTGTAAGGAGCAGGTAATGCCATATGCCACTGATCATATTCAATACACTTGAGTAGTGGAGCTGCAATTTTACCCATCATCTCCTCCACAGTCAATTTACAAAGCTCAGCTAGGTAAAAATAATTGAAACATCGTGCTATTTGTATTACGGTACGTGTCATCACAAAGGTACGACCATCCTTTATATTTTTTAAAAAATGATGCGGATTTGCCTTGAATAATTGTTTCAAGTAGTGTGCTTTGGTGTTTAATTGATTATTAAAAAATAAGGCATTCATGTCTTCCAGACAAAAATAAGATGCATTAGAGGTTGAATAAATGCAAAATGGTTTTAAATAATAATGTCCCAAGACAACACAGGTCGTCATGTTTAAAAGTGATAAAAAAAAAATTAGAAAAAGGGAAAAAAAAGAAAAAGATGCACTTTGCAGACTCACACACACATATATACACGCACATACATACACACACCTACACACTTACACACACACGCTCCACAAGTACACACACATATATATATTTATATATACATATATATATTTATATACATGTATATATGTACAAATATATATCCTAATGTATGTATGTCGATTACACCTTTACAGTCATTTTATAATGATAAACGCAGGAAAGCAAATCATAAATTAAGGAGAGGAAGAAGGGAGCAGACAGACAGAGAGAGAGGGGGGAAACATGTATACCAAAAGAATAAAAAAAAGAAGAAATGACAGAAGCAGATATCATACTTACATACTCTGTCATGAACTTCCCCTCTTTATTCAGTACTTTGGTCATTCTTCATTGTATAAGGGGCGGTAACGCAAATTACCCCTTAAACATAAACATTATGCCCCCGTTAGTTGACAAAAAGAGTAAAATACACAGGAAATTGAACTATTGTTTCAGCTATCCTCAATTTGCGTTTCAGGTTGAAGAAAATGAAAAAAAGTAAATTTTAAGGGGGAAGAAAGTGGGGGGGGGCAATAAGCCACTTGGTATTTTGTTGTTGTTTTTATTTCTACATAAACTATGTCATCTGAAGATGAAGACATTGACTTGAATGACGAAGTAGCTTCTCAAGTAGACACCATCACTGACGACGGAGGTGATATCGTAGACATGGATGGTATTATTTGTCTCTTGCTTATATCTCCTTAACAGTTACTCCTGATAATAACATATCACTTTTATCTCCCTTTAGATCCCCTTCCTTCTGCTCGGAACTCACCTGCGACATCACCAGTACAACTTGATGCAGACACAAGACAAGCTGATTTAAAAATAAATTCAGAGCTATTATCATGTGCTTCTTATGACTGTGTACCTTTAGTAAGTATATTTATGAACAAAAGGAACGTCTTCTTGGTAACCGTATGTGTCAATAGGTTGCTGCGATACACCCTTATCCTGTCTTCAGCTTAGCAGCCACCCGTAACTATAAATGGATCCTGACTGGTTGTGAAGATGGTTATATCAGAAAGTGGGACTTTTTCACGTCCATGAATGGAAAGACATCATTAGCACAAGCACTTCGGCATCAACATGTTGAATCCGTTGTTTATGTAAGCATATGAGTTTTATGGCTGCATATCAATTAATTCATTTATAACAGACAGGTGTATTAAGCTCATGGTGGGAAAATAATGAACAATCAGGTATATTACCTCCATTCTGTTGCTTGTGGAATTTTCCACTTATATTTTTCTAGAAGATGTGCCTGGTGAAAGTAAATTATCAGCTGCCTATAGTCTCGCGCTCCATTCCGAAGCGCTATGGGCGCTGCAGGGTTGCGAGAATGGGTCTATCAATCTAGTGACAGTGAGGCATGATGAGGGGAAATGCCATCATGTGCTACGGAAGCATACAGCCCCGGTCTCTGTCCTGATGATCACGCCTGATGAAACGGGTGTAATCAGTGGCTCTTGGGATAAATCAGTCTATGAGTGGGATCTCAATCAGGGTGCTATCATCCGTTCTTATGATGGCCATAGTTCTCAGTTATCATCAGCTGAATACCAACCTATTTACACACCCGAGGATGTTGATTATACTTGGGACAAAAAGAACCCAAATATCTTTTTGACCACCAGTGTAGATGGTGGGTGTTTCATTTGGGACAAACGAGAGAAAGATCCTAGAAAGCTACCATTGCCTAATGGCACACCTCCTTGGTGCTCAAGTGTAAGTGTCTTGTTTTTTCTTATTTGTTTGCTAATAATGCGATTTTAGGGATGCTGGAGTGCAGATGGCACCAAAATATATGTAGGCAGAAGAAATGGCACAGTGGATGAGTATGACTATGCCTCACAGAAGCGAATCAGAAGCTTCCGTATGCCAACAAACTCTGGACCTGTTTATTCTGTTAAAAGTATGCCTAACGGAAAACAGATTGTGTGGTATGTGTATGTGTGTGTATGTTTACGAGGCTAATTCATTCCTCCCTTTTTATTAATGCAGTGCATCCAATGATAACATTCGTTTATGGGACACAAGCATAGACTCAGCTTTTACCATTGGATCCGAAATGTCCGACTCAAAGTTGACAAAAACTACATCAACGATTCCATTTACAATCCTACCTGGTCATCATGGAGGAGCTGTGTCTCAGATGTCGATTAACCCTACTTGTAAATATATGGTGACAGCCTCAGGTAACAGAGGCTGGGAGGGCGCTTCTACCAATGTCTGTTTATTTTATGATATTTTGCCTGTTTCATAATACCCGCCTTTTTTTTTGACGAACAACCCGAGAATTTGGGTCCACCAATAAAACAGCCCGCAGAATTAATAGGGCTATCCTAAAGGATGGTTCACTTCTAAAACACCTCCTTTTTTGTTGTTTATTTATTTGTTTACTATGGACGGTCATTCGGAAGAGTTTATTTTAACCAACCCTATTCCAACGACTTCGGGCAAAATTCGAGGATTCAGAGATGAGACGAATCAGGTACATGCCTTTATTGGCATTCCTTATGCCAAACCGCCTACTGGTTCTCTTCGATTTCGGCCTACAGTTCCACTCGATACTCCTGACACGGAACGCATTTGTACAGCATACCCACCCTCTGCTCCACAGACCAATATGCCATTCGATACGCTCATGTGTGTCGAGATCAATTACCAGTCCGAAGACTGTCTTTATATGAATATCTGGCGACCTGCATCAGCTGCCACTGATAATGCAAAACCAGTCATCGTCTGGTTTCACCCAGGTGCATGCTTGAGGTACAAAATCAATCTTTATCAATCAATGTGTAACTTTTTTGTTTCTCAGTGGAAGTTGCAGTCAGCCGTTTTGGGATGGAACCCATCTTGCTAAAAACGATGTGATTGTTGTTAATTTCAATTATCGGTTAGGAGCTTTAGGTTGGATGTCAATGGATCATCTTTCTTCGGAATTAAAAGGAAGTGCTAATTTGGGTCTTTTGGATCAAATTAGTAAGTTTTTGTTATGCACAAAGGAAAAAGAATTAAAATTAAAAATAGCTGTATTGAAATGGGTACAAAAGAACATATCGTCATTTGGAGGCGATCCTAATAACATTACCGCATTTGGGTCTTCTGCAGGAGGTATAAAGCTTGTTATATGATAAATTTGCTTTATTAAACAATTATTTAGCCGCCTGTATCATGTCTGTCATTCTTTCACCCAACACAGCAGGACTTTTTCATCGCGTCATCTTGCAATCTCCACCCATGTTTATGACAAGTCCTCAAGACTGGGCTGAATTCAAAGGCACAGTCTTTGCTCGATCTCTGGGCCTAGGCACATCCAACCTCCTGAGTGATCTACAATCGATCGAGGTTGAAACCTTTTTAGAGTCACAAACCTTCATGACAACTTGGCCCAACTTTCTTGAAGGACTGGCACCTATCAGTAGTAGCGTTGACAACTACCTCCTGCACGACACGCTCATTGAATATTTCTTTCATCGGCCTCTGCCCGCAGGCTACGAGCAACTCGAGATCATAATGGGTTATACAAGAGACGAATTCAACTTCTTTTTTCCATTCTTGCCCAACTTTCAAGAGATGGACGAGTCCATGTTTGTCCGTACTTATTTTACTCATGTCTTTGGCCACAAAAATGCAAGAAGAGCATACGAGATTTATAAGCAGGAAATTGTACCTCCCATGTCACCGCCCTCAGAGATCGCACGGTACATGTGCTCAGATGTTATGTGCCGTATAGCAACCCTACTAACATCAGAAAACTTGGTAAAGCACGGACACAAGGTATACGTCTATCAGTGGGATTATGAATCAAACGATGTCCAGAACGTGATTAAGGCTGCGCACATGGTCGACTCGATCTTTTCTTGGGATAACTTGGTCTATTGGACAGACAACCCTTTCCTTGGTCCTGGTGATGAGTACGAAAGAGATAGGATCGCAAAACAGATATCTCGTTCCATCGTTCGGTTTGCAAAGACAGGAAATCCTAATCATGACGGTATACCTCTCTGGCCTGCGCACAGTCTAGAAGAAAGAAGCGCTATAGTATTCGATCGAGAAGTTCGAGTTGAAGATAACATGTATCAGACAGGTGTTCATCTCTGGAAGACGATACTCAAAGATTACGTTACGAATTCTTTATTTCCCATCAAACCTAAAACAAAAGATATGCCCAAGGATGATGCCTCGGAAGGCATAAACAAGAGACGAAGAGTTGATGAATCATAAAAAAGAAAAAAAGAAAGGCCCTTTATTAATTTAAAAAAGTAGAATAAATAAGACATCTTTGTATGTATAGAAATATGTATAAAAGCGACTTTCATAAATATATTACACTTGTATGATTTACTGTTTCTGCTTTGATTGATATTGATCAAAGGGAATAATCTGCGGTTCCTGTTGATCTTTTGTATGGCCGTGTTGTTCATGGTATCGAAGTCCATTTGCTGTTCTATAGGCTTTTTTACAATTCACTACTGTACATCGGTAGGGTTTATCCTCTCCAAGTAGATTTGAATGACCATGACCTGTGGTTCCCTTGGCATCTTTTAGATGGTACTGAAGCCCATTGATATTCTTGTACTTCTTTGCGCAATTTGCCATGGCACATCGGTAGGGTTTGTCGATGCCTTCTAAATTTGGATGTGCTTTCTTCATATGATAGAATAATGCCGTAGATGACGGGAACTCTGCATAACAGCCAGGTATATCACATCCGTAAGGTGTAAGTCCATCCTTGAATTCATCATCCATTTGATTGCTAGGCGCAGCTGTGTAATGTATTAGGACATCATTACTACTGTTGTTGTTTGGATTGCTGTTGTGCATGGTTGATGTCGCTGTAGCCGCATTGTTATTACTGGTAGTATTAGAAAGTAACTGTGTCATTGTACTGGTATGTGTGGTATTTACTGTAGGTGCCATGTTGGCATTATGCGTTGTAGTTGTTGAATTTACAAGATGGTCATTATTATATGCTGGGTTATTATTTAACAGAGAGGTATTATTGTTATTATTGTTACAAAATGGTTGTAATCGCTGAGAGTCGGACTTGGCCAATGTATGGTTCACGAATGGTATATTCACTTGTTTGTCTTTTTTCATCTGCATCATCCTCTGTAGTTTTCTCCATCGATTTCTGCAATGTAGGCCTGGCCTACCTTCAAAGAAATAGGCAATTTTTTGCCACTGTGATCCATACTCTTCGTATTTTTCCATTAGTCTCTTATCCTCTTCAGCTGTCCACTCTGATCGATCGATACTTGGATCCAAACTTTCTCTCCATCGTTTGGCGCATTGATCATCTGTTCTGCCTTCGAGCATATCGGCAATTTTACTCCATTGGTTTGGGTATTTGCTGACTCCTTCTCTCAACAACTGGTCTTCTTCATCTGTCCAGGCGCCCTTTCGAAGGGAAGGATCAAGTGAGTGAAACCACCGTTTTCGACAGTTCTTATTGGTTCGTCCCGGAACACAGGCTGCAATCTTGCTCCACTTTTCAGTCTTGTCACCATAAAGCTGTACAGCAAGTCGAAGCAGGTTATCTTCCTCTGGTGTCCAAGGTGCACGTTCTCTAGAAGGTCGTGGTGAGCCCTTGAGCGGTTTTTTAGAGGCTAATAAATAAGTGTGATGATTGGCAGAAGGATGGTTCTGTAAAGGTGCAATCTTGATAGGTGTAGCATTGAGTGGTGGTAATGTATTGATTGTTGTCTTGGCTATTAAAGGGGAAGGATGAACGTGCCCACTGTTGCTACTACTACCTTGCAAGATAGAATCATAAATTGAGCTTTCTTGAGCCAGACTGCTGACTATATCTTGTTCTGAATTTATCTATTTTGATTAATAAGAAAAAATCAGGATTATACTTGCCATACGTACACCAATTGATATGTTAACAAAAGACTTACAGTATGAAAAGAATTGAAAGTCTGTAGTTCGTTTCTATTGTTGTTATTGTTGTTATTATTGTCCTGCATGAGATCTTGGCATGACGTAGGATCAAACGTGTTATGAGTATGTTGATCAAATGTCGTAGGATAACGAATGGTAAATTCATTGGCTAATTGACTGAAATGTTCGTCCTGTTGTTGACAGTCAAAGTAAATAGGTTTCCCATCCTGTTCTGTTTGACCAGAAGAATGTTCAAAGGAATAGATCTGTTGATACTAGAGACAAAATTAAGGATGGAACGTAAATTTATTAAATATTTGTTATTACCATTAACAGAACTCGTTGCTGTTTCACAATCAAAAAAATTGAGTAGGAAGAGAGAAAAAAAAAAAAAAAAAAAAAAAATCAATTTGTGTGGAGAAAAAAAAGATCTTCAGCTAAAAAAAGGGGGTACTTCAATTTTGAGTGATGACGCTTCTGCGGGGTTGTAATCATCCAAAGGTATAATTTTTTTGGGTATCTTTTTGCTTGTGTGAAAGATCATTCCATAGTTGGTGAGTTTATGACAACAATGAAATGTTTGAGTAGATCTTTTTCATTTTACAAATTGTACAAATCCACATGCCCTTTTATTATTACATTTTTTACTTTTTATCATATAATACAAATTTTAGACATATCATGCCCATATTGCCTTTGGATTGATGATTATGCCTGCTTGTCTGATATACTGTTTAATGCGATGATCTTCGGCCTTCTCTACCTTTGCCAAAGCTGTTACGTCCTCTTTGCGAACTGCCTTGTTGACTTCCCTGTGGACTATGACTCTTTGCAAAGCTTTGCCAATTGGCAGTTGCCTTGTCGTCGTTACTTTCGCCATCTTTTTGTTTGCTACCATTATTGCTTCCTTGCTTCCATTGTCTACCATACTTTTGATCACGCTTGCCTCGTTTCCATTGGCCACTTCGTTCTCTTTCACTTCTGCCCTCTTTCTTAGTGCCTTCTGCTTCTTGACTCTTGACATCATAGTCTTCTGCCCATTCATTCGCGCCCCATTTTACATTCTTGTCAGTAGAATTGTCCGTGTCTTCTTTCTTGTCTTTATTATCTGTTTGCTCCTCAGCATTTTCCCAACTAATTTTTCTCCAGGATTCATCTTGTTCTTTTGTATTCACTGCTACATCATCCCAGCCACTTGACTCTATCTCTTCCTTGATTACTTCATGAATACCATTTGTCTTTCCATTTTCCTTTGTTTCTTTCGTTTGATCTTCAACTTTTTCTGTGTGCACATTTGTTTGTTCCGTCTTCCCATTGAGTTGATTGATACTTGATTCATTCTGTTTATTACCTTGGGGAGCCTCTATTTGTATTTTTGTATATTGTTCTGTTTGCTTTTCTGGTTGCGTATTTGCTTCTTGTTTTTGATCTTGCTTCATATTTGCCTCTTGATCATCTTTTTGTCTATCTTGCTTGTCTGTGCTTTGCTTTTGTTTCTTGGGCTCACTTGTTTGCTTTGATTCTGTAGAGGATGCCACATTAGAAGCATCTTCTGCATCCGCAAACTGATCAAGGTTATCGAATGTAAATTTCTTCTCTTGTCGTGGACTTGTTAAGGATGTAAATATACCATTAGTTGCTTGAGATGCCAAGGACCTTGATGTATTAAGAATAGGAGATAGTACTTGTTTTTCTAGCTTCTCAACTTGTATACCCTTTTCACCACTCTCTTGCTTCTCGGTCTGTATATTCTTTTCATCATTCTCTTGTAGGCTGATTTGCAAATTCTTCTGCTTGTTATCTTGACCACTTTCCAAATTAGTAGTAACCGTAGATACTTCCTCAGGTTGAGGTTTATCTTGAGACTTATTTTCTGGGGCAGTGGGTTCTGCGGGGCATGATGTACTTGTTGTCGTAAAGGGAGTGGGGCCCATAAATCCTCCAGGGACAACGTTTGGCATCATGAAAGGGTATAAGTGAGCAGTATCTATCATACTTGTATAAGGCATCATAATCCAAACTTGTGGGGAATGCTCCATAGGTTTTGGCTGAATTTCGGCTGTAGGGAATGGCTGATGCTGTAAACCAGTTTGTTTGATTAAATCTTTAATCGCACTTGAGATATATTTGAATGTTGTTTTGAACCCAGGACCAACAGGCTCATCTCGCTCACGCGTAAGTGCCGTGATAATATCAAGTATGATTTGGCTGTTTGCACTCTTCAGTTTCTCATCGGATCCAACAGCATACAAGGAAGCAGTGATTAACTTGTCACAGAGATATCTTACAGCTAAAGGTTCAAGTGCAGGATATTTCTCAGAAATGATGCCAAAGTAACCTTGTTGAGCTAATCGAACGAGATAAAAGAACTGAAGGGTTGAGAAAAAGTCTTGCTCTTTATAAAACTTTTTAGGTTTGTAACCAACGGCGTCTTCTTTCATGGCTTCTAATCTTGCAATCAATTTCTTATTCACTGCATATTCCTCAACAACTTGATTTTCTTCTTCAGTTGGAATATGACCCATATCTTTTTTTGCTAATATCCTATATGCTTCACGCTATTGATATATTAGCTTCAAATGTTGTCGTGTTTATATTATACAAAACACTTGCCACTTTCTCTCTCAAAGATTCAATTTCATTGTCAAGAAACTTTTCTGTAAACTTCCTTTTAGCTTGAAGAGGAACTGCCATGTCAACTATGTCTGATCTATTTTAAAGGAAAAAAGGAAAAAAAGAAAAAGAGACAGGAAAATGCAGGAGCTGTTGCTTTTGTTTTTGTTTAAACTCAGATTACGTATGCTTTTAGCGAATACGTTTTAACTTCTATTGGGCGAGCGATTATAGTACATTTTTCCCGCCTAAGGCAGGTCAAAAAGGGAAGGAAAGTGGTAGCTAAAAACAGCCCTTTTGGGACCAAAGATAGAAATTCTGTGGAAAGAGTGAATGGGATCAAGTGTAAGTCACGCTAGCGAGAAGGAGAGGAGGAGCTATTCGAAATGTCTTTACCCGAGGTGAGTAGGCGGAAGTTTAGCGTGATGTAGGTGATCGAGTTCGTATAGGATTATACATATAAATGGCCAACTGAGGATTCATAAGAATGTTATGCTAAAGGGATGGGGTTTTCTGATAGGTAACATATTTAAAAGGGAGGATAATGGGTCAGAAATAGTTCCGGACATCATGAGTCGACGGTGATTTCTGATTAATATCAATGTAATTATGACTGTTGAAAAAGTCACTGTAGTAAGTCAACCAACTACTTATAAGATCCAAAGAAATACAGTCGAGCTTTTCTGCCTAATCATTTGTCTATTAGACATTGCTGATATTGTCATCGAGCATTGTTATATTGAAAGAGAGATGTTTCTGCTATTTGCTTCTCATAATACCCACATTTCACTATTCGTGGTAATGGCAAAACATAATAGATACCAATTTTAAAGAATAATGACGCATTGACCAAGATAAGATCCAAAACAGAAGAGAAGAGAATAAAGAACAACATCGTTGTTCATTAACTCGTGGTTCAAGTACAATAATGGCACCCAAATCAACCAAGAGATCATATTCAGAATATTGATTAACTATTCATATGCTTGAAAAGTTCAATTCGTACCTTGTTGGTCCATAAAGCGTCTCATAGGTAACACTTGTTTTTCATGTGTCATTTATTAAAATACTCATGAATATCACAATTTACTTATAAAATATGAAATATTAACTTAAAGAATAAAGCACCAGAAAACATAATATTATATCCTATTTAACATATATTAGCTTTCTTCATCTAAACAATAACAGAGACTCATCGGTTTGAAACGTTTCATGATAAAGTTGGGTTACCCGTTACTATTTATGGAAAGGACTACAGGGTCAGAATAAAGCTTGAGAAATTCAGTCTTTAATCCTATTGCCCAATTTTGTCCGACAATGGATGAATTATGTCAGAAAACTAAAGAGGGATGAAGACAAACTCTATTGTTAAAATGAGTTGTTTATGCGAATGGAACCTCAACAAGATAAAAAATAAAAAAAAAAAAAACTGTGGTATGATCAAAAGGCTTAGTCAAGTCATTGATTAAATATGAAACATCACAACAATGCGTTACATTTACCACAAGACAATAAACAGAAAAATGATATATGGACAATAGAAAGTTTCTTACCAGAGACTTGCCAACATATATAAACTATTCTTCAATAGACGTGCTCTTGGATCAAGTTAAAAGTTAGGTTGTCGTCAACTAGCACCGTAAAGGATGATCTACATATAGATATTAATACTAACTGTAGAATATATCAATCAAAAGAAAGAATATGATTGGCTGGTAAGAAAAGGGACCCTCTAAAAGAAAGCTTAGAGATGTTGGCTTACCTCTTTTAACAAAAAGCACAAGAAAAATTAATCTTCACATGTCTTACATTGAATTACAGTAGCTTAGGACAGTCACGAATGCATTCACATGTTATATTATTTCATATAAAAACTATTATTCTATTTTGCTTTCTTTTTATTTTATATCAAAAAACACAAACATGCCTGCTTGGAAACAAATCACTGTAAATAGGAAACACAGAAAGAGAGAAGCAGTACTTATATGACTAATAGATCCCTGAAACGCCTTCTGCTGACTACGTTATTGTCAAAAATATCTCTACTCAATCATCTGAAAAGACAGGTATATCACATTGCGTGTATTATAAAGGTGCACATAGAGTCTGACACGCGATTTATAGTCAAGGAATTCTTCTTATTCTGTGGTAAGATCCTTGATTTTGAGTTGACCTTGTAAGTATAAACCACGTCTTAGATATTCTTAGCTAACGTACGCGCACTAGGGATGACGATGGACAACATCAAATTGCCTTGATTCGCTTCGAACGTGAATCTGCTGCCAAGACAGCTACTCTTCTTAGTAATGGTAAGTTATAGCTCAAGAGCAACAGAAGAGGAGGCCTAATTCATAGTTATATTTAGCCTTGATCGATGACTGTCATATTGTGGCTGAACCTTACTTTGAATCTGCTAAACCCAAAGATGAAGCAGTTCCAGAGAATACAGGTGCAGCAGATGAACATGTTCAACAAGAATCAAAGCCCAAGGCACGCATTGCTGCTGAAATCTTGGCTAATGGCTACATTCTCCAAGATCAAGTTGTTGCCAAGGGACTTGAATATGACTCCAAATACAATGTTACCACTCGCCTCAGCGGTTACTTTAGCGCTCTCACTTCTAATGTGAAGCAGATTGATGAAAAATATCGTATTTGGGATAAGGCTTTAGAGATTGACAACAAGTTCAAGATTCATGAAAAGGTTCAAACTGCTGCTCAAACTGCTCAAAGCAAGGCTACTGCTGCACTTCAATCACCTACAGGTCAAAAGGTTCATGACTTCGCAAACCAAACCATTGCTCAGATCGCTGCTGTACACTATGAAGCTAAAAAGATTCAAAATGAAAAGGCTGTTTCTGCTGCTGCCTCTGCTTAATACCCCTCCTTCTCCTCATTTTCTGATTTGCAACACTCATCATGTCCAATAAACAAATTAAATCTTTTATTCTTCTTCAAGCTCCACTTCTTCCAATTGAAAACTATGAGCCATACCTTTTTCATCGGTTACACCACTGACTAATTGATAGGATCGATCATTATCTTCAGGTAATTTGCCATCAATATAGCTCTCATCCAACACAACCTTGTCCTTTTCTTTCTTTTCTTGTTGTACTTCTTCATGATCAATATGTAGTACAGACTTTTCCAAGAAGTCACGAATGGCAGTAAAATAGCCAGGCTGCATAAATGTGTCATTATGTGTGCCTTGAGAAAAGGCAACCCAGGTCTTGTTGGGTGATTCACTTAATTCTCGTAATTCAATCATATGAGAAGGTGGCACTAATTCGTCTTTTGAGCCTGCCAAGAACAAGATGGGTGTCTTTACAATCTGTCGAATATATTTTTCACTGGGCCAGTGTTGATGACAGAGGAAAGTGAAGTGTTTTAAAAAGGGCATCACATTGGGTATCACTTTGTGCTATATATGTAATACAATTCATAAGCCAATCTCAGATAGAACTTTAAAAAAAAAATACTTACCAAGCTTAAAAAGGTATTTTCAATCATCAAACCAGAAAATGAATTTTCATTACGGGAGACAAGATCAATAGCGACTGCGCCGCCGATAGATTGACCATAGGCAACCAGGGGAGTATCCTTTAGGATAGGATGTTCTCGGACATAATCCAACATGGTCTGAGTTATGAAAGGTTACATGTTGTAACAAAACAAATTTACTGTGTGTACCTGTGCGTCTATTTTCAAACCCTTTTCATTGGGAGTGCCTTCACTTTGGCCATATCCTCTGTAGGATAACATGACAATATTACATTTAAACCTTTCATATAGTATCTTTGCAATAGGTAACCTATGACCCTAATTGAATCATGATTAATTCGTTTATCCCCTTATTTTACCCATCAGCTATTCTCCTTTACCATGTTACCAGCGTTAGCCTGATTAAATAATATGCATTAAAATAGGTTTAGCTATCATAGGATTTAACTTACATGAAAATAGAGTATAGTAGGAGATCTCTTGGCCACTTCTTTATCCGGTTGAAGAATAATGTAACTCTTCAATTTGATATTATCTCTTGTTGTTAATGTAACTTCTGTATATTCCATACCGTACTTTGAAGGGGCATCAACCTATATAAATAAGATCAAAGTCATTCAGTTTGTTGAATAAAAAAAAATAATGAAAAGGGTTTACATGTTGCCGCGATCCTTCAGGAATGGAAGCAGGGTAAATGAGTTTGCATTGATAAATGTACAGTAAAATGACGCCGGTGAGGCCTGTCAGACCTGTCACCGTAAGACAATAGTTGAGCCAAGCTGGAGTATTGGGTTTCCAAAAGAATTCTGCCATAAAGAAAAAAGAAAAAGAAAGAAGAAAGAGCAATGAAGAAAAATAAAATAATGAAAACGGAATAATCTAACGTCGGAGTTTGTTCATATAAAAAGAGGATATTGTAAACCCTCCTCTTTACAATGGAAGTATCTAATTTACTAATCATTTCGCTATTCATTAGTTTACTTCTGATGAGCTCTTTCTTATTATTTATTGTCTGAAATTACGATTTTGCTATCAGTGTGCGACTAATTTCTGAATAAAGTGTAAAACACTTGCATTAATTGCTGGCGATTATACAATGATAGAAAGCATGATCTTTATCTTCTTGAGTGAAACAAACAAAGAAAAACCCGGAGAGTAGATCAGAACGGAAACAATAAGATCACTCAGGCATAATTATGATGATGCTTCATAGACTTGTATACTACATCAAATTTTAATACAAGGCAGGACTATTTCTTAACGATCTACAAATAGGGTTTCATACTTATCTATAGAAAGAAAAAGATTTGTTGTTCTTGCACAAGAATACTTTATATTTCAATCGTAAAGTCAATTTCTTCCTGCACCAAAAGGGACGCAGTAGGCTTGATAGACAGAAACCTCATTAAAACTAAATATGAAAAGGTCTGATTATTTTTTCTTTAGGTTAAAACCCTGTAATGGAAGATGGGTATACATATAGCTACATCTGTCGACTATTCATACATTGCCTTAGAAAAAGAATGATGGTTTTGTACTTGTGCTATAAAGAAAAGAAACTATAAGTTACAGCTATGGAAGATCTTCTAGAATAATAAGGAAAGTATAGTGTCAAGGCTCCTTTACGTTCTTAATAATGTGCAGGATTAGTGCTATAATCAAATCCTCTCACCAGCTGCTTCACACGCACGCGTAATGAATAATAACAACGCGTCGTTTATTCATCAACTTTTTTTTTTCATTTACATTTATTTATAATAAAGGTGTACTCTTTTTAGTTCTCAAGACAATAGTAGTCTTGATTAACAGGATCAGCCATGGGAATGTAAGAATACATATGATCCCAAGGAAAGAAAGATATACACTGAATGCCAATGGTGTATATACCTTATAAAAAGGGGTGATGTATCAAGGCTGAACTTATACATCTGAAAGATCTAGAAAGCACAAGCTGAACACTCCCAGATAAGTCTGGATTGACAGACTGCCAACATGTAGCTATCGATAGGCCTCAACCTCGTCTACCAGTCGTCCCGCAAGCTCAGAAGATGACCTTGACTCAGCAAACTACCCAAAATAGCTTTTGGTTCGATACCGCCTAGTAACAGCATAAGCATCTATTCGAGTAGCCACACTTAGAGAACATTTCTCTGTTCACAGATAACGGGCAAAGCGGTTAATCACACAAGTGCAGCCAGCTCAGAAATCTGCAAGCCACCTGAATCACCAACATGACCGTACTAGAGCTACAGCGTGAGCAAAGAGAGTGTCCAGTCCTCTAAAAGGATGGGACAAAGCCAAGGCCAAAGCATCTTCACAGGGAGAAAAAAGAACAAGGAGTATCTGTAAAGAAAAGAGAAAGAAAAAGGAGATAGGTCAGAAATACTCTAAAGCGTGGACGGTTGGTTATTCAATCAATAACATTTTATTGGCTAATACGTTCCGATAACAGTCAGGGCGGCTTTCTATTGGCTCATGCGTTTCAATAATAACAAAGAAGATGAAAAGAACACATCTTCTAAATTATTCGCACAATATATAAGATCAATGGCAATTACACTTTAGTTGGCTATCAATCTTTTCTTTATTTTTTAAAAACAGTATTTAATAACACAGTATGTTTGATATCCTTTAACAAACAACTTGACCAAGAGCTTTCATAAGATACCTTTTTAATTTCAACAGCCGACTCTCTGTAAGCAGTAAATTTACGTATTGCGCATTTTTTCTTTTTCACATCACTAATGGATACCAAGCTATTATCAAGACTTGACTTATTAGCTGACAACACTCTTTCAGTAATATTTGAGCGTAACCGACTAAAGGACCTCAAGTAATGAAGTTAGATTCGAGGATTCATTAAAGTATTCACTCTCATTATTATAGATTAGACGTTGAAAAGTATGAAACAAATATTCAAAAAAACTTGTCGCAATTAAAGGACGGTATTCAGCAATTAGAACAACAACTATCAGAAGAAGAACAAACAGATACAACAAAGGACACAAAAGTTGATGAAGATAAACTGATACAACTCCAACTAAAAGTGGATAAACTAGAAGCATTACTTGGAAATCAGACCGACCCAGCTGCAAGGTTCTTTTTACTATTATGTTATAGTTATATAATGGTTCTAATAGTTTTTGGAACTATATAGGGATCTGTTACTGGGCAATAACCATAAAAAGAGTCCTCGATTTACGCCTATAGATACAAGTCAAATGGAGAATAGCCAAATACTTCAACTTCAGCAACGCATTATCGATGGTAATATGAATGATTGTATAAATCAAGCAAGTTATCTAAAATGCACTATTAGATCAAGACCAAGACTTGGATCATCTTTCGGAAGCCATTCGTAGACAGAGAGAACTTGGACTTATGATTGGTGATGAGTTAGAGACTCATGCTATTTTGATTGATGAGACAGAGGAAATGGTAGATCGTACGGATGAAAGATTAAGAAGAGCTAAAAAGAAACTGGACTACGTAGGAAGGAAAGTAAAAGATAATAGTAAGTTGCACTCTTGTTCATTTTGTACACAGTCTGATTGACTTGCTTTTATATATAGAATCTATTTGCATTGTCATTGCTTTGATTTTGATATTCTTCATCTTGGTTGCCTTATTTAGATAATTAAAAATATCAAAACTCCGTGTCTTATTTTTTTTTGCCCTTTTCTTTGCTTATAAATACACATGAATAAAGAAGATATACCTGAAGACGCTAATCAACACTGTCCTGTAAGTTTATTTAATATGAAATAAACATAGGCTCAAAGTCCTTTCTCTAGGGACCAGAAAGTGATACAGCTGGAAAAGCAGATGCTTGTGCAGGTTGCCCTAATCAACAAATATGTGCAACTGCGCCCAAGGGACCAGATCCAGGTAGGATCATTCAATTCTATATACTCTTCAACTCATATTATAGAATGTAGATATTCCAGTGATTACCGAAAGGCTGTCTAATGTAAAGCACAAGATACTTGTCTTATCCGGAAAGGGGGGAGTAGGCAAGAGTAGCTTCACTTCTCAGCTAGCCTTTGCTCTGGCCAACAATGAAGACTGTCAAGTAGGTGTAATGGATGTCGATATCTGTGGTCCTTCGATACCTACTATTATGGGTGTTGTCAATGAACAAATCCACTCGAGTGGTACAGGATGGCAACCAGTCTATGTTCAAGACAACTTGGCGGTCATGTCTATTGGATTTATGCTGCCTGATAAAGACGATGCAGTCATCTGGAGAGGACCCAAGAAGAACGGCCTGATTAAGCAATTTTTAAGGGACGTTGATTGGGGTCACTTGGACTACCTCTTGGTTGACACCCCACCTGGCACTTCGGATGAGCATTTGTCCTTAGGCTCTTTTCTTAAACCAAGTGGTCTTGAAGGCGCAGTAATCATTACAACGCCTCAAGAGGTCGCTCTTCAAGATGTACGTAAAGAAATTGACTTTTGTAGAAAGGCAAAGATTCCCATCTTGGGATTAGTAGAGAATATGTCTGGCTTTGTCTGCCCTAACTGTCACGGAGAGTCTGTGATATTCCCGCCTACGACAGGTGGAGCAGAAGCATTGGCTAAAGAATTTAGCATACCTTTGCTTGGTAGAATACCCTTGGATCCAAGAGTGGCTAAAAGTTGTGATATGGGTGTATCATTTTTGGATGAATATCCTGATTCACCTGCATGTATTGCTTATGAAGATATTATAGAAAGTAAGTATTAAGAAAGTTACAAGATACATGCACAACCAACACTTTTTATGTTAGGATTAAGACAACAAGTAGAGAAATAAATTTCTATATACAAAATGATACTGTGTTTATATTTATTACATGTACACACGCATACACACACAATAACACACAAACACTTTTATATGCGTATACACATATTTCTTTATAAAAAGACAAGCAAGAAAAAGGTATAATGTGTATTTAATGCTATGAAATTACATGACAGCCAAGCTTGTAACGTTTTTCATTGCTTCTCTTTCGTCTTCGTTTAATAAATATCCTTTCTTTTCATCCCAATGCATCTTTCCTTGGTGATATACAACTTGTCCTAATACTAATATCTGATATTGTCTATGCTTGGCAATGGTTTTATCATCTACTCTAAATGGATAAAATAGGCTTGATGCTGATGATGTTGATGATGCTGATGAAGATGTATTTGATTTGGTTCTATTGCTCTTTTTTAATTTTGTCAACAGTCTTTGTCGTAATGTCTTGGGCTGATGATGATCATTCATAATATCAATCTCTTCTTCCTCTTCCTCTTCTTCTTCACTACTACTGCTACTACTACTACTACTGCTTATTTCACTACTACTACTGCTGCTGTCTGATTCTTCATTATAATTCACTCTTTTCCTGAATGATCTAAGCATACGTCTTCCGGGGTCGAAAATGATCAAATTTCTCTTCCCTGATTTGAGTATTTCGATACCAATCACTGTTCTGCTGTGACCTTGATGCTGTAAATAAAGCGGAGGACGATGTGTGATGTAAACCTTTCTTCCCTTTTTTGTTTCAATTTCCGTAGTAAAGTAAGACTGAATCCAATCAAACATATCCTTGTGGAGTCTCTCAGGGCCTGGTTGATGGAAGTCAATGATGGTAGATCGAATGCCGAGATAAGCCAAGAGTGTATATACTTCAGTTGTGCCAATCCATTTGCGGGTTTTGAATACGTGGTTTTTTAATTGTTTAGCGCCCAATGGATCAAATCCTTATTTATAAAAAATGTTGATATAATTACGTATACTCCCTATTGTAAATCATTTACCTTCTTTCCAAGCATTTTCGATCAATAATTGTATAGAAGATATATCAGGTACACATTTCAATAGACATTCACCTTCTTCTTCGTGTCTTTCTAGGAAACTCATCAACATTTGACAGTTACGGTATCCGCAGCCCCAACCAAGGTCCATGAGACCAGTTGAGATATAATCGGTATAAGGACTACATAAAAAAGCATACTGGGTTTCGTCACTTTTAAGATTTGGCTCTAGTTTCGGTATAATACCTATATGAATATATGATTTAAATAAATAAAAAAAGTGTATCCAAATATGGTTATATTTACCAGACGTTCTGCAGTCTTGTCTCAAGATGGACATTCCTTTCCAGAGATCTTGGTTTGTGTTTATACGAGAACGAACAGGTAAATTAGTGAGTAAACGTTTTGGTTCCTTGGTGTCGATCGCTTCGTCATCATCAGATTCCTTTCTCTATTAAAATAAGCCCCCCGGTAAGGAAAAATGAATAAGACGAGTGACAACTTACTTTTAGTGTCACTTTGACACCTTCTTTCATTCTTGCTATTGAAAATATAAAAAATAAAGGGTTAAAATCGATAAATAAAAAAAGGAAAAAATAATTTTACATTGTCTAAATTCTATTTGAGTCATCATCAAAAACCCCTCCCTTCTGTAACTTCAATAATAAAAAGGGAGGAAAAGAAAAAGATTTGTTTGTTTCGTTTTGCTGAAAAATAAAAAAAATCTTTAGTTTGCTCTTTGGGTTACACTCAAATATGTCCAATTAAAAAATAGATGTTATTGTTTAAACACTATCCTTCATGATTGAAAAAGAGTGTTTGCCTCTTTATTAGCACACTTGGAAATAAACGTCGTATTTATGTATCCCAATACCTTTTATAATCTAGTAATTCAAGGTGTGAGCTTGGACTCTTTATCTAATAACTCTCGATTTTAGTCTAGCATTCTTCAATCGGATTTAATAAAGGAGAAGGGTAAAAACAAAGGCTTGTATCCTCTTTTGTTAACCGCAGTTATCCATGACAACAGGAAATACACACTTTTCATGTCTAAACAAAACATCCATCATAGCTTTAACAAATTTGTCAATGTGATAGGTTGCAATGCCTTTTGTGTGTGGCGCTTTTTATTTCATATTAGCTTTTGTTTTCTCAGGGGTTGGCTGTAGTGAACTCTTTACCTTACTTCAATGCCTTGAATTTGAAAGTTATCAGAACGAGAATCAGGGACTAAGAGTATGGGATTCACCCGGGGGACAGGATGACAGACACGGATCAACACTTGCCTAGTTGACAAGAGGAACGCATCAAACTGTTGTTGTAGGCTCTGATAAAGCTTATTACAAGTGCAGATGACGATATATTTCATGCAATATGCTAGTCTTATAGTTTCTATAATTCATTCTACAGTAGATACCGTAGGAAAAAGATGCAAACAAAGCTCTTTGTAAAACAAGAAAAGAGATGTTAAGTGTCAAAACGTTACTTTTGATTCTAGTATTACTTGCTCAAGCTGTAAAAAAGAACTGAACATAAATCTACAAGATCACTTAGCTGTACAAATCACATACAATATAAAGTAGAGGTTTTTGCAGCAGATTTATGCTGTAGATTAGAATCTTACACCAGAAAAATGCATTAAAAGGTTTATCGTGATAAACTTTGGCAGGGAGCAATATCCATGTATGAGGATACTCAACAGATATTATTCAGAGCACAAGTCTTGGTCAATTACTATTTACTTCTACATTCATAAAAAGAGAAGCTGCTGGTGACCTTATTGTTATAAAAATTGATGAACATCGCACTTCTCACGTCTATAATTGACACTGATTTCCTGGACAGGGTTGCTCACGTCAAAGGCCAGAGTGTATTTGTCTGTAAAACATGTAATGCATTCCGATAACATGATGTGAACGCCGCCAGGAACATCATGGCGAGGGTACGTCCAAGATTTACTCTAGAAATGAGCAACACTAAAGCACCATCGTCGTATTAAATAGGTTTTCAACCGTCTCAATTTAGGTTTAAAAAACTGTAGATTTCTTACTTTCAGTATATCATTTCAATAAACACACGTATGATCTACACTTGTGCCTTTTTTGCTGTCAGGCAATATTGACATTTTCTTCAAAATGATCAATCATGAAAACTGAACAGCTCATATCACTTGAGATCCTGTGGCGTTTTAAGAGTTAATCACTAAATCAACAGAACAAGCCATGTTGACATAAATAAGAGGATCGCATAAAAGGATTGAAGTCTATATAAATGATACGCTATCTTACGGCTTTACTTCTTTTGCTATCAATAGCTGTTTATAGCTTTTTGCCTACATTGAGTAGCCAATAGCACCAATACAAATGAGATAATAACTGAAGAGCAATGTGTAAGCTTTAAAAAATATGTTTAATCGAAAGAAAGAATAGAAAAATAATCAGCTGTAGCAAAGATATTTTGACTTCAAAAGCTATGTTATATCATTATCTAAGGAATTCTCTCTTTCTTTGCATAGGGATGTTTCAAGGAGTCTTTGTTGACAACCATATGCATATAAGCAAAGGCGCGCTATTGAAACGCACGAGCCAATAGAAAGCCGCCCTGACTGTTATCGGAACGTATTAGCCAATAAAATGTTATTGATTGAATAACCAACCGTCCACGCTTTAGAGTATTTCTGACCTATCTCCTTTTTCTTTCTCTTTTCTTTACAGATACTCCTTGTTCTTTTTTCTCCCTGTGAAGATGCTTTGGCCTTGGCTTTGTCCCATCCTTTTAGAGGACTGGACACTCTCTTTGCTCACGCTGTAGCTCTAGTACGGTCATGTTGGTGATTCAGGTGGCTTGCAGATTTCTGAGCTGGCTGCACTTGTGTGATTAACCGCTTTGCCCGTTATCTGTGAACAGAGAAATGTTCTCTAAGTGTGGCTACTCGAATAGATGCTTATGCTGTTACTAGGCGGTATCGAACCAAAAGCTATTTTGGGTAGTTTGCTGAGTCAAGGTCATCTTCTGAGCTTGCGGGACGACTGGTAGACGAGGTTGAGGCCTATCGATAGCTACATGTTGGCAGTCTGTCAATCCAGACTTATCTGGGAGTGTTCAGCTTGTGCTTTCTAGATCTTTCAGATGTATAAGTTCAGCCTTGATACATCACCCCTTTTTATAAGGTATATACACCATTGGCATTCAGTGTATATCTTTCTTTCCTTGGGATCATATGTATTCTTACATTCCCATGGCTGATCCTGTTAATCAAGACTACTATTGTCTTGAGAACTAAAAAGAGTACACCTTTATTATAAATAAATGTAAATGAAAAAAAAAAAGTTGATGAATAAACGACGCGTTGCTATTGTATATGCGCTTAGAAAAAGACGCGACTTACAAGCTCATTGTGTAAAAGAGAACGATGTTAGGCAATTGTTAAAATGCTATTCATGGTGAAGTGCACCTTTATTACATGTGGATGAGATTTGCTATGAGTTACCATTCTGATAAAATACGATATATTTAATATCATACAATGATATACTTTACAGAATACTCTGTGTTTTATATTAAATATATAGTAGAAGGATGAGCTAATTACGTGTTGACAAATACAGCACATCTAGATTCAAGCATCAAACATGAAGGACATTTATCTACTGCTCAAGGTCAAGCGACTTTTTTTTATAAATATTTGCACTACACTTTAGAGTACTGATTGACTTGGACAGTGGATGTGGCTTGCATAAACTTTACCTAAATGTTGGATAAGTCATTGCTATTTTTCTAGGCAGGTTAGTGAAAAATGATGCCCCTTTCTAGTATCAAGTATAAGCTTTCAAGTACGTCAAGTGAATTTAGGAAGTGCATGTCATTAAATGTTGTGTCATTATCCTTTACCTTGACATAAAGTATTAAAAAGATGTTCAACGTTTTTAGCGCGTTCTTTTGCAAACTAGCAAAGCAGATTTTGAAACGTTTACTTTCCCATACAAATTGTGTTCTTTACTCTGCTTATCTTCACTTGGATTTATAGGTTTGACAAAGAACGCTATGCCATTGATTAATAAGTCTGAAACCAGTTTGGAGCAAAGGAGGAACATGCAGAATGCGATGCCGTTTAAACCCAGCTTCCCCAACTACGGTAGAGGAAATGAAAGAATAAACAAAAGGCTAACTATTCGTATGTTCAAGGGCTAGCTTGAGCTTGGACCATATACACTTTTCTGTTTACATCCCTCTACTTTTCAAATTCCTTTCGTTTGGATAGCTTATGCACGTTAGAATGATCATCTCTCAAGTTACTTGTGCATTACTGTCCTTTAATTTTATTGGCTGACTGGCTTTTACCAAATTGGGTCAAAAAGTATAATTGGATGCCCCTACAGTTTTTTGTTCCTACTTTCTTCTTTCATCAAGATTATTCATCTATAACCAAATGACTCAACGTGGTAAGATTAAAGCCTTTACTAGAAAAAATAAAGAGAAAAAGTGAAGTTATAGGACTATTTTACAGCTTCTCTTAATGCGTAGTTCCTGATTATGTGATTAATCTATTTTTCTATTCTAGACGTTTACATTGCTTCTGCTGTTCGTACTCCTATTGGTGGCTTCAACGGTTCTTTAGCTTCATTGGCTGCTACTAAGCTCGGCTCTATTGCTATTGAAGGTAAGTCTCAAGCTTAAACCGCAGTAACTTGTTGAATACTAATTGTTGATGTAGCTGCTCTCAAAAAGGCCAACTTACCTGCCGATGCAGTTGAAGAAGTCATTTTTGGTTGCGTTTTGTCTGCTGGTCTCGGTCAAAACCCTGCTCGTCAAGCTGCTCTTGGAGCTGGTCTTAAGGATACCACTATCTCCACTACTGTCAACAAGGTCTGCGCCTCAGGCATGAAAGGTAAATAAAAAAAAAAAAAAAGCGTGGTAAAAAATCATCGAGGCTTACAGGAGTTAACATCAATTCTCACGAACAGCTGTCATCTTGGCTGCACAAACTATTATGCTTGGAAATGCTGACGTCGTAGTTGCTGGTGGTATGGAATCCATGTCTAACACTCCCTACTACTTACCCAAGCAGCGCTTTGGTTCCACATACGGTAACACTGAAGTTGTTGACGGCATTGTCAAGGATGGTCTTACCGATGTCTACAATGACTACCTGATGGGTGTTGCTGCTGAAGAATGTGCTGCTGAATACCAAGTTACCCGTGAACAACAAGATGACTACGCCATCGAATCTTACAAGCGTGCTCAAGCCGCCTTTGCTGCTGGCCACTACAAGGAAGAAATTGTTCCTGTCACTGTTTCTGGTGGTCGTGGTAAGCCTGACCGTGTTATTGAGATGGATGATGAAGTCTCCAAGTTGAACGAAGAAAAGCTTCGTGCTGTTCGTCCTGCTTTCCAACCCAAGAACGGCACTGTTACTGCACCAAACTCCTCTCCTTTATCTGATGGTGCTTCTGCTCTTGTTCTTGTCTCTGCTGAGGCTGCTAAGAAATACAATTTGACCTTAATTGCCAAGATTCGTGGTTGGGGTGAAGCTGAACAAGCTCCTGCTCGTTTCACTACTTCTCCTGCTTACGCTATTCCCAAGGCTATCAAGCACGCTGGATTAACTCCTGAAGATATCTCTTACTATGAAATCAATGAAGCCTTTTCTGTTGTCGCCTGTGCCAACAAGAAGATCTTGAACCTTCCCTCTGAGAAAGTGTAAGTAACTTGGATGAAAAGGAAAAAAAAAAAATCACTCACAGCATGTTTAGGAATATTTGGGGCGGTGCTGTTGCCATGGGTCATCCCTTGGGCTGTTCTGGTGCTCGTATTATCACAACACTCACTTCAGTATTAAAGAACAAGGAAGCCAAATTCGGCGCTGCAGGTGTCTGTAATGGTGGTGGCGGTGCCTCTGCTGTTGTCATTGAACTTGTTTAAATAAGAGTAAAACGCACATCTTTAAACCATTTATAATAATAACAATAATAAACACTTCATTGCATTTGTCATCAATCGAAAAAGACCCGTCTTTCTCTTATTCTTTATTTAGTTTTTTAAATGATGCTCTCGTCTTTTCTCCATTCGTTGTCATCCACTCTTGTACTCTGCATCCAAGCACTTTGGTATACTTTCCAAACAAGTTGCGGTCGTACTTGTACATTGTCACGAATCCATGTCTCTTTTCAAGGATTTGTTCTGCAGCCATATGATATGAATTTACGTGAGCGTAGACTCTATTGATACCATGTTCATTTGCCCACGTCATGGCTCTATTTAAAAGCAACGTGGAAAGGCCACAGGCTTGCAAGTCAGAGCGTATGGCCCATCTGGTAACAGTGGCTGTTCTTGGAACATGTTTATCCATAAACTGTCGCTCTCCCTGTCGTCTTTTCTCCATCCATGTAGGTACGGGCAAACGAAGCAATTCGAAGACAGCAGTAGTGAATTGTTTCCATGGTACGGGGAAGCTGTTTCGTCTATCCTTTATCTCTTGTTCGTTGCAAATTAGGCCAATCATGCCACACACTTCATCGTCTACAGTCAAGACCCAAAAGTGAGAAGGTTCTTGCTGATCAGTAGGCTTTCGTTCCTTTGTTTCGCCTTGAACGGTGTAATTTAAATAATACAAGTCAGGATCAAAGAGATCGTTGGTTCTGGCTTCTTCTATATATGAAGTAAGATCTACTCTATCTGATACAATAAATATCGCGCTGAAACCAATCATGGCCCATGAAAAGGTAGCCAGTACTTTAGCAGCTGTTATGACCCATTCAGAAAATTGAAAGTATGAAAGGATGAGTTGAATGCAGTAAAGAAGACCAGAATATACACCAAACCAGACAAGCCAAGTAGCTGGTGCCCAAAGTTTTCTTCTAATGCTTTCATAAACTAATGGGACACAAGTACTGCAGAATAAATAGTCAACTTGCTCCTGGTCTGTCTCTCGATAGGTTCGCAACACTACTTTGGGTGTCTTGTCTTTTTTTGTCATTAAAAAGAATAAAGGTCGATTTGTCAGCTGAAGCTGAACCTGTGAATTACTATGGAATAATTGAATGACCGCATTAAGCGCATGATGAGTTACTGAGATCCTCTTTACATAGGACGAAAGAAAAATAAAATTAGATGCGACTGTAGATGAATAAGGAAGTAAAAGGGTGTGAAGATTACTTTTATTCACAGGAAAATTCCAGGTTAAGTGGCAAAGGATAGGGCGTCTTTATCATAGGACATGTAGTCGTATATACATACAGGCTGATAAAGAATCCAGTGTGAGACGTTAAAAAGGAGGGAATAACGGCTAATGAATGAAAAGAAGCCTTTAATTGCTGCAGGCATCTGCAGTTGATGATACATTTGTAAGCAGTAGTCAGCTATTACGCGTTGATTCTAATAGGATGCATTCTTTGTGACAATCTCCACTTTTTTTTATTTATTGTATTGAGATAACAGCATAGCTACTCTTTCTGCGAATCTGGTCTTAGCAGCGTCTGACATAACAAGGTGATGATTCTTTTCGAATTGACTAACAACATCTGAAGGATTATCATTGGGATATATAGGCAAGTTTGCCGTTACGCCTGGAGCCAATTCGATCTTAAAAGTAAGACAAGGTGTCTTGGGAGCAGCAGGAGGCATATAGTGTTGTTGTTGTTGTTGTTGGTATTGAGGATGTTGTGTTTGAACAGGAGGCTGCGAGGGATCAGCAGTGGCATATTTGGACGCCATAGTGCCCAAAGGTTGTTGTTGCCAAGAAGGAGTTTGCTGAGTTTGAGGTTGGTTCCAACTTGGGACTTGTGGTTGCTGTTGCTGCTGTTGTTGTTGTTGGTTCCATTGTTGTTGCTGTTGAGGTTGAGAATGGGGTTGTTGTCCCCAAGTTTGAGTAAACTGCTGTTGTGGCTGTTGATGCTGGGATGGTTGAGATGGTTGAGATGGAGCATATTTTGAGGCAGAACTTCCATTAGGATTGTTCCAGAAAGGTGTCTCCACCAACTTGTCTGTAGCCCAAGAATTTGATCCAGCTTTAACAGGAGGTCTACGTGGAGCAACCAATAAAGGCTTTGAAGGCTTGGTTGCTTTGGGTGCTTTGGGTACCTTTTGCTGCTGCTTTTGCTGCTGCTTTTGTTGTTGTTGTTGTTGCTGTGGCGGTGGTGGTGGTTGTTGTCCTGATTTACTCTTCTTTTTCTTCTTTCCACCATTTAAACCACCTTTAGGTAAAGGCTTACCCAATCTTCGATCCAAAATAAGCTGCTCATCAACTGGCTTGAAATTTTTACCTTGACGGTGAAGCTGACCAGTACCAATTCCGTTTGATTTGAGTTTGACAGATGGATCAATGAGAGAAGCCCAATCGTCCATGCTCACATTGACTTCAGTTCTGCCTTCTTCAGTGACTTTTTGAGTACCCCAACCTGACATTTGAAGGGGAGCATATTCGTCTTCTGATTCTGAATAGTCTGAGTATTCGCTGTATGCCATAATGAAAACAAAAGGAAGAAAGAGGAATTATGATTGGTTGATGAGGCTTTTACACTGGGTTCAAACTCCCTTGAACCCTACAAAATTGAAATGCTCAAACTTGGGCTCAAGCTCTGAACAAGGATATGTCATTCATTGACATATAGTAATTGATTTCGTAGTTCAGTTTTGTCTTTTGAAGAGAAGCGCTTGTTTATACGTGATAAAGTATAATAAAAAGAAAGAACAAAAGTCAACACTGTTGCCTAATATAGACAGTCATCGTTAAAAGACTGTAGCTGTTGATCCTTAGTTGTGTAAATAATATCATCAATGGAGAAGCGTTGCATCTTTCAGAATCGCACATCAATTCACATTAAATAGTTGCACTGAGCGTTTCTTTTTTGCTGTTTATTTTTTAATTTCAAAAAGAAAATTTTACACAATTGTCAAACTAGGAAAAGAATTAGAATAGTCATAATCAATACAAATCTTGACCTACATTAAACAATGAATAGTTTAGATCTAGTGATGGCTGTTGCTCTTCTTGAGGAAAAAGTGTTCATAGGTGCAGTAAGCAGCAAATGCGACAGTTGCAATACCAAGTCCAGGAAACATGGTCTTGAAGTTGGAAGATTTTGAAAAGATGGGGTGTTTACGCCAGGCTTCACGCTTAGCCCAAGGGTCGTGATAAACGGGCCTCTTTACTTGAGCTTCAACGTGTGATTTAGTCATTGAAAGGTATATATTACTGAAAGAAAAAAGAACAAGTCCGTCTTGCACTCGGCCACAGTAAACCCCGGTTTGGGGTGACGTCGAAAATACTAAAAACTTGCCCCCTTTCTGAACTTCAAACTCTTGAAGTGACTATTTATTCTTATTTATTCGATGTTGCGATCATTAATTCTCCTTTAATTCTTTGGCTTTTTCTTTCACTTATTCTCCTTTTATTAAAAAATAGTAATCATGTCTGAGAGTTTAGTTTTAGAAAAATACACACCATTTTCTAGAGAAATTACTGTTGATATTGACTCTTAGAAGAATATCATTGAAAATTCACCTGTCCATCATCTAGTATATCGGATTTATAAGGATAAGATGAATGGTGATACGTCTACTTTAAATGAAGAAGGCCAGCCTATGCCAAAGCGCGTAACAAGAAGAAGCATAATTTGGAAAATTAAGCACATATGCCATAGAATTGGGGCCTATAAGAGCCGTGCTGGTGTACAGACAGAAGATGAATCATCTAAAAGCGGCTAATCCAGAAACCAAGCAAGAAGATCGATTGCAGATGCTATGTTACTATCACCTGCTATTTCGTAACCATTAAGCTTCATAATGAGCATAATCATCTTATTGGAAGCCTTGATGATATCTCTTTTTTGCCTTTATTGGATAATATGAAGGAAGCTATATCGCAAAAGCTACGTGAAGGTTATGGTAGAAGAGACATAAGAGATGCGATTTGACACCATTTTAATGAAAGATAAGAGACATTTTTCCTGAACTCTCTCCAATTGACAACACAGCAAAGCGGTATTTGTTGACATGTATATTAACTCTTTAATCATTTCATGAGTATAATTAAAGCAATGATAGTATATGCTATACAAAACGCGCCTCTGTATGTGAGTCAAAAGCATCGTTTACTTGTTATTTAGTTGGTTTATATGAACAACTGATGCTATCTAGTAGCTGCTGTACCTCATATCCTATCATCTCTTCGCTCACTTTCTTTGTATTATCCATAGCGTGTATTGATTCAAATAGTTCTTTGTCTAGTTCCATCAATGTATGTAAGTTTTCGAGTATCTCGTTGTACATTGAAGATGGAATCTCTTTTGTTTCATGGTGGTGAGGTAGTAAGCTAATTACTTCATCTCGCTTGATATTTTCTCTGTTGTCCATTGCCTGACATGATTTTATACTGAGCTCAAGAGCTTGTATGGTCTTGGTTATTTCATCATTTATTTCATTTACTACCACCATGGCTCATTAAAAAATAAAGCTCCCTCTTTGGTATAGCTTACCGCTGGTGCTTTCAGGAATAATATCAGTTAAGCGGCTTATAATTATATCATTAACGTATTTCTCTAGCAATAGTCTCAATTTCACTTGACATTGAATATATAAAACATAAAGATCCCTTTCATAAAAATAAGTAATTTGTATCACATTACAAATATCAACATACGCATGAGCCTTTTGTCTCTGTCTCAGTATCGAGAACGACATAGACTGATGTTCAATTGTTTCATATAATTCACATAGTCTTTCTTCAGTCGATATCTGTTCTTGTTCTTTATCCCACTGCATAATGTAAGAAAAAAGAATAAAAGATACTAATAGCTTGGTTTATTATTTATGTTGTCATTGCAAAGTATTTTTGAGTTGCGCAAAGTGCTTGATACCTTACACCTGCGTCTTGGTGCGTCATGAGCTCCATAATTCTTTGTTTGGCGCCAATAGTTTGTAAATAGCTATAAGAAATAAGCACTTTGTTTTTTCTTTTGATAATGTTCAAACCTTTTACTGTTTGGATCACTGCTATATTTGACATATTGACCCAAATCATGACAGGCAATAGCTAATACTGTAAAATCTGTTGATGTGCTTAGTAATCTTGCCAATAACCTAAGCAAATCAATGATGAATATAAGCTTTAAGATTCACATATAAAGCATACCTTAATAAGTGCTGATCCTTTTCATTAAGACGGTTTGCATTTTGTTTCCAAAAGTTCTCTGATGCATGAGACGGACTTTCCCAGTGTAATCTACCCGTTTCAACCTCTGAAGCGTATACTTCAAATGTACTTGATACAAATCAGATGATATTATTCTTTTTTTTTTTTTTATAAAAAAAAAGCCCTCGCTTACCTAAGACTCTGAAAGTTTTGCTGTAATTCAGTTTTCACATATTCAATGTCATCAACAATTTCCTGATCTGACCATTTTCGAGTAGCCAAGTGCTCTGTAAAAGGCAACAGTTTGGCTACCAACATGGCAGACATGTTTTCTGTGGGCGCTTTCTCAGTTAAATTCTAAGACATATGACTGAGTTATCTATGAATAGCAAAAAGTTTAAAAGATTACCTTGAAGGTTGCTACAATTACTCTGACTACTTTTTCTTTAGGTGTTGACTTGGCATAGTCCAATAGCACAGGGATGATTTTACATTTTCTACACAACACATTAGTAAATATTAAATTGTATAGTTAATGACATACTTGTCCAAGTTCTTTGCTACTCGTTCATCAAATGTTAAAAGCCAAATAGCAAAGGTAAGTTCATATATCTTTTGTGGATCAGAGTGTTTGTTTGCCTTTAGAATGCTGACTAGTCTGTAAATAAAAAAATATAAAAAAGGAATCAATAACTAATACGTATATATACATGCCAGAGATATGTTACGTGTCGATAGCATGAGGTGTTTCCCAAAAGGCTCTTCTGTATTCTGGAACATGAAACAAAGCATCAAGCATTTGGATATTGAGATCAACAATGTGTTGCTGACGGCTTTGTAGCTGAAATGTAATCCATCGAAAGAATTCATGTATGTTGATATCACGATGAGGTGTAGAACTGTTTAAAGTACATGAGTTATTTATGATAACTTTGATCTTTTATATATATATATATTTACCAAATCAACATAGTAAGTAACTTGCTTGACTGTATACCTATAAATTCGTCATTGATACTGAGCACTTTATGAAATGGTCCAAAGGGGAACTCCGGATTATCCTTTTTTGCTTCATGAAACAAATAAATCCTCTCCTCGTGTTCTAGATCATAATTAGCCTTCTTGAAGGCAAGAAGAAAAATGAAAGGGGTTTACTTACCATTCAGCATATCGTGAATAAGAACAAGCACTTTCTGAAGCGTATCCACTCTTGCCAATTTTTGCATTAATTCAAGATAAAGTAAAGCATAATAACGTCCATGCTATTTTGAGAGTGTACCCGCGCCTTTTGATTATTCTGCATGTTAAACAACAAATGAAAAGGGATTATACCTCTGTCATAATAGGCTCGAGTTCCTCAACTGACTTATTTTCGACATGCTTTATCATGGCCATTTCATTTTCAGATATTAAACCCACGTTTGTGTATTCCTATAGATAACGATGGGCGTAAGTGCTGCAGGTATAGATTCAACATGCGAGGCTGATTTTACCTCCCATGGGATGGGTTCTTGCCTGATTTTGTTCATGGTGTCATCTAAATAAGGGTGAGATATAATAGTCAGCTTGACTTCTTCTACAAGGTCATCTCTTGCTAAAGCTGAACTAATCGTTTCAGCTTGTGGCGGTGGTATACTTGGTGGAATAGCTGTTAACATTCAACGCGATCTTTTAAGAAAAAAAAGCTTAAAGGAAAAAAAAAAAAAAAGGAGGGAAGCGATCAGACGGTTTTAAGGGGTAAAATTTAAGTTTTACGTCATATCTTTTTGTAAACAAAAAAGCCGTATCAGATGGTAAGAGTGAAAGGTTTATTGAAGCTACATTTTATAATAAAATGGAAATGATGAATATTAAAATGTCATTTTCTACTAGTAAAAGATTATAAAAGTTAAATAAAGGTATGCAAATAATAGATTTATGCAGATGCAACTACAACAGCAGGAGATGTGGTTGAATTAGCAGTCTCTGATGTAGCACTGGTTTCAACTGTCTCAGATTTATCTTGTTCTGTTGTTTCCTCTTTAACTTCTTCCTTGGTCTCTTCCTTTTCTTCTTTCTTTTCTTCGTCTTTGGCAGGAGCGGCAGGTGCTGTCTCAGATGTAACAGGAGTCTTTGACTTCTTGTTCTTCTTTGTGAACAATTCTGTTAAACGACCTAAAGGTGAAGAAGGACGACCAATTTCTTTCTTTTCTTCTTTCTTTTCTTCCTTCTTTTCTTCCTTCTTTTCTTCCTTCTTTTCTTCCTTCTTTTCTTCTTCCTTTTTATCTTCTTCGTTTGATTCTAAAAAGATATTCTATTAGTGCTCCAGGGCAGGAGATCTAGGGAGATTTAGGGAGACTACCTTGTGTTTCAGTAGCGGGAACTTCAGCATTGGGAGCTTCGGTAGCAACGGTAGGCTCCTCTGGTGCTTCTTGAACAACTACCTCCTTGGGGGAGTCTTCATGCTTCTTTTTACCAAAAATCTTACTGATAAAGGATTGGCGCTTGTTGCTGGCAGTAGCAGTAGCCAAATGGGTAGCAGCTTGTTCTATTTCAGCAGCAACTTCGGTGACTTCAGCTTCTACAGCAGCAGCGGCTTCCTTGACGGCTTCCTTGACGGGTTCTTCCTTGGAAGCATTTGAAGCTTCAGTTACAGCTTCAGTTTCAATGGGTTGAAGTTGTTCGATCTGAGGTAACTCAGTAGACACAGGCTCTGATTCAGCAGCAGCAGAGGCATTAGCGGATTCATCTACTTTGGTAGCAGACTAGAAAATATGGTTAGATCAGGAAATTTTACGATGGATAGAAGTGAGAGGTTTACCTTTGATCTAGAAAAGAAAGAAAATCCCTTGGTCTTCTTTTTATGCTCAGCGGTTTCAGCAGGAGTAGATGCAGCAGTGGATTCAGCCTTGGGGGCTTCAGCCTCTTCGTGGTCTTCCTTCTTAGCTTCCTCCTTCTTAGCCTCTTCCTTCTTGGGCTTTCCGAAAGGATTGAAGATGGTACGGCGCTTGGAAATGGAAGCCTTGGGAGTGGCTGGGGCTTCTTCAGCAGGTGTTTCTTCGGATTCTTTCTTTGGTTCCTCGGCAGGAGCTTCAGGGCTGGCTACTTCTTCAGCTGGCTCGCCCTTATCAGCAGCTTGAGGCTCCGTAGAGGCAGTAGATTCAGCGGTAGGCTCAGTAGTAGGTTCAGTTGTAGGAGTAGTAGTAGTAGTAGGAACAGTGGCTTCAGTCATGATAAAAAATGAGATAAGAGAAAGAAGAAGAAAAAAAAAAAGAAAAGAAAGAGAAAGGATGCATTGATATTTATACAACTAAACAACAAAAGCACGAGTGGTTACTAAGGAAAGGAGGCAACCATGGTTACACTACGGTCGTAACCTTAGCATGAACACATAGAGATCAAAAAAATTTTCTATTTCGTGCAAAAGCGAGATCAAGTTTAATTTCCAAACTTGGTGAGCTGTCAACAGGATGAAAAATAGACTAAAAAAAGAAAATGGTCGAAGGGGAAGAGTGTGTTCGCCACATAAACAAATAAGCTAAATGACGTGGATCAAGGTCATTTTTACACAATTGTTTACTAACGAAAGTGTATATCACTTGGCCAATGGTTGCCTCCTTTTGTTGAAATGATCGCATAAGCTAATATTAAGAGATCCTGTCAAAGTGCGAGCAAGAAAAACTTTTTTTCTGCACGTTTTAGCTCCTACGTTTGATGTGCAATTCCTCCTTTTGTTTTTCTCTCTCTTACTCTCTTAACCTTGAGCCCCTTTTAAAAGATGGGTGTTTAGTAAAGATATCCTGTTTAATGTGAGCACGTGTAGTATAAGCTTAAAAGGAGAGTAAAGTAAGGACAATGATGGCGTCTAGATCAAAGGTGAAAATAATAAAATGGGTTGAAAGTCTGGTAATGCAAATCATTTTTTATTCATTTACCGAATATTAGGCACGAGTAACATAGAGTAATATGTACATCCTCACTGTCATACTATCTTTCATATCAATTGATCAAATAGTTGAATACAAAAGAGCAATGTATGACGATTTGGTTTAGTTTTAATCATCAAAATTACCGAAGCTCTGGAATTAAATTGTGTATAGCTATTTTGATTTGAATAAATGACAGCTCACTTATTTCAAGGTGGAGCCATTGTCTTTATTTTTAGATAGAGCTCACATCTCCGACTGTTTCTGCATCTATCTTCTTTTATTGGAAATATCTACACATGGTTCCTTTTTCTTTTTCTTTTTCTTTTATCGTTTTCTTTTTTCTATGGCTTTCTCTGGCTTTTGATAGGCCCTTGATTTATTGTGCATGCATGTAACGCATTTTAATAAGTAATGCCTGATACGATTACTTTTATGTTTATTAAGCTGAAACAATTTAAAGTGCGCGCCAAAAATAACAAGTAAAGGGGGAGGATGTTGTCTTGACAACTGTCATGGTTACTTTGTTTCATCACTGTAGCGAATAAATGTTCAATTCGAAAACATTGAAAAAGAGTTGGCACCAAACTATTTGTTACTTTAGTTTAATATGTAACACATCTCATTGGCTATTTCGGTCAAATCAATCAAGAACTGGCCAAAGCATTGCCAGCCTGAGTGACGCTCAAGTAACCTGTACGACATTATGTGTATATATGTGTGTATATATATACTTGTACTTAGAAGTAGCCTATAAAAAGATGCCTTTTTTTTATTCCTTAAATTAATCCTCCCCTCCTCTCTCTTTGTTCATACAAAAAAAAAAGAAAGCGAGAAAAGTAAAGCGTCAAGTAAAACGCATCCCCTTTCTTTTGTTAAGAACACTTGTGTCATTGGTTCAGTACCATCAAATGCAGAAAAATGAACAAAAGCTGTTTCGTGACACCATGCAAAAGGTTGTATGAAAGTGGACAGCATGAAAGAAAACAACTCTTTTAAAACGTGCAACACTTATTCAGCTGAACAAAAAGCACTTTGTTTGTATTATTTGAGAATTAAGCTATTTAAGGCTGCTTAGGCAGCTAGTCTTTCCAAGGTAAAAAAACACACTGAGTTTGCCGTTAAAAGCAGAATTAAACGTAGCAATCTTGAAAAAACAGGAGACTGGGTAGCAAGAATAGCTTTGGCTTGTAACAACGCCCCAGCTACTTCGAGCTTTTGTTAGCCAATTTAAGAGCTGCCGTCTCTAACAGTCATACATTGTTTGGCGTATTTCGATAATCTCTGTGGAATAACTTTCCTGTACTGATTGATCAGAATGGAAGACAAGTCATCAAATTTGTTCTCATTCGTTCTCCTAATGCACCCAGTTTCTGTCCTATCGATTTTTTTTCTTGGTGCTAAAGGAACATTCCAAAGCTGCTGCCTCATGACCTCAAGACATATTATTCGTGAGGACCGTAGATTGTATCTTGTCAGCGATAAGCCAAATACCGCTTCCTAGTTACGTTGGAGCAGCCTGTCAGCATTTGATCACTCGCCTTGCGACATTGTTTGCCAGTGAATGGCATACAAACTTTGTGTAACTGGGCTACTTTAACCACTTTCCACTGCTGACTTTAATCAGAGTCAGCACACAGAAAACTTCACTCCAAAAATTACTCCAAAACTACTCTCACACTGAGGTGTTTAATGACGTAATCATTAAACTAACTCGAGTATGATCTTATAGTAGAGTATGTATTCTACTTTACATTCCTCTATCGCATCTCAAAAGAATGGCTTATAATAACAGTAAGAGCAGCAAGCACCATAACAATGATAAATAATCATATTGACCATATTAAATCATGCTAACAACATTAATATTCCCTATAAAATGTACACGCGTTTTGTTTTAATACTATTCCTTTCTTATTTTCAACAAAATACTGCCAATTAATCGTCATTGCTATTCCTTTTATTTTCTCAAGGCTTACTTGATGACAACAAGGATATCTCTTGGACTTGTTGACAAGCCTGCAAAGTCCAACGCGACTAAGTAAATGCTTTCTGTGGCGTTAATAAATGATAGGAGATCTAAAGTGAGATTATGAGTGTCAACAAGTTTCATGATCCCATCTCAATATTATCTTCAATGTTACCTTGCGTGTCTCCTGCGACTTTGTTAAATGGCGCCAGTGCCATCTATCGTATTTACCCTACAAATACTTTATCTTGTCGTATAAAGTTACTATAAATATATATTCTAAGAATGAATAATAAAAAGAGACAGACAACAATACACGACTTGAATTCACATTGTTGAGCACATGGCAAGAGAGTTTGGCCAGATCGGGAGGTTGTTGGATAGAGACGGCGCGTTGCTACTGAAAGTGGAGCCCAGGTCCCCAAGCACTTGGTCATGGATAGATCAGCCAGAGTATCTTGTGATGCGCTTGTCAAACTCGGGGGAAAACACAAAGATCTTGTACAAGGAGAGAATGCGGTCATCGTTGATGTTGCTGATTTTGTTGAGAGCGATCGAGGCGCCCCAAAATTCCTTGAACTTGTCCATCAAGTCTACAACCCCTACCATCCAGGAGAAGCTATCCACAGGTCAGTTTACATCATATCCGCTAAACCGATACAAGTATGAGCGAACAGGCAAGTGGTTTGTGTCGACGAGGGCTTCTGTTTGAGCGTGGAGACCTGTGACAACAATAACGGTTTCCTGCAACAATTCAACATCAGTTGTCGAACTTTCTAGTGTTGATGATAGTAGGAGAGATGCGCTATCTTGATCAAGTGAGGCATACAAAGAGAAACTGGCAGATGAAGGGCTACGAAGAAAAAAAAAGAGAGAGGTCAGTTGCTGTTGTAAAAAACAAAAAAAAAAAAACAAAAAAGGTATACCTATGCTTTCGAAGATGGACCTTAGAGTGCCCATCAAGGACACCCAAGGCATCAGAAACAGAGAGACAGCAAGGACACCCATACACGACACGATCGGCTAATTCTTTTTAAACAGGAGTCGCTCCTAGAGGCAATCACAAGTCATAGCTTTCCACATTTTGATAAGGTCGGCGACAGTACTGCTTTCGTGTGAATACAGTTTCTTTGCATTTGTGACAAGTGTAGGCACATAAATTTTCGCGATTGTCATTGCTGATAATTCGAAAAAAGAGAAAAGAAGAGAAGAAGAAAAGGGAAATATTACATGCATCAGAAAATACATCAGAAGTTAGACTAATTCTACGTGCGCCGCCTCTACGCATTACCTATGATATTGCCCAACAAAACATTTGAATGTGTGGCGCCGCGCTAAACATGACTTTATAAAGTTACCGACTTGTTTCATTTCTTTTCAAGAACAAGAGATAAAAAAAGAAATGTTATTTCTTGTTCTATTCCACTTTTTTTTTGTCCTGAAAATCATAACGCATTCGAAGCCCGACAGAAGTCAACTGAAACCGGGTTAGACGCGTCATGCAATGGAACAGCTGTCAATAAGTTACAGTTTGTGGAAGGAAATTTTATTACATCTATGGGAAAGACAGATTATAAAAGCTCTTCCATCATTGTTTTGCCTTCTTCCTCTGTCAGTTTCAAGATGGACAAAGGAGAGGGAGATGTTATTGAATCCATATTTTCATCAATGATTCATTGTGCTCTTGTTTCAATCCTAGAATGCATCTGACTCCATTCTATAACTCAAGATAATTATTAGCAGTGCTCTTTTTTGTGAGAAATAAAGATTGAACAAGTACTTTCATATACTAATAAAAGTTGGCGCACTCTGAAATGAATGCATTTTTATCGCCAACAGTGGGCCTTGTACCCAGAGCGAACTATGTTAATATATCAAACATAGAACACAAAGGCTTGAAATACATGTTCCAGAGATATATGTCTTGAAAATAATACAGAGAAAAAAGAAATTGTAAGATGTAAGCCTTATCTGTAGCATGGACGAAGTGTACTTTCGTTCGCTTGAAAGTCGTCATGCTCCCAAAGCAAACGTCGTCAACAATTGTCTTTACCATGATCAACGCGCCATAGAGACCTTTGCCGATGACTGAAACCGGTTTTTGGTCGATCATCGCAACCAAAATATGACGAGGTTACATTACTTCAGACATGACTAAAAAGTCTCTTTAGAAAAATGAAAGAAGAAAAAGGATAATAAAGATGGAAAGACCGCATTTTTTACTGCCGAACAAAAATTACGGCCAAATAAACTCATTCCGATTGTAAACAAAAAAACTTTAAAGGTTTACTTTCTTTCTTCTTAAAACTCTTTGTTTTTCACTGAGGCGTCACTTGACTATGTTACGCACAAAGTTTACCCCATACATTTTTAAATTAAGGGGGTGCGTTTTACTTGACGCTTTACTTTTCTCGCTTTCTTTTTTTTTGTATGAACAAAGAGAGAGGAGGGGAGGATTAATTTAAGGAATAAAAAAAAGGCATCTTTTTATAGGCTACTTCTAAGTACAAGTATATATATACACACATATATACACATAATGTCGTACAGGTTACTTGAGCGTCACTCAGGCTGGCAATGCTTTGGCCAGTTCTTGATTGATTTGACCGAAATAGCCAATGAGATGTGTTACATATTAAACTAAAGTAACAAATAGTTTGTAGCCACTTTCCTTCTTTTTAGTTTCAGGTCAACCTTAATTGTACAAATGCGCGCAAATAGTACATAAATAAGAATTGGGAATCCGTCATCTGATAGGTATATCATCGACATCTTTGTATAATTATTCTATCATTCTCTCCTCTATTTCCTAATTCAATTGTAGGATGGTCGCACGTTTAAAATAGAAATATAGATATTACTCATTTAAAGTGTAATGAAGTCAAGTGTCGTTAGATACGCTCAAAACAAAAAAGAAACATTAGATGCCGGATGACCCTACACAAGATCGCCTTATTTGGCCAAAAAGTGGAGAAGCTAGGATAACAAACAGAGACATACCCGAAAGTTATTTTTCTACAGTGATACATATATGTTCTGATTCATCCAATATTCTTGTATCCCTTTCTAGAATGACACGCGCTTCCACAAAAACACTCCATAACTTGTAAACATTATACCTAGACTTCACTGTATGTGCAATGCTTATTTAGTTACATAAATTGAACTGCCGATTTGTTTGATTTACCCCGCTTTTTTGATGCATTAATACAGGTTCCCATAAAGCGCCTTTTTTTTTTTTCTTTTCTTTTTATTTTCTCTTTCTTTCTCTTTATTAGCCTTCTTTAATAAATAAAAAAAGAAAGTCATTTAGCAGTAATGCCTATAATGACTGGGATCCCTCCACAACATGATATCATGAAGTATGATATATTTCATAAACCTTCTCCTGAAACTTCTTCAAGCAGCCGTAAACGTAAACAAGAAACTCAATACCCTTCTATGGACACTCATCTACTTAATATCTCTTTTTCCCAATACCCGGGAATTTATGCCGAGTCCTTTCAGTATGAACGTCAATCTGAGGATCTGAAAGCATCTATTGTCACCAGTACCTCTTCCTCTTCTACCAGTTCATCTTTTATGCAATCTAGTCCTGCTTCTTTTGATCTCCCTCTTGAACCTTTGGTGACCAGGACTCCGCAGTTTCAAGCATTTTTGCCCAATAACCCAGAAGGGAGTCATAATGAGGGCGTGGGAGAAAATAACAATCTGACAGACATCATGGTAGACTTTGATACGCTTGCTCAACCCAATACTTTTCAGCGCATTGTTCAAAGACCTAACCTGCAACTTACTGACTTGAATGTTCTTCACCAACGTCACCAGCAACAGCTCATTCAGTCGTGGGACAACACATCGTCACCAATGCACTCTCCTTCTTCTCGTTATTCACCAGGCACGCCAGGCTTTTTCACACCAGGCTTTCTCGAATCGCTCCAAGAAGATGAAGTCTATGATCACAGAATAGGCATCGACTGGAACACAAACACTCCTCCTCATCCTTCTAATGAATCTATGGAATATAACGCCATGATAGTAAGGGGAAAAAGTGTCATTTTCATCTAAAACGCTAAACCCAAACTTTGTTTTTAAAATAGTCACCAGAAAAGAGCTTGGTCGCACAAAGTGGAGAAGGTGTCACCTTCTTTACTTCATCATCTCCAACTGATCATGCATTGCTTGGAAAAGAAAAAACAGCAAACCGTCGAGCATGCATGGGCGCACCCAACAGCCGTATGCTTCAATTATCAGCCAATGCAGCCAGAATTAAGCCCTTGGTGCAGACGTACTTGGCCAATTCAGTCAGTCAAGAAGCAGCCACACGTTTAGGCGAAAAGACAGTAATCATTCTCACCAGCAAAGTGGCTCAGAAGAGTTATGGGACTGAAAAAAGGTTTCATTTTAAATGCTTTTTTTTATTGGATTTTTTTTTTCTAAAGGCTTGTTTAATCTAGATTTCTATGTCCTCCACCCACGACTATTCTTGTTGGCACCGGCTGGTGGACAGCCAAGGATAAGGCGGATAGCATGGGCAATGAGGTTCTTCGCGTGTCTGGCCTGGATAAGGACATCATCCTTGCTCCCCCTAAACTCACTGTTTCCATTTCTGGCGAAACATCCACTCAAGCAGGGCAGATTGAATGGTACACTGTTTCTGGTGCGACGGTTGGACAAACCGGACAGATCAAATCAACGTCGTCTCAAGGCAAAGAAAACTCGAGCCGTTTCAGAAGCTCAGAATCTCGTCATCCTCCTGTGGACATGTATCATAACCACCAACAGGAACCTCTCGCAGCCGGCAAATGCGTATCGAAACATTTATACATCAATGACGCCGATGAGAAACGTAAGCGTGTTGAATGCCTCGCTCGACTTCAGCTCGCGAATGGTCTTCAATTGGGCACACTCGCCAGCAAGGCCATCAAGGTGATCAGCAAGCCCAGCAAGAAGCGACAGAGTGTGAAAAATATGGAACGTAAAGTAATTGTTTATTTGATTTTTATTTATAAATGTCATTTTAACCCCCATATAAAGTGTGTATTCATCATGGCACGACTGTCTCCTTGTTTAATCGTATTCGTTCTCAAACTGTGTCTACGAAATACCTAGGCGTCTCAACTAGCGAAGGCACACCTCTTGCCTTCCCCGGACTCTCTCTTCAAGCGAATACGTCGTCAGATGGTACTTGCTTTGTCGCTCGCACAACCAGCTGGGATCCCTTCATCGTCTGGATTGTTGACACATCACGATCGCCTGGAGAACCTGTTGAAGAAAGTGATACGCCTGAAGATTATATCGGACCCAATGTTCTCAGTCGAAGCACGCCTTATCCACCCCCACCTGCAATTGCTCTCAAGAACAAAACAAGTCAGTTGATTCCGATCCATTACAACCAGCACATTGTCCTCCAGTGCCTGACGACCGGCCTGGTCAGTCCTGTGATGGTCATCCGCAAGGTGGACCGCGCATCGACCGTCGTTGGCGGTGCGAGATGTACAGACGACCTGACGGGTGGCGGTGGTGAATTTGGAGATGAAGTCTTGGGTGACCCTGTGTCCCAGTTACACAAGATTGCTCTTCAGATCGTACAGGACCCTTCAAGCGCTCAGCAGCAATCACTGCAAGATATGATGATGCCCCGAACTTCTCAGCCTGTGACTTACTTGGCTTGTTTAAATGATATGGTCGGCATGCACAAGACAACCGAAGGCCGAAAACCAGTGACTGGCAGTGTAACCAAACCTCTGAACAGTCAAGCTTGGGATGAAAGCTTTTCGAACGACCTGTTTGATATCACTTCTCAAGAAGGCGGTAAAATAATCAGAAAGCGACGCGTGTCGACCGATGTGCAGATGGCAAGGCCTCCTGAGAAGCTCATGTCGTCCATGTCCCTCTCTGATCATTTACCCACCTCATCTGAATTACTTCGCCACCAAGAGTTTCCTCATCGACGCCGTGTGAATAGCTTAAATGATGAACTGTACTATACAAGTATCCCTCAACACATGTTTCAACAACAGCCACAAAGCTCATTGAATGAAGCTTCGCGTAAATCAAGTATTAGTAGTAATGGTAGTTCATCCACTACCACCACCACCACGACTGCCAGACGATCTTCTGTCGCCAGTACAGCGGGTAACAATCTCAATAACCTAGGCGCTTATTGGAGCGAAGACGTTTCTGATGCAGCTGTATGGACCATTGTAGGCACAGGTAAAGACATATTAAAGGTGAATTATATGAAACACTAAATATTTTTCCCATAGATTGTGCTACTTACACATTTTGGTCTCCCTCCTTGGATGACCCTTCCTCCTCACTATCGACCAACTCATTCCCTTCACTCTCGCACTTTTTCACAAGTACAAACAAATCTGATCAGGAACGGTTCCTGACGATGCATGGTGAAAACTTTTCAAGAGACCTTCAAGTATGGTTTGGTGACGTGAAGGCAGCTCAGACAGAGTACAGAAGTAGAGAGCTGATCATTTGTAAAGTACCTTCAAGACAGGAGTTACTAGAGACCAAAGAGTTGTATGGTAATATACCTATCTTGCTAGTACGAGGAGATAGCACAATTTGTAAAACTGGTAAATATTACCCATTGTAATCGCACATACCCATTCCTTCGTTCTCTTTTTATATTATGTTATGTTATGAACCATTATTATGTGCATATGTTTTTATTTGTATGCTAGTCATGTATGCTTCTCCCCTCTCTCTTTATATATATTTACATCTTATACATATATACATTTCATATATACTTTGTTTTACTTCCCCGCCCCCTCTCTTTCCCCACTCTTTCACAATTTATATATATATTTAACAAGACTGTGCATGTTTATATAAAGTTACAATAAATACAAATATCTATTTTATCTATACAGAAATCACATAATGTACACAAAGAAAGGGGGGTTATTGTATAGAGCATTGACAGTACATAGGACGTCCTGTCGCCTTTTCTTCTTGGTCATTCTCTTCATCACGAGTATTTACACGGCCATAGGTTGTCATGGCAATCAAAGGCATATTTATATGAAACTTTTCAAGAGATATCCTTTTTGCTGTTGATGTATAACTTTCATCTACACTATGAGACCGTTTAATGCCTAGAGGGAAAATATATGAGATAAGCGCAAAACAGAGAGATGGGTTAATGTTTTACCTGTTTCAGGTATCATGTGAGCTGTATCATCATCGTCATCATCATGATCCGTTTGTTCGTTCTTTTGCTTGATGGATTCCCAATGGCTAAGGTTAGAATTGAGTTGATCAACAGCAAATGCTATTTCCTTGGTGACCATGGATAGGCTTTTAAATAGGTCAAGAGCGACAAATTGAATGAAGTTGATTTGAGAATCCTCCAAGGCAATTGAATCGTCACTGGCTGGAGAAACAGCAATACCGAATTCTTTTTCCAAGTTTCCTTGGGCTGCGAATTCGTCCACAAGAAGCTTTGCCCATTGTTGACTGTGTTGAAACGCTCTGGCCTATATTTTTTTAAAAAAAAAGTAAATCACTTTATAACAGTGTGATCAACTCTCTGTCTCTCTTACAACGTTACTAATGTCGGCACATTTTATAAGTGCGCTGCATAATAAGATGCGTTCCTTTTCTGCTGTGGAACGATTCAGCTGATTTAAATCAATGCTGTGTAATCTCTTTGCTTGCTCCTTGATTTTATCGACATATTCGTTATGCAATGCCATATCTGTTGACAAAATACTTGAAATAATGATTTTTCTGAAATCTACCAACAAGTTTAGATTTGAATTACAGTTGTATTGGTATGTTTTTACCACGATAGCATGCAGGTGATACTTGGCTCACGCGTTTATCGATACCATGCTTACTCAATAATTGAAACAATGTTACAGAATGTAAGCTCTCTAGGACGGATTGATCGTTATATAGTATAGCGAGCGGATTAGACGTATTAATCTAAACAAAAACATGAATATCAAAAAAAAATAAAGTAAAAATGTAAATTACCAAAAACATGTTATTTACGCCAGGATGAGCTGCATCATGGCCAATAGCAGCAATGAGTAAAGCAAAGATATCATAAAGGGAAAGTAAATCCTGAGGCCTGACTGTATCACTTTTTGATTTGTTTGTAAAAGGGAGTAAACCAAGTTCGGATAGCATATAGAATAGACACTGTAGTACATCGACAGCATGAGCAAAGTTGTGATAGGGGTTATCGTTATGATAAACGCTGGCTAAATCAATAATAAAGTCATATAATTGATCTACAGAAATAGAGATGAGATGGTGCATTGAATATATTTAAATTACCTTTTAGATTTAGACTTGATAACTCAGGCAAAGATAATAGTTGATCAAAGACAAGATAAGCGGAATGAATCAAATCTTGTTCAGTCAAGTCAAATGGATTAAAATTCCAAGTACATAAATTTGATAAAAGTTCCAACGATCGTTTCCTAGTGAGTTGATTAGAATATATATATATATATATATATATATATAAAGTAGAAACACAGATATTTACTTTGAAATAGAAGGGTACTTGTTAATGGATTGATGGTTTGAATAAAGGTTCATCATGACTTTCGGCATACTATTAATAATAATAAAGATGAGTCATTTATAAAACATAAGCTATTCTCTTACTTGTAAAAAGTCATTTCTTTTATACGCTGATAGAGTGGACTATGGTGCATTTTCAAATCGGGTTGATTTCGGTGTATTTTCTATTTAAAAATAAGGTTATTATTGTACATAATATAAAGTGATGAAGTTACCAGGAACAATGTTTTTATGACATCCAAATGCAGTGGTTTTATTAAATAATCTACAGCACCAGCATGAATACAATCCATCATTGTGTGCGTATGATGATGCTTTGAACAAACTATATATATATATACATATATATATATAAAAGGCGAATTTTATGTATTTTATTTTATTTCGCTTACCAATAACTGGTATACTTGCCGATACATCGCGTACTACTCTTTGAATAAGATTGACGGGTGTATGATTGAGTGTAGAAGGTAAAGTCAGTTCATCATCGTCTTGTTTATAAATTATCGCGTCTAAATCAATCAAGAAGAGTGTGGGATGATTATTTTTACTAATCTCTTTTGCTCTTTCAATCGCCTCTTGTTCATCATGTTCAACATAGACTAGTCTTTTTTTTAATATCATCTTATAAATTATTACTATTATTACCTTTGCCAAATATTGATTCTAATGATTGTTGATCTTGATCATCTTGGATGATAAAGGGTCTAAAAGGGTATAATAATATTATCGAACAATCAGATGGCTCCATACAAATTCAATATCCTTATTGCCGCGTTGTGTGTATGTGTGTACAAAATAGAAAAAAATAAAAAATTGTAGAAAAAAAGAAGGGGGGTCGATGTGAGAAAGAGAGAGAGAAAAAAGAGAGAAAAAAAATAAATAAAAAAAAGGTACTCCTTATTTGTTTATGTGTGCCTATTTACCACGTGGCAGTGGCCCGGACATGCTTTGAAACCAAATAGGTCCGTGCTACTTTTTTGATATTCACACTTTTTTTCTACTTATTTTCTGGCTTACTTTTTATGTTATTTTATTCCATTCTTTTTATTTAAAGAGTATAATGAACACAAACTTTGGTCAGTGTAACTTTACAAACATGAAGCTAGAATTTCATTGAAATCGCCACGTGAGGACTTTACCAAGCAGAGCCATGAGAAGCACCTGCACTTCCTACAGCCGATGTTCCAGTGTAGCTTTCACCCATGTGTTCATTAGCAGGATTATAAGTAAATCCAGCAAATTGTTCTTGCATCGTACTTGATATTTGTGATTCATCTACAAGAGATTCTTGAGGTGCCTCTGATGTAAATTCATCATCAAAGTTTTGAGTGTCATAAGCTGATTCAACCGATGGCTTATAAGGTGGCTGAAGTTTCTTTTGATTCAATTTACGCCAGTCAATACTTGCAAAGAATGGGTGATTCTTGATCTCTTCTGATCCATTATTGCCTAATCTTTCATTAGGATCACGAGTTAAAAGCTATAATGAGCAGGGTTAGTCATTATATAATGAATATGACACACACAACTTACTCCTCTCAAAAGACTTCTTGCCTCGGTTGACATGTCATCAGGAAACCGTAATTCATCTTGAAGAATCTTTCGGTACATCTCATTCGTATTTTCATCATAAAAGGGTGGTAATCCAGTCATCATCTCATAAAGTAACACACCTAATGTCCACCAGTCTACTGTCTTGGTATATCCTTGCCCAAGTAATAGCTCAGGTGCAAGGTACTCTGGTGTACCACAAAATGTATTCGTACGCTCATTTTCACTCATGTTTAACTTGCAAAGACCAAAATCACACAGGGCAATATGTCCATTGTAATCAATCAAGATATTCTCTGGTTTAAGATCACTTTTGTTGTATTAGTAAGTCCATCATCTATCATCCAAGTCACTTACCGATAGACAACATTAAAGTCGTGAAGACATTCTAATGCACTCAGGAGTTCGGCTGTATAAAATCGAGACCTCTCTTCACTGAATTTGCCTTCTAATTGTAAATGATGAAACAATTCACCTCCATTAATAAAAGCCAAGACGAGATAGAGTTTATCTGGACTTTGGAAGGCAAACTTGAGAGGAACGATGAATGGATTTCTAATCTGAGCTAATACTGTCTTCTCTGCCATCGTATGCGTTACTTCTGATCGAGAAATGATACGCGATTTACGAAGTACTTTCATAGCATAAATTCGATTCGTATCCTTCTTACGTACAACGTACACCTAAAACATGGTTAATTCTATATCATCACACTTTTCTCTTTTTTACCTTTCCAAAGCTACCTCTTCCAATCACTCTCAACAGTTCAAATGAATCAAACGTAATAGGCGCACTTTGCTATCAAATAGATTAATATAAGCATGAAATTGTGTAATTCATATCTCACCTGCTGTGGTCTATAACAGAGTTGGATATGCATCATGCCCGTGCCACCAACAATGTTTAAGACTTGATCTTCAATCTTGGTTGAACCAAAGTTGGGTTGAATCTTGACACCTCCAAGGAAGAAATCATTTGTTGTACGAGATGTACTCTCTCCTTGAGTAGGAGGATGACGCATATAGATTGAAATGGATACCTCTGAGCTACGAGAAACATCGCTATAAAAGGGAAGTCAGCAACCATATGCTCTCCTCCTTATTAATTAGATATTTTACAAGTTGGCTCGGTGCTGATAAATAGGATTTGCTGTATCTCCTCCCAAGGCGTCAATTAATATTTCATTCTTATCAAATTCTAATACAACATAGGGTAACCACCAGTTTTGTTTACGAGTAAGAGAATCACGGTTGCGGTTCTGATGAACAGGCTGAGGTGGAACAGAAGGTAATGTAATATTTGCAGGTGGGCTAATGCCTCGAGCTTCACATACACGAATCAATAAGACACCATTCTTGGGTTCATTTGTACTAGATGATTGTGATGATGAACCGGTATTCGCAGTCTTATTGTTTATGATTGTGTTATTGGCTGTAATTGTATTGTTCGTTTCCTTATTTCCTATTGTTATTGTTATTATTATTAAAGAGTTTTTTATTTCACTTTATTTTGCTTGTTTTACTTCTAACACCAGGCAGTTTCCATGAATTCATTTTTAAAAATAAAGAAAAGAGTAAAAGAAGAAGAAGAAATGAAATAAATAAATTTTACAAATAAGGAGGAAATAAGGCTACACACATTTAATCTCAGATAGTTGTTGTTGTTGTTATAAAGAGTGGTTTGTTTGTTTTCTCCCTCTTCCCTCCTTAGAGAAAACTGTTATTTATGAAACTATGGAAACTAACTAAAAAAGATAAACGATGGCCTCACTTTTTTATAATAGGAAAAAAAAACAATCATGTCTCTTTTAGGTAATAAAGTCATATTAAATGACCGCAATGATCTTTCAGTCGCTGGTTCAGGTCAACAAAACCCAGGGAAAAGAAGTAAAGCAAGAGAATAAGCACTATCAAAGAAGAATTATCAAGGCCAACTAGGGAAGCTGTTGTTTCAGGTTATTAGACAATGGGGGAAGAGATAGTTTATCGTAGTGATTACGTATAGTCAAGGTTCATATAGAAATGATTATGTACTAGAGAATGATCAACAAAGTGCCTGGAGATGAAGGCAGTACCTGTAAGATAGAAAGCGCCCCATTAAGAGAGGATCATCAATGGTTTCAGATATCTGAATTGCATAATGAATCACGTGAGGTTTGATGAGTAGCTGAACAGAAGAAAGGGCAATTTAGAGCAGGTTTTTGATTAAAAACCTTTGAATGCGGTGTTGTCTCTCTCTCTCTCGTAAATTGTCAAATCATTTAGGTTTCTGATACTTTATAAAAGAATCTTTATTATAAAATACTTGATCAATTCTCTCACATGCATGAACAAAAGGTTGGTCTCTCTCTCGTCAAAGACGCACACACATACACACACAATCATGGATCAGCCACTTTGATGCTTGAATCAACAACAAGACTGTGCTTCTTTGTTAAATGTCTAAATAAAGTGGCTCCACTGCTATTTAATAAGTCAAAGACAATCAAATGAATGTTTATTAATGGCGGCGACTTAACGGAACCTATTAACAGAATTTATTAGGGAACCAAGATTTGAGGAGAGGGATGGTTGAGTTGGACTAATGAGACCGAAACGCGATGCTAATGGTGTTGACCTTGTTAAATAGTTGGCCCACACTAAAGAATTTTTAGTTGACAATCACTCAAAGCACATAATAAAACACTTACACCAGAACGAAAACTTCTTGCCTAACCATTTACCAGCAAATGGAAATATAACTAGCGCGAACAATGTCTGAATTTGTTGTTTACTTTCTTCCCATTCTGCTTCTGCATCATAAGAATATATGCTATCATCGTCTTCTTCTTCATAACGCACTGGTTCGTCATCAATCTCTTCGTCAAGACTTGAATATGGATTGTAATTTCTTGATGACATTATGAAAAATAAACAAAGAAATGGAAAAAAAAAAAAAAAAATTACTATTTTAAGATAAAGCGTGTACTTTTTGCATACGGTTGCAACTATTCTAGGCACATAATACGTAGCCTTCTTACACCTTTAGCATATAAATGACTGAAAAGAGGGGCAGTTATTTCGGAGTAACCTCGATCAGTTGCCTGCAGGGATATCTAAACCGTGTATAGAAATTAAAGGAGTATTAATTGCGTTGTTGTCATGTTGATATGGTTACTCGACTGCTTCCAAAAAAAAAATTAAGGTCAAGAAAACAGCTTGCTAGATCACCATGAATAAGGGCATTATGTCAATATCTACTGCATGCTGGATTGTTTACTTGAAGCATTTTCATTCTAATATAAATAAGAGTCCGCCAGTGAAAAGTTAGGGTAGCTTTAAAGCTGCTAAGGTTTTAGCCATATCGGATACTGAAAAGTATTTTAATATATTACTTCTGGATCATCTTTAAAGATAAGGTACAATCAACTTATTTAAAAGCTATTCGAATCAAATAGCAACGTACAAATACATGATTTTTAACTGACGCAAACAATGGATAATCACGAAATTAATAGGCACATAGCGTTTGCAATAAATAAATAAGTAAAAATCTTGTTTTTCACTTGATAATAGGATGTTTATAAAAATGTTGTCAGCTTGATGTTTACTTGATGTTTTTGCCAGGAGTCAATAATAGCCAGAACCACTGTATATACCGAACGTTGTCCAGAGTCAAGTTGTACTATCTTCTTTCGCTCAAATAATAAAGATATGTACAGTTGATGAAGCGTTAAAGATCAAGAAGCTTAATTTTCGATAGTAGCATGCCTAATTTTAAAGCAAAACAAAAAAGCAAGTTCACAGCGTTTACTTATACATCTGCTCCAGTACTTGATAAACGAAAGTTGACTGAGGAAGAATCATTAATACCAAGCGAACAAAGATTCATCACAACAGCAATCCACAGTACAGAAAGTACTTTGATGACTCTATACAAAACTTTCTTAACAATAGTATTATGAATTCAATACAGAAAAAAAAAAAGAAGACCAATAGATAATGAACTAAGAAAGCTTCAAGCAAAGCTTGAAGATACAACCAGTCTACTAAGAGGAATAATATCGATGGCAGTAGAGCTAGCAGGCCTGGAAAAAAATATAATGGATGGTTATATGGAAAGGAATGGAGAAAAAAGAAATCGCCTGTTATGGATAGACTTTGTGAAAAAAACTTTCAAAGTACTGCAGAAATTATGAAAGAAAAAGAACCTGACTTTTCCATAAGAAGCGTCGTCATCAAAAAAGGAATCTACTGCGACCCCTGAAGAACGCGAGTATAGAACTTGTTCTGTATCTTCATAAAAAAAAAATAAGAAGAAAAGGCTTGTCTACAGACACAGCATATATAGTAGACAACAAAATTAAAGAAACAATGATCAAAATGAGCGACTACCGCGCTAGCTTCTTTGCAATCACGCATGTAATGGCCTTGATACCACAAAACTATGTCTTTGTTACAAGCAATGGCCAAGTAGAGCTACAAGAGACTCAAGGCTATGACATTCAGAAACCACTTCCTCTCAAGTTTGTTGAACAGAATGAGATGGAACTAATTCTATCAGCCTTGCCTCTGTCAACCCAAGCAATAGAATGTCATTCACAAGAGCTTTCTTTGCTTTTTACAGAACAACAATTAAGATTAATACATTCTTATTACTTTGGAGCGAATGGCCCAACCCATACAAAACCAGGCAAAACACCTTATTGAAAGTGCCATTTTCAATGAATTAAACATCACAAAAAGTCCATATCATCAGAAAGAGCTCCACAATGAAGAAATGTCGATATCTTTGACCTCTATAACCACAAACATCAAGAATATATGGAGTGACAATACCATATTTAAAAAACTTCTAGATCATCTTTTGAATGCTTTATTAAAACTACACTTGGCTGAAAGTAAGGCTGTAGAATACAGCGAATATATCAAAAATACCAAAGAGAAATCAAAGTCGATAACAGAGGCGACATCATCAGTAAGTAATTCCTTTTCTACAATTGACTACAAACGATATGTTCTTCTCTCAGAATACAAAAAGCTCAGTACATTAGAATGTAAATTAGAGAATCTTGATGATGAAGATAAAAGGCAACGTTATGAAAGAAGAATAACACGAGGTCATGACAGGATAACGTATTTCAAAAGTTTACCAAAGAAAACAGTTTCGATAGGATTTCGTACAAATACAGAGGGAATAGAAAATTAATTACTTATTTATATAGTCTGAAACTAATGATGTAACAGAAAATGAAGCTAGCAACAATGATGAGGCTAGCAAGAAATATAAAGATGATGCAGTAGAAGCCGTCTGTCTTGTTTAAAATCAGTGGCATAACATCTTGAGAAGTTTTTATAGCAGTTCAAACAGAGCCAACAGATTACGAAGTTTTGAGATTCAGAAAAAAAGTACTTGGACAAGATAACAGCACAAGAGCGAAAGCTCTTGACCAAAGCTAACACTGGTGCTGATAAAAGCAGTTGCTTATATTCATCGGAGATCGTGACAATGGTGTCGAATCACGTATTAAAGGGTTTCGCAGATACGGAGATAGGTAGAAGGAGCAGCTGCATGGTAAGCACGTCAATGTGTACATTATAAATGAACACATGACATCCCAAATATATATTACTACCAGAAGCTTTGTTATTCAAAAGTTATGTTGACAAAGGAGAATAAACAAGTGTCACAAGAAATCAAGGGTGCCTTAATGTGCATGAATCCAAAATGTGTGGCTGTGAAGTTCGGGAAATCAACAAAGTCGAAATGCGCTGGCAATCTGTTTGTCTGGCTTGACTCAGTGTTTGATAGGCTCTCCTCTTCCACCATTTGTCCAATCTCAATCAGTCAATTCAATACAGATACCTTCAACAAACTTTCATGATTCTTCGCTCCTCCAGGAGATTACTTGACGAGCACGGTGTACTCATCCGATAGTAAGATTCATTTTTAAGCTTTATATATTCTAATTTGGTCTTTCTTGTAGGTCGTAATAATTATGTGACTTACATTTATTCCTACACATTTAGGCTTTTCGGAAAGGTTAAAATTGAAACAGAAAAAAAACATGTCTTTGTTATTTTATTATATACTCATCTTGGCAGTTGGTGTGAAGCCATGCCAAAAACAACAACCAGAAGAAATCTAACTTCAAGACGAGTGTATGGTTTGAAAGATATCAAGAATACACTTGCTCGATTTTTATGCGATCCAAAATATTTCTGGCATCTTGCAGGTTTAGTACTTGTAGGTGAATTTGTGTTGAGCACGTTGATTGTACAAAAAGTATCCTGTAAGTGTTTATATATGCATACAAGCTGTAAGCACTGATAAAAACGTTGAATAGATACAGAGATCGATTGGAAGGCATATATGCAAGAAGTCGAAGGATTTTTAAACGGTGAGCGCGACTATACAAAGCTTAGAGGAGATACTGGACCCTTGGTGTAAAAAAGCAAATAGAGAGCTTAAAGACACAATATGCATAATTTTTTTTTTTTTTTTGCTTTTCTAGGTACCCAGCTGGATTTGTCTATATCTATTCCCTCCTGTATTATCTCACAAACAGGGGCACCAACATCCGCACTGCTCAGTACATGTTTGAAGCTCTTTATTTGATCAACCAGTCAATCGTAATGGGCATCTATAGTCGATCCAAGAAAGTTCCACCCTATGCGATTCTATTATTGGCATGCTCCAAGCGATTTCATTCGATCTTCTTGCTTCGTTGTTTTAATGATCCTGTAGCCATGTCCTTTATGTATGCGTGTATTTTGGCAATGACATATCGACGATGGACACTAGGCACCGTTTTATTTAGCTGTGCACTGTCAATCAAAATGAACGTTTTATTATTCTTTCCAGCTTTTGGAATATTGTTATGGCTGACGTTGGGTGCATGGAAGACAGTGGGGCAATTGGGATTATTAGCCATGACCCAAGTAAGTTGCTGAACCTCCAAAAAAAAAAGATCTTAACACTCTGTAGGGATTGCTGGCGTATCCTTTTCTTGTGAGTTATCCCAAGTCGTACTTTTCTAAAGCATTCGAGTTTGGCCGTGCCTTTGACTACACTTGGACCGTTAACTGGCGCATGATCAGCAAAGAGACATTCTTATCGGATTGGTTTTCAAAGTTACTTCTAGCAGGACATGGAGGTGTTTTACTTGCCTTTATCATCCACATTTGGCTGAAACCGTAATGTATCTCTTTTATAAACATGTATTTGTTACTAACAGATTATATAATCAAGTAAAGGCGGTTTACTAAGCGTATTGAAAAGAGGATTCGCCGGTGGAAGCGTCATTATTTCAAATGATGGTAATATTGAACTGTGTAGGATGAATTATCATGGCTCATTTTGTGTGTATCTTGTATATAGATATTATATCGATGATGTTCACATCTAATTTGATTGGAATCCTATTTGCAAGATCACTACACTATCAATTCTACTCTTGGTATTTTCAAACCCTTCCCTACTTGCTCTGGACTAGTGAGTTATCAGTATCTCAATTTCCGATGACAAGAGTCTTGATATTAGCGACAATTGAGATGTGTTGGTTAACATTCCCTTCTACAAAACAAAGTTCCTATACATTGCTTGTTTGCCATTTTATGCTATTGGTTGGTATTTATAGATATCATTTAAGCCGAGAAGAAGTCAAGGTCAAAACCTAAACTTTTAATAAAGTCGGTCAATACTGTTTTTTTAATTATTGCCGTTAGTTTATAAACATTTGTCATAGTGAAAAAAAAAAAACAAAGAGCAAAATATGTTCGAGTACTCTGCTATAATCTTGTATTTTGTTCAGGGGAGAAGCATCGCAGTGTTGTACTTTGTATTAATCAGTTTCGGAAGATTTTAAAAGTAAAGAATGGATATAGAAAAACTAAGCATCGACCAGAGACAAACAAGAAATGTACAAGACAAGCTGGTCTAAGCAATAGAGACTTGTATCATTCAAAAAGAGAAAGAGAAAGAGAGAGAAAGAGAGAGAAAGAGAGACGATGATTGATAGACACTACAAAAAACAATAAACCAAGAGCTCAGATCAAGCTGCTGTAAGACGCAGATTATAGAAAATGTAATACTTCAAATTTTGATAGCTACTGTCCACACTCATTTTTGGAAATAACGAATAACTTTATGCAAAAAGTCTTTTTTAAAATTACATCAATAAGAGCTTTTTAAATAATAATAGCAAATGATGATTGTCGTGATGATTAGGTGAAATTCGAATAAAGTATAAAAAGAACAAGAGAAAGGGATTATAAGGGAATCATATATACTCGCTTTTATAAAAATAAATCAACATGTCTCAAGTTATCACACCTACACCAGCAAAAATTACCAAGGTTCGATTGATCTGTAATCCTCCCAAGGCTATTTTGATCCGAATGATCTGTAATCCTCCAAAGGATGTCCTAAATCTTGCGGAAAATAAAAAGTTACGAAAGAAGAAGCAGATGAAGAAGAAGAAGAAGGCTAAGAGTAAGTAAACTAAAGTGAGCATTTGAATAAACGGAGTATTAATTATGAATAATACAGTCATAGAAACAGTCTTTGCTCATAATCCTTCCCCCTCCCCTTTTGTGTAATGTGATGAAAACAAATAAAATGTAAAATTCAATTGTACAAAGAACATATACTTTACATGTAGGCTTAGTTTACCCCCCAAAGAGAGTAGTATCAGCTTGATCAAGTCAATGATCCACTTTCACGGAGAAATAAAAATAGACGTTAATATTTACCATGTCATTTCTACTTTTTTCATGGGATCAAATGAATCAAAAGAAGGAACGACTGTAGTTCTACAACCATATTTGTGAATAATTTGTCTACCGAAAGCTTTGATCGTCTTGCACAGGTCGTACCACATTTCTTTAATGATTGAGCAATAAATAAAAAAGTCAGACAATAGAAGCCAATCGTGACAATTATTAAATCGGCGCAGTAATGCATTGGATAGTTAACATAAATCACGCCAGAATTTTCAAACTGCCAATGTAGTGTGTCTGTGTGATGTTTGTATATGTCTAATTGTTTTCTTTTTCTTTTCTTTCTTTTTTCTATTGTCCTTTTCCTCTTTAATGGATAAATTCAATAGACCTCCACCTGACATAGACAATATAGACAACGAACAGCCCTACGTGTCGTTAACCCAATTCGATAGAGAGTTACAACAACAGGCACAGCTGGTTATGGAACAAGATATAGACGTCTGGCAGGATTTCGAAAATTATTTGCCCTTAGCTTATCAACAGACGAATTCAAGAAATATCAGCCAACCTACAAACAGCCAGCTATTGGATTTTATGACCAATAATGATCTACCATTCAACTCTGTATTGTCCACTCAAAATAACAGTAGCCTAAAATTATATCCACAACAGAATAACATGTGGCCACCCAATGATATATCGTTCATTTCGCCTCACAGCGATCCTATACCATCTCCATTCAGTAGTCCGTCTTCTATTCCAGAACCACTCAGCTCACCTGGTCAGCAAACTACTCCGTTTGAACCTTCATCTACAGCAACGACGGTTAATACAGCATTAAATAACTCGGCTTCGTCAACGCCTGATCAGTCTCCCAAAGCTGAGACATTTTCACTCAGTTTTATTTCTTTACCAGATCAACAACAACAACAACAGTTGAATAACCTAGGTACATCATCATCATTAGAACCATATTATGTCTCTTATTCATTTATCTTCTAATCTTAGCTTGTAAGCCTACAATAAAAATTGCTCAGTCTCCAGACCAGGCAACGACCCAAACATCTAACCCATCCTCAGCCGCCCCCCAACAAAAGAAGAGGGCACATAATGTCATCGAACGTCGTTACAGAAACAATATAAATGAACGTATCACAGAACTTAAAAATGCCGTTCCCGCCCTCCTTCATGCAAAAGTAAAGGATGGCAACAATAGCGCCAAAACCGGAGCTAAGCGGGGGCGTAAAAGTAGCCATGACGATGACGATGACGATGATGACAACGATGACGATGAAGAATACCTTGATGGTGTAGCTATTGCAACCAAGCTGAACAAAGCCACCATCCTGCGCAAGGCAACAGAGTATATATTACATCTCAGACGCAGTGGTGATGTCCTTCGTCAAGAAAATGATATTCTTCAATCACTTATAGGCCAATTACCCGGCGGTCAAGAAATCCTCAGCCGCTACCTTTTTCAAAAAATGCAAAGAGATCAAGAAATGCAACAACAAATCTCGTATGAACGTCAACTCCAGAAACAAATGAAGCAACGACGCAAGTACCCGGTAGGACGAAAACGATCTCGACTGTCAACGTCAGACGATACTACTGCATCTCAAGTCAAACATGAGCCTGTGCCGCTTGTTCCTGCTACACCGTCAGTCACCAATCGAGTCTTTATGGCAGCGTTTATGGCTATTAGCTTCTTTTCGAGTTCACCGCTTTTCACGGGTCCAACGACAAAAGAGCAATTTGAAAGCCACCATCACATCTCACGTACAGTGGATGAGTATCCTTCCAATAATGGAAACCGTGAGAGTTCTCTCCTTGGTCTGTTCTTTTCTACCCAAGATACATGGTAAGCCGGTATAAAGATGAGACTTGTTATTTCTTTTACTTATTTTCACACAAAGGTCAACATTTAGAACTACAGTATTTGTCATTTGCCTCTTCCAACTTCTTTTCCCTTTATTTAAATCTTGGATTCTGGGAAGCCTCCGAATCAAGAGCGTCAACAAACGGTCTAGAGTTAAATCATCATCAAGCGGCAACATCGCCTCTCATGTCACCTCATTAACCCCTGGCGATCAAAAATGTATGCAGATATACAACATTCTGGCCAAATCATTGGAAAATGACCCCAATAACCGTAAACGGATTGTGTTTCCCCAAAAGCAGGGTAGTACAGTTTCACTTTGCCTTTCTCTGTGCAAGGAAATCACTCGATTCATCTCACGTCACTGGCTAGGCTATGAGATACTGTACGACGACCAGGATCTTGCCCCACAAGAGCAATGGATTCAAACCTGTAAATGGATCAAACTGAACGAGGTTGAATGTCTAGGAGGCAATCCTCAAGTAACTCGAATCTCTATGCTGTTCTCGTGCTTCCACGTGCTCAACTTGATCGAAATGATGGAGGATGACGAAAATGAGTACGTAGAGCAGTCTCGTTCTCGTGTCTATGCTACAGCTGCCTTACAAATGGCTCTCATCATTCCGCATCATGGTATAAGCCAGAGTCTATCAAAGTACTTTTGGCGTATGGCCATGTACGAATCTGGGCTTGAAGATGATCCATTAATGAGTGCCTTGACCTTTGACTGCCACGAAGATGATGGTGAAGATCGTATTGAGGTCATGCTTAAATCTCGCGCTTGGAATGAAACTCTCGAAGTCATGAGTCATCAAATTCAACACTTTGAGCAAGACCGTGCCTATGGTTTGTCATTATCTATGAACGCGCCGGTCCTTGTTCCCGTCGGTATCCTTTCAACGCTTCATCTGCTTGATAACTTACAAACTCAATTTGGTCGACTCATCATCTCTGTCACTGCAGCACCCTTACTTTCTGATGAGCTCAGGGATGATGAAGAAGAGGATTCTGATTTTAATGAGACGGCGTTCGCTCAAATTTTGGACATGACAACCCCTCAAGAGGATCGCGAACGCGTGGATGATTACCACCGTTTAGCTCACTGGTTGGCAGCTGTAGGCGCCATTGTAGAAGCTCTATGGAAGAGCGATACCAAGACAGCAAATAAATTGATCAACACCATCTTAGAAAAGATACCTCTCTCTCTTGTCTCACGAGAAATGATGGGAAGCGACGTTGATATGGTTGGACACAAGGAACGTCTGAACCAACTTGATGGTCTCACCAAGAAGAGCATTATACATACATTAGTTGGTGCTGCTTTACTCAAGAAAGGAAAACCAGAGGATTTGCTCCGTGGTGTTGAGGAACTCTGGAATGCCGAAAGGATCAAAATGACCATGAAGAAATTACTTGCTCGTATTGATAACAATCATGAGCATAGAAACCAAATACTCAAGGATTCTGAAGACATTATTGATCTCGAAAGTTCTGTTCTTGGTCTTGCAGAATTTGTCACGGCCGTCACTGGCTTGGAGGCGTGGATAATCGCTTGGCGTTTGATACCTACTCTAGTTGAAGATGGTGATGCTTGGGAAGCCAAGTTAACAGAACAAGTACGTAATTCCAGCCTTCAGCTACGAAGAATGATTCGTCGTCACTCACTTGATGGTCTGAGAACAAATCATGAGATAATTGAAAGACTCACTCGACTTGGCGCGTATGCATCAAGCCAGCTAGACGATATTGATTCCGCTTGCGAAGTGTCTTCTGAGGAAGAAGAAGAGCAAGAAGAAAAAGACAAGTGTTCAAAAGTGGAGCTAAATACTTTACGTATGCGTCGTTCAGACAAAGCCTTGAATATCCTTCGTGGGCTTTCTTAACCATCTTTTTTCATTAGCTTCACTGTAACAAATATCATTTCCTCCCTTTTCTTTTTTTCATTCTTCATACGCACTTTTTATTGTATTGTATATTTTATAAATATTTAAATAAAAAATAACCTCTTTATGTACTTATGTGTATTCACTACTTGGCAATACTTTAAGAAAAAAAGAGACTTACTGCCATGGGTGAAATACTTTTTTATTTTTTAATAGCAACGTCCATCTGACTGTGTCACACTGCAAGCTCTCCTTACTTTGAGCATTCAATAGCCAATAAAAAAATAACTCACCTGCATTTAAATAAACTTTTTTTTTCTCTTCTTTTTCTCTTCTTTTTCTCTTTTTCTTTTTCTTTTTTT